CTGGAAAGCTGAGCCTTCCCTGTTCGGTATGCCCAGACCTACACATTGACCTGGGCATGCTCTTTCATTCCTACAGATAGGAACTACATGTCTCCCTGTGTAGTTATCTGTATTAGCATCAGTTTCCAATGTTATTATGACCCTATAAAAAAGTTATTGTTTTATTCTAGATGAGGGGAAGATGAGTAGAAAAGGTTTAAGTAATTTCTCTTAGGTCACAGTCCTAGTAAATACCTCTTATAAGGTGTCTATCTGATTTTGGCTTTCTGCATTTTTCTTATTTTGATTTTCAATTTTTTTCTTATTTTGATTTTTTTCTTAAAATTGATTTTTTTATGGCTTTCATTATACAAGTCTTGGCTGCTGATGGGATTACACGGCGCCAGAGGGCCAGTTGGTGGGTGTGACCCCCCGCCTACTGGAATTTGGAGGATCTGGGTGGAGGATTCTCGACTCCAATCCGAGTAGGCTTGGAGATCTCGGCCCCGGCAGCCGAAGACCTCCATGACCAGCCACCACCATGCTGAGACCTCTCTCCGCACACCTGAAGGTACCAGCAGAGGGACAAAGCCACGTAGGTTCTGGGGCCGAGATCTCCAAGCCTACTCGGATTGGAGTCGAGCATCCTCCACCCAGATCCTCCAAATTCCAGTAGGCGGGGGTCACACCCACCAACTGGCCCCCTGGCGCCATGTAATCCCATCAGCTGCCAAGACTCTGAGACTATAAAAACCAGCTCCTGGAGGAGAAGAGCGCAGTCTCTTATTATTTTATTATGACATCTCATTCCTACTTTGACAAACTGGCAGGCTACCGAATGTAGCCTGCCCACACGGCAGAGTCTGGCAAACTCCCCGTGGCACACCCAATATGCCAAATCCAGTAACAATGATGGGTCTCATTCTCCTAAAGAGCCTTGAATATAACCTCAGGGCCAGGATGAAGGAGACGTTACTGGGGCCTGCTCGAGGCAATCGACGAATAACAGGATGATCTGTGATCTGTGATTATACAAGTGAAGAATGCTCGTTGTTTAAAAGTTTATTTAAAAAAATTAATATATCTATATCCAAAGCCATTTTGGGGGAGGGGAAAACCATTGTCAATAGTACCCCAGACATGTTTGATCATACACACTGGTTTGAAAAATTTGAAAAGATGCTGTCTCAGTCTGTGGGTCTGTCTTTGCATCAAAAGAAGTTGTATCTGCCTCCACTAAGATTATGCAGGTCCTGGTCTGATCAGGGACAGTTATAAAGTCATAAAGCTTGAACTAAGGATAAGATTAGCAGGTCTAGTAAGCTGTGGAGAGAGAAGGGTTACTTCTTAGAACAAGTAGGGATGGCCTCATATGACAAACCTTGCTTCTGATATAGGTCTGGCATTAGGACAGGCTTTTCAAATAAAACAGTTCTTCAGATTTAGATTATCCGTAAATCTAGGTAATTTGCATTCTTTAAGTAGATTTCTCCTGAGAAAAAGGCTCTGGGGACCTGAATTAGTGCAGGCCCCTCTGTCCCCTGCCCCCACTACCTGCAAGAAGATAGTAGAAAAGGTCTGCTTTTTGTTTGTTTTGTTTTGTTGTTATTGTTGAAACCACACTTAGGACTTAAAGTGGTTCTGCTCTCAGGGATCACGCCTGGCAATATCTCTCTGGTTCCCTTTGTGATTTTTATGATAATTTTCTATTACGTGTGTGTGTGTGTGTGTGTGTGTAGATGTGTGCATACATTTTATTTTCTCTTTCCTTTTCTCCTCTTTTTTGGGGCGTGAGCTCCCAAGCGGTACTCAGGGTTCCTGGAGGTTCAATGCTAGGGCCTGAGAATGTGGTGCTCAGGGCCTGCAGGCTTAAACCCAGCAATGGTGGGAAAGCCATGTGGTGCTGGAGATCAGGCTGCTGGACTGTCTTTCTGGCCTCTTTCTTTCCCATTTACTGTTTGTTGTTGCATTGACACTTTGTGTGCCCGAGAGGAACCCACACTTTTAGTTGCAGAGCTGGCATATGAGGTCACTAGGGGTGAACAGCCCTCTTGGGTGTAGTGCTTGCTGGTGGTTGCTGTGGTATTCACACACATGCCTGCCAGGGGTTGCTCTCCTGAACAGAGTGCTCAGACATCTTCATTTGTGGTGCTCTGGACATCTCACACTGTTGTAATACTGCCTATGGCCAGTGTAGGCAGTTTACACTATTGAACTATCTGCAAGTCCCCTGAACATATATTTTAAGACTTTTTTATTTTGGGCATCTCCCATGCAGTCCTGGGGACATTTCCATGCCAGGCATGTGCTCTAGTACTTTGAGCTGTCTCCCAAGATCTATCTTATTTTATTTATTTATTTATTTATTTTTTGACTGCACCCAAGGTGCTCAGGGCTTACTCCTGACTCTGGGCTCAGGGATCACTCCTGGTGGTGCTCAGTGATAAGTTGATAAAATATGTGGTGCTGGGGATTTAGACCTGGATTGGCTAAGTGCAAGTTCAGCACCCTACTCACTGTACTCTCTCTCCAACCTTCCCAGACCTTTAATAAAAATTAAAGATTTTTTTTTTTCTTTTTGGGTCATACCCAGCAATACACAGGCTCTGCACTCGGGAATTACTCCTGGCAGTGCTTGGGGGACCATGTGGGATGCTGGGAATCAAACCTGGGTCTGCTGCATGCAAGGCAAACGCCCTACCTGCTGTGCTATCTCTTCAGCCCTGTTATTTATTTTTATGACACTGCCGCCTCCTCATATTAAGATTTTTCTTTACCATTTTTATTGAGATACCTTCATAATGATTTACAATACTATACTTTTCATGCATTTGTAGTTCCAGTACCACATCCATCACTGTGTTGCCTTCTTCCCTCCACCAGTGTCCCTTTCCCATCAACACCCCTTCCCATTCCCACCCCCAGCTTCCTCCAGTAAGCTCTGTTCTGCAGACAGAATCTCCACTTCTGATGCCTTAGCCATTTATTATTCCCTTATGTTTTTTTCTATCTTCACATGAGAAAGAGCTTGCTTTGATTGTGGAGCTGGTGATACGTACACATATAGGTGAAGAAAGCTAAACTCTTGAAATTCCATAAAATTATAAGTCAGTGATAATAAAATTTTTTTCAAAAACTTTTTTGTATAGGTATAAACACTTAAAAGTTAAAAGTATGAATAATTCTATGCTAATTTATATGAAATAGATAAATTGTTTTTAGTTTGCTGCTTTTAGACCTCCTAGTTTGTTTTTTATTTCACCTACCATGCTCTTCATTTATGACATTTCTGAATGTAGTTTCTTTTAAATTTCTGCTCTTATATGGATTTTCTTTTTCTTTCTTTCTTTTCTTTTCTTTTCTTTTTTGGTCACACCTGGTGATGCACAGAGGTTACTTCTGGCTCATGCACTCAGGGATTACTCCTGGCAGTGCTTGGGGGGAACATATGGGATTCTGGAAATCAAATTTGGGTTGGCCACATGCAAGGCAAACACCCCGCCCGCTGTTCCAGCCCCAATAATGTATTTTCTTGTGCTTTGCTAACTTGTTTCTCCATTGTTTCTTGGAGCTCATTAAACTTTCTCACCTATCTCATTTCACAGAGTTAGTACTGAGAGGGTTTCTGCTTGACTTGCCCATTGTTTGTGCCGTGCTCTGTGGGCGACTCTTTGTAGTTTACTCCACTGGGAGTCTCTGAGGAGTTAGGCTCTACTGCTCTTTTCCTTTCATGCTAGTCCTCTTTTCATGCTAGTCCTTGTTTAGCAAGGATAAATTCTTGGTTCAGGTTACACGCAACAGTCAGTAGAGTTGAGGTTTGGAGTATGGATATGGGACTGGATGGTTGACTAAACTTGCAGAATGCCTTAAGAGGAGGAGGTGGGCCTGCTGAGATGGTAGATGTCAGACAAGCTGTTGAGACCCAGGCAGAAGGGAGGGGAATCCTCATTTTAAGATTTTGTATTTGAAACTGCCTTCTGTGCGGAAGTTGTGTCATTTGTACTCTGTTGGTGGCAGTGTATGAGACTATCAGTTTTAAATAGTCTCTTCAGTACTGAAAAGTATTATTTAAAATAAAAACTCTCAGAGGCTGCGGAGATAGTACCAGTGGGTAGGGTGTTTGCCTTGCACATGGCTGGCCTGGATTTGATCCCTGGCATTCTATATTATTCCCCAAACGCTGTCAGGAATAATTCCTAAGCACAGAGCTGGGAGTAAAACCTGAGTGTGGTCCGGAAACCAAAAACTAAATAAAAGCTCTCCTTGGTGCCTGGGAGGGTGGCTTAAAGGGCTAGTGGGCACACTACATCCCAGGGAGGCCTGGAATTCAAACCCATGCATCACATGGTTCCTTTGAATACCACAGGAATGATCCCCCTCTCCCCCCCACCCCCCACAAGCAACTCATCTAGAGTTGCCCCTGAGCACTGCAAGGTCTCGCAAACAAAAATGGAGGCTGGAGAGATAGCACAGTGGGTAGGGCGTTTGCCTTGCACGTGGCCGATCCGGGTTCAATTCCCAGCATCCCATATGGTCCCCTGAGCACTGCCAGGAGTAACTCTGAGTGCAGAGCCAGGAGTAACCCCTGTGCATCGCCAGGTATGACCAAAAAAACAAAACAAAACAAAAAGGGTAAAAAAAAAAAGAAGTTAAGGTGCTTGCCTTGCAAGTTGCTCACCCAGGTTTGATCCCCAACAACACATCTGGTTCTCTCCCCTGTCCTCATTCCCCTCACTACCCACCCCCTCCCCCAGCAGTAGTAACTTCTGAGCACAGCCAGGATTTACCCAAAACCAAGAACCACCCCTGCCCCTAAAAAAAGTCTTCCTAATTTGATAGATGAAAAATGAATTCAAAGCATTTTATTTTGCATTTCTCTAACCACTAAAGAGCATTCCAGTTGATCTGAGGTACTTTCAACATAGGATCTCCCTCTCAGTCTAAAGGCATAAGGTACCAGGAAGTTTTCTAAAGGCTTTGTCTTGTTGGTGTTAAATTGTCACATGTCTATCTTTTGGCAGATCTCTGACATCTACATTAGTGGAGAGTCAGGGGATATGTCAGCCAAGGAGAAGCTGCTCCTGTGGACCCAGAAGGTGACAGCTGGCTACACTGGAGTGAAGTGCACCAACTTCTCCTCTTGCTGGAGTGATGGAAAGATGTTCAATGCACTTATTCATCGATACAGGTAGATACTGTGGTATTACAATGTGCCTGGAGGTGCTTCTTGTCAGCTCCTGCTTGAAATTATTTATAATGCTACTTTCTTTCTTAACCAAGGCTCTGAGTCATTATAGTCATTTAAAAAGTATATGTAATATACCTATCTCTGGACCAGAGAGATAGTAAGGTGCCTGCCTTTCAGGAGACTGATCCTGGTTCAGTGGTGTCCCTGACACCACCAGGAGTAATCCCTGAGCGCAGAACCACGAGTAAGCCCCAAGGACTGAGTGAATTTGGCCCAAAAACAAATTTAAAAAGGTATATGTGCCGAACTCCAACTATTCTAGGCTCAGGCACAAATGCAGTGCATTCTTTTTTTTCTTGGAAAGTTTTTATTAGGCACTCAACAGATAAATACGCTGCAGTGGAGTGTCAAATGAAGGAGAATGACAGTTGTGCTCTTTTGGACAGAATGGTTGCAATGACCTCTCAGAACAGGATTCTGGAGCAGAACTACAGGGGAATAAGCCACATAGACCTCTTGGGTCAGAGTGTTTCAGCTGGAGAAGGTTACAAATAACTAAGGCCTGAAGTGGGTTTTTGCTTTGAGTGGTTGAGGAAATAGCAACTAGAAGCTAACTCTAGAGTGAGATGAGTGAGGAAGATAGAAATTTTAAATGATAAAAATCAAATGTATTACCTACTTGGTGGTTGTATAGGTGCTCCAGCTTTTACTCTGTACTAGTTTGTGATAGTTTTCCCATGAAATTTAGCAAAACCTATTTTTTAAGTTTAGGATTGGAGAGCTCTGGACTCCTGGTGTGTAATTAAAAATGGAATTTGTGCCCTTATAAGCCTCCTGCTTCGAGCTCATTCTCATTCAGTATTTCTCTATTCTCTGTACTTTCGAGATTTTCTGTGTGACTTGAGTTTGATATGCCTTGGTGGACTTTTACAGACCTGATCTAGTAGATATGGAGAGGGTCCAGATCCAGAGTAATCGAGAGAATCTAGAACAAGCTTTTGAAGTGGCAGAGAGATTGGGGGTCACCCGGCTACTGGATGCAGAAGGTGAGAGTTGGATGAAGTTGAGTAAATTTAGTCTGTATTTACTATTCCTTCTCCTGGCAGCCTCCATTGTTTCGACTAAGAAATTTTATATTTTTTGTCCCTCAGATGTGGATGTGCCATCTCCGGACGAAAAGTCCGTAATCACTTATGTGTCTTCAATTTATGATGCCTTCCCTAAAGTTCCTGAGGGTGGAGAAGGAATCAGTGCTACGGTAAAAGAACACTTACCAAAAAATGCTATCTTAAACACTTGCTGTCTATAGAGGATTTCTTTACAGAGTAAACTGAATCAATGCTTTCTTTATATATGGTCACTGTTGTTGGTCCTCGGAATGAATCTAGCTATCACTTAGTTGGTAGTGTCCAGCACAGACAATTCTCAGTCAGAAAATTGAATCCATCCTGACATCCATCCCCTGAGGAACTTTGAAACTAGGACTCCGTGTACAACTGAGCAACTATGTAGACACAGGATTTTATGTGGTTTGGGATGACTTGGGCTACTTTCTTTTCCTCTGGTTGTTTTGCATACTGCTGACTAGAAGATATCATATATTTACTTTTTGGCGACAGGAAGTAGACTCCAAGTGGCAAGAATACCAAAGCCGAGTAGACTCCCTCATTCCCTGGATCAAGCAGCATACAATTCTGATGTCAGATAAATCTTTCCCCCAGAACCCTGTTGAACTAAAGGTAAAGTCATGGACTTAAAAATTGTTTGGGGTTTTTTCAATTTATTACAGTAAATAAGTTTCAGAACTTGTTGCTGTTTACTTCTGAGCGAGAAGATACGAAAAATGGGACCGGGTGCTTGTGTTCATTTATTCATCAAATATTTATTTTGTAGGCACTTTATAACCAATATATACACTTCAAAGAAACAGAAATTTTAGCCAAGGAAAGGGAAAAAGGAAGAATTGAGGAATTATATAAATTACTAGAGGTAAGGAAGTGTATCATTTGTTGAGCCTTGGGTTTGTTGGTTTCCCCTGTTGCATCACTTTGTATTAGGCAATCTTTTTGTTTCCTTATCTCAGCCTGCATTTAACATAATTCTCAGGCTGTCAAAACCAGCATCTCTCTCAGATTGTTTTTTTCTTGGGATGGAAGTGAGAGACTTCCATTCACATTTCAATTCCTAGAAATTTGAAGCTGCAAAGATACAAGTTTGACCTTTTCCAGAGTGGGAACTATTGAGAGGGTGGTGTTTATCAAAACTGTAGAAAGAAGAAGCATTTAGATCAGGTGGTCCCTGTATTTTAGAAACTACCCTCTCCCCCCCCCACCCCCACACACACACACTTCAAGCTGAGTTACTGCTAAATAGTTATTTTCTTTTATTAGACAATAAGAGAATCTTTTGACTGACTGGGTAAAAAGAAGCAATTGATATACAAAGATAAACACACTGTGGCCTGTGGATGTGTTGTATAAGTCAACTAAAAGAGTGTTTCTGGCTTTTTTTTTTAAGGTGTGGATTGAATTTGGCCGAATTAAACTGCCTCAAGGTTATCACCCTAATGATGTGGAAGAAGAGTGGGGAAAACTCATCATTGAAATGCTGGAGAGAGAAAAATCACTTCGACCAGCTGTGGAGAGGTGAGTCCAGAGTATTGAGGGTGATCCTCTTGCACAATCTGGAGCCCTGCTTTGACTGTAGATTTTATCTTACTTTAGGCTAGAATTGCTGCTACAGATTGCAAACAAAATCCAGAATGGTGCTTTGAACTGTGAAGAAAAACTGACACTAGCTAAGAATACACTGCAGGCTGTAAGTCTCTGTTTTGTCTTATTCTTATACCGTGTGTTTTCCATGTCTTCCCTGTGCTCTCCTGAGTGAAGTTGACTGTTGGGGAAAACAGCAATGTTACTTGCTTACTCTTGGAAACGCAGTGGACCCCATGGTTCCCTGAGTCCTGTTGGGTAGAAGCCATGGGATTTTGCTGCTTTCTCCCTTTCTCAGGATGCTGCTCACTTGGAATCAGGACAGCCAGTACAATGCGAGTCAGATGTCATCATGTACATTCAAGAATGTGAAGGTCTTCTCAGGCAGCTGCAAGTGGATCTCCAGATCCTGCGGGATGAGAATTATTACCAACTAGAAGAGCTGGCTTTTAGGTGAGAAATTTGGACTCAGAGGTCTTGCTTGCATGTGAGGCTTGTGGATCAAGAGTCAGGCAGTGAGTCTTATACTTTGTCCTAGGACACTTAGGGGTCACTGTCTCTGTGGGTACTCTGTATTTGAGGCAGGAGCTTCCTTTTGCTGGAGAACAGTTTCCACTTCTTCCAGGCCTGCCAGCTAAGTACCCGTAGTATTCCCGATTTGTGGACTCTTGTAACACCCCCACATATCTCCAAGTGACCTGCAGGCGCATCTTGCCATATCTGGTTTAGAATGGTTGGTGCTCTAGTGCATCATTTTGTAGAAGAGGAAAACAAGACCCAGTGAAAGGATGGGGATGGTCTAAATCATGCAGTTTGTATAATCTCAAAACTAAAACCCACATCATTTGACTCCTAATCTGTAGTTTACTCTGTTATACCATGTGGGCGTGGGCGTTAGGTAAACAAATACTGATTTCTTACTCTTAACACCATGTTTTATTCTTTTTCCTAAAGACAACTTGAATGATGAAGATGTTAATACTACTTTCAGTTTATATAAAACCTTTTTTTTTTCAAAACTCTTTCTGATTTGATCTTTTTATTTTTTTTCTTCATCCTTGTCAAAAAGGATAGCGAAGGTTTTTTTTTTTTTTTTTTTTTGCTTTTTTGGGTCACACCCAGCGATGCAGAGGGGTTACTCCTGGTTCATGCACTCAGGAATTACTCCTGGCCGTGCTTGGGGGACCATATGGGATGCTGGGAATCGAACCCGGGTCGGCCGCGTGCAAGGCAAACGCCCTACCCGCTGTGCTATCACTCCAGTCCCAAGGATAGCAAAGTTTTTAATCTTAAAGCATATGTTTCAGATTTAAGCCTCTTTCTCTTATTTCATTTTAGGGTTATGCGTCTGCAGGATGAACTAGTCACTCTGCGTCTAGAGTGTACAAACTTGTATCGGAAGGGCCACTTTACATCACTTGAATTAGTTCCACCCTCTACCTTAACCACTACTCATCTGAATGCAGAACCATTGACCAAGGGAACCCATTCTTCCTCTACCTCCTGGTTCCGAAAGCCCATGACTCGGGCTGAGCTTGTGTCTATCTCCTCCTCTGAAGATGAAGGCAGTCTTCGATTTGTATATGAACTACTGTCTTGGGTAGAAGAGATGCAGGTAGGTATATATTCTAAATACTTAGCATTAAAGTTTACTGGTTCTCCACCTGTCTAAAAGGACCAGGTTGATCTCTGCTTCTAGCATAGATCCCTGAATTATTGATGCTGCATGGGGCCCAAACTGCCTTCTTCATATTAAATTAGTATTATTATTTGTTTTTTGGCCATATCTGGTAAGCTCAGGGGTTACTTCTGGCTCTGCACTCAGGAATTTCTCCTGGTGGTGCTCTGGGAACCATATAAGATGCTAGGGATTGGATCCAGGTTGGCTGCAAGCAAGGAAAATGCCCTGTTCATTTTACTATTGCTCCTTCCCTCATCAATACTAACTTTTAAATGAATATGGCTAATTCAGATTCTCAAAATTTGTGTGGCATAGGCTTCCATTTGAGAACCTAAATGTACAACAAATTCACTTGCATGCAGCTGACCCAGGTTCATTCCCCAGCACCATGATATGAGCCCCTGGGCCACACCAGAAGTAAGTCTTGAGCATAGCTGGTTGTAGCCCTAAGTACCCCCACCCTTAAAAAAAAAGACAAAAACCAAATTTGAAGTTCTTTGGAAATCTGTTCCTTTTAGTAAAGAACTCTTTAAATGGAACACATGGCAAAAAAATTTGCAGCAAATCTCAGTTCTTTTCTCTGACATGTCCTCATTGGCAGAGAAGTTTATTTATTTATTTATTTATTTATTTATTTATTGTTTTTTGGACTACATCTGGCGATGCACATGGGTTTCTCCTGGCTCATGCACTCAGGAATCACTCCTGGCGGTGCTCGGGGGAACCATATGGGATGCTGGAAACCAAACTTGGGTTGGCTGCATGTAAGGCAAACACCCTATTCACTGTGCTATTGCTCCAGCCCTGAGAAGTTTATTCTTTCCTTTTTTTTTTTTTTCTTTTGCTTTTTTGGGTCACAACCCAGCAATGCTCAGGAGTTTCTCTTGGCTCGTGCACTCGGGAATTACTCCTCCTGGCAGTGCTTGGGGGACCATATGGGATGCCAGGGATCGAACCTGGGTGGGCCGTGTGCCAGGCAAATGCCCTACCCGCTGCACTATCACTCCGGTTCCCCGAGAAGTTTATTCTTACTTTTTGTTATTGGTCTCAACTTTCAAGGTGAAAAAGGGTAGCTTTGTCACACTATTTTCAGGGAACTCATCAAATGTTGACTAGAGTAATGAGTCCAATATTCTTCTTACCCTTCCAATCTCTTAATTTTGCGTTAAATTCTTCCTGTGCCCTGATACAGGTTTCACCATTTGCCTATAGATAAAAACCATTTAATTTTGTTGTCTATGGCAAATGTTGCCTTACACTGGACATAGTTGGTGCTGTGATTGAAATTTAGTATTTTCATATGGGAACTGGAGAGATTTTATAATGGGTAATATGATTGCCTTGCATGCAGCTGATCTGATGTTCCCCTCTAGTCTCCCTGAGGAGTAAGTCTTGAGCACAGCCAGGTGTGGCCCTCAAACCAAAAAAATTAAAAATTATGAATTTCTTGTCAAAGCCAGTGTTTTTCATTCTTTTTGCACCTTGAGTATAGTCTTTGAGAACCACTGGTCTTTCAAATGATGAAGTTCATCTTCAGACTGTGGAAGCACCTTTTTGTTTGGTCAGTTCAGGAATGTATTCCCATAAAACAGCAACAAAGGGTACTTCCTCTACTGCTGTAGTTGGTGGATTTAGTTTGTAACTTCCGAAGTAGACTGTGGTGTGCTGTCTTATAAGAAATCATATGGAGGTGGATTAGATGTCCTTTTGCCAATTCTTCGCCTCCAACCTCCTGATCCTGATTCTTAACAGTTTAAAATTTTATTTTTGTTTCTGGGCAACTGAGAAGTAAATAACTATGTATGTATTCTTTTTCTTTTTTAGATGAAACTGGAACGAGCAGAGTGGGGCAATGATCTACCTAGTGTGGAGCTACAGCTGGAAACACAGCAGCACATTCACACCAGCGTGGAAGACTTAGGTTCAAGTGTGAAAGAGGCCAGGTCATATGAGGTACTTGGCACTGGAATTCATTATGGAGATGGTGGGTGGTGGGGCAGCCTGCACGGGGCAATAGTCTCTAAGGAGAAGGATTCTCAAGAAGAGAATGTCTACCATGAACAGTACTTTACAATGAACTCCCTTTTCTAATGAAATGTTTTTTGTTCTTTGGAACAACCATGTGAAAGAAGTTGGGTTTTGTTTGTTTGTTTGTTTGTTTTGGGGATTTGGGGGGAGTGCGACACCCAGTGGTACTCAGGGCTGCTCCTGGCTCCGCACTCAGGAATCGCCCCTGGTGGTATGCAAGGGACCATACAAGATGCCAGGGACTGAACCCAGGTCAGCTGCGTGGAGGGCAAGAGCCTTACCCACTATACTATCACTCCAGCCCTAGAAGAACTATTTTTATTAACCTCTTATCATAGAAAGGAAAAGATGATATGGAAATCAAATGAATTAAGTACTGGGTGCAGTTTCTAAACGCAGGCCCTCTACTCCCAAAACAATGCTCTTTTTCTTTTACCTTCTGTGAAGAAGAGCAGTAAAGAAACTTCCTTTGTCTCCCTACTCCCTTATTTGTTGTGTCTCCCAATCACCGTTTCAGTTCTCCCCTTCAAAGTAATAACTGAAAGTTGGGGCTGGAAAGATAACAGAGCGGGTAGGGCGTTTGCCTTGCATGTGGCCGACCCAGGTTGGATTCCCAGCATCCCATATGGTCCCCTGAGCACCGCCGGGGGTGATTCCTGAGTGCAGAGCCAGGAGTAACCCCTGTGCATCGCTAGGTGTGACCCAAAAAGAAATCACTTAATCACTTTTTGTTCCAAAAAGAAAAAAACAAACAAAAACACCAAAGTAATAACTGAAAGTGTGGGAATCTTCACACATAAATTTTGCTTAGAAACCTCTCAGAATTGCTGAAAGCTTAAGACACTGAGGTCTGTCACTTGTGTTCACCCTGTTGAAATGTTCCTGACAGTGCTGCTCTGAGTTAAGAGGTCTCATTCAGACATTGGATATTTATGCTTCTCTTTTCTCAGAGTAACCAATCGTCATCTGTTTGCAGACATGGTATTTACATAGTTGAAATCATACCATAGTACAGTTTCTATTTTTTTCTAATATATTTTTTTTTATTTTATTCCTTATCAGGGAAAAATGTCCCCAAATTTCCATACCAGCTATGTTGAAACTCTTGGAAAGCTAGAGACACAGTACTGTAAATTAAAGGTGAGTTTTTGATGGATTTTCTTTAGGTTCTGTTTGTGGAGAATCATCAGTCAGATTAGAATCATGGTTTCCTTCAAACAATTTTTCTGCTGTATTTCAGAAGGCTAATGATTTTTCCCTTAAAATTAAAAAAAAAAATTTTTTTTAGTCTTCCCTTTTTTTTTTTTTTTCCTTTTTCTTTGTTTTTGATTTTTGGGCCATACCCATCTATGCCCAGGGCTTACTCCTGGTCTGCACTCAGGACTCATTCCTGGTAGGCTGAGGGGACTGTATGAGATTAGCTGAGTGCAAGGCACTGCCTTACCCACTGTACTTTCTCTCCAACCCCTTCTTTTTTCTTATTTATTAGATTATATCATTTACTGGATAGTTGTTCTTATATAATACAGCATTTCCTTAGTTTTTCTAATGCTCAGAATTTGCTGCCCTCAGAAAATTTTGGGTAAGTTTAGACTGTCTTGGCTATCTTGCTTTACCAAAGCAGTAGCTGTCCTCACTTTGAGACACTGAAATAAAATATTTGAGATTACCACTTGCAGATGGCAGAGCCTGGCAAGCTCCGCAGGGTGTATTCGATGTGCCAAAAACAGTAACAAGTCTCACAATGGAGACGTTACTGGTGCTGCTCGAGCAAATTGATGAACAACAGGAGGACAGTGCTACAGTGCTACCACTTGCAGAACAAAGAGCAGATGTTTGATGCTCTATACACTGCCAGGTTCAGGTTTCTCTGGCTGCCAGAATATACACATCTCCAAGAAGTGGGGTTCACCAAGTTTATTGTTACTGTAGATGAGTTTGGATTAGAGGGGGCAGGGTATGTTGGGGATAAATTTGAAATTGAGAGAATTTTACTCTATTGTTCTTTTTTCCTGTCTTTCAAGATAGTTTGGGATAAAGCAGGCCAGAGAGCCCCACACAGGCTTGATTCTAGCATCTGGCTAGAATTATGGTTCTGGAAATCCTTGACAATCTTATATTCATTTTGAGACCATGAAGAGGCACCTAGAGATTAAAGGGAAAGCTAAAATTTTCCCAGTTACTCTTTCTTTGATGTTAAAATGTGCTATCTTCAACATATGAAAGCCTGGCAGTCTAACCTTGTAATTCTTGCTTTGTCTAGGAAACTTCTAGTTTCCGAATGAAGCACCTTCAGAGCCTGCATAAATTTGTCTCCAGAGCTACCACTGAGTTGATCTGGTTGAATGAAAAGGAGGAGGAGGAACTAGCATATGACTGGAGTGACAACAATCCCAATATCTCGGCCAAGAAAAATTATTTCTCTGTGAGTCTAATACAACAGATCTATCCTGTTTATGTAATAACAGCAGAAGTGGGCAGAGGGACTAGTTTGCTGCAAGGTGGATTTCTGAAGTTAAGTTTGGCCAAATAGAAATGGGGGTGGTGTTGAAATATTGAATGTAATCAATTATTATGAACAACTTTATGAAAATGAAATTAAAAATAAAAAAAAAGAAATGGGGACCCTGCTTAATGTATCTGTGTATGTCAGAATGTATTGAATTAGGGGAAACTAAGGGTAAAAAGGAGAAGGGGTCAACTCTGGCAAAGATCTGGCATCTAAAGTGGTTCCTGTGGTATTAATAGATTTTAAAGCCAGAGGATGGCACACAGTAGGCTGAGGAAATAGTCTGAGCAAAGTCAGTGATAGGATCTGCTGGTGTGTCTGGTAGAATGTCAAGCATGGCCATTATTCCCCCAATAAGTCTAGCATTTTTGCTCTGCTCTGGAACCTTCTGACAGATAATGTTAGTAAATCTAACTTTGGTATTCATCCTATATTATAGTTTTATTTATTTATTATTGATTTATTGATTTGGGACCATACCCAGTGGTTCTTGGGTTCTTGCTCAGGGGTTAGTCCTGGCTTCTGTGCGGAAGACTTAATCCTGGTAGTACTTGGTAAACAATAGGAGGTACCAGGGATAGAGAAAAGGCCTGTTCAAGGCAGGTGCCTTAACTGCTCTCTCATAACCTCTTCAGCCCCATTATAGTCTTCTTTTTGGGGGGCGGGGGGACACATGGCCATCCTCGAGGGTTCCTCTTGGCTCTGCACGCAGGAGTCACTCTTGGTGGGTTTGAGGAACCATATAGGATACCAGAGATCAGACTCAGGTTATCCAAATGCAAAATGAGCACCCTGCCTGTTGTAATGTTGGTCTGGCCCCGTTATTGTCTCCTTTAAAGAAGGGCAGATAATGGAGCTGGAGCAGTAGTACAGTGGTTAGTGTGTTTGCCTTGCATGCAGCTGACCTTGGCTTGATTCCTGGCACCTTTTATGGTCTCCCAAGCCCATTGGGAGTGATCCCTGACCACAGAGCCAGGAGTAAGCCCTGAGCATAGCTGGATATGGCACAAAAAACAAACAAAAGTTGGCAGGGAAGGGGGACAGATAACATAGCTTTCTTCATTGCACACCTCCGCCTCTTACAGCTTCTAATAATTTATTGTAAGCAGTGCTTGCAGCAAAAATGATTTGGAATCAAAAAATCATTAACTTAAAATATCCTAAACAAGCAAAACTAGAAAGCCAGGTGATAAATGAATTTATTTGTTGTTGTTGTTGTTTTTACTTTTTGGGTCACACCGGGCGATGCACAGGGGTTATTCCTGGTTCATGCACTCAGGAATTACTCCTGGCCATGCTCGGGGGACCATATGGGATGCTGGGAATCGAACCCTGGTCGGGCCATGTGCAAGGCAAACACACTACCCTCTGTGCTATCACTCCAACCCCTGATATATGAATTTGTATTACATTTGTCTTGCATTATTAAAAGGACAGTTTCGAAACCAGTTTTGAAAAAAAAAATTAATTTTGCTTAGGAAGTTACAGTAGTATTAAAATTTATGATAATTACAGTGTGGGGGAAAAGGAGTAAGGATAGGGAGAGCAAGAATATCAGATTAGAAGAGATATAAAAGCCATAGTGAAAGGCCATGGGCACTTTGGTGGTACGGGTAGTAAGACTGTGTCCCAGTGACATTCCTCTCTTAATAGCACTTATTGTTTAAAAATTAATTCAGGGCTGGGGAAATAGCTCAAAAGATAGTGCAAGAGGCCTGAATTTAATCCCTGCTCTGCAAAAGGAAGCCCTTCGCGGAATGTATTCTTCCAAAAATAAATAAATTAAGATGAATTTTATTTACAGGAGTTGACAGTGGAACTGGATGAGAAACAGGATGTGTTCCGGTCTCTACAAGACACTGCAGAGCTGCTTTCACTTGAGAACCACCCAGCTAAGCAGACTGTGGAGGTACATAACTTGAAAATGTCAGGGACAAGGTCTCAGGGCTGGTTTTGGGAAAGTGAGTATTTCATTTCAAGACTGTGTTCTTCTGAAGACGGGGAGAAAAAGTGTCCATGCGATTTACCTTGGTTTTCCCTTTTTGTTCCTACTCCAAAAGATTACAAACAGCTTTTATAGTCCAAAGAGAGAATACTGTGTGAAGCAAGAACAGATAGTCCTTCCTAAATTCATGAGAAAAGTGCCTTGGATCATGTATCTATTTATATTTGTTTTGTTTTGTTTCGGGGCCACATTCTGTGGTTCCCTGGCATATTCCTGGCTCTGTGCTCGGGGATCACTCCTGGCAGGGCTCAGGAGACCATATGGGGTGTGCTTGAGTTGGCTGCATACGAGGCAAGTACCTTACCTGCTGTACTGTCTTTCTATCCCCTGGATTATATTTTTTTTCAAATGACTTTCCACAGAGATTCTTTCTCTTGTGGGTACTGAGCTTTTTCCCAAAGAAGAGAGACTATGGAGGAATCTAGTAGGTATTTATTTACTTCCAATTTTTACTAGTTCACTATAGAAAAGGTCTTCTAATAAAATTATAGTGGATAAAAGGCAAGCCTCTTTTTCAGAGGAAGCACTAAGGAGGTGCCAGTCAAGTATCTTCATGTCCCTTCTGTTGGCCTTTCTATCATTTGCAGTGTTGTACTTAAAACCAGAGCTTTATGCATATACATTGAGAGTTTGCAACTTCTGTCCTTCATTAGTGTGCTTGGTTATTTCAGGCTTACAGTGCTGCTGTCCAGTCCCAATTGCAATGGATGAAGCAACTGTGTTTGTGTGTTGAGCAGCATATTAAAGAGAATACTGCTTACTTTCAGGTATGTGGGCTTTGTATTTGAGTGTGTATATCTGTGTGTGTGTGTGTCCTTCCTAAATTCATGAGAATTCATGTGTGTGTGTATGTGTGTGTGAATGCACCTGTGTAATCAGATGGATGAGGAGAATATCTTTTTCATTCAGGCAAGAAATTGTGCTTGTTTTCACCTGAATACAGAGGAAGAGATGAAGTTCTAAAACAGATTTGCATCACTTAACCTTTCCTGTATAAATCACTTTTCTAAAACTCAGTTGCTTAAAACAATAATCATTTAGTTTTGTTCACTATTTTTTGGGTCGGTTGTTTGGGTGGAGTTCAGCTGAGTGGTTTTTATTCTTGCCTGGTTTACTCATGGATGCAGGCAGCTGGTATCAGGCTGGAAACTACTTGGTCCCAAAAGGCATCACTCACCTGTCTGATAGTTGGATAGAGTGGCAGGGTTCATGTCCTCACACAAGCTTACAATAGGCTTCTCACAGAGTGATAGTCATCCACAAGCAGCAGGACAGAATACACGTCACTGCACAGGCACTTTTTTTTATGTTCTGTGCCATTGACCAAAGCAAGGAATATGTTCGGCCTCATGAGGAGCATTAGACTTTACCACTAGATTGGAGAAGCTGTAAAAGATCAGGACCCCCTTTTTTCTTTCAGACCATAACCAACTTGCAGCGTTCTCTGTATGTTTTCAGGTAAGAGTAGAAGGAAGAAATAGTTTTTATATATACCTGATTTTGCCTTCAAGTAAGACATTTCCTAGTTCGTTTTGTAGATGTATCAATGAATGGAAGCATTTGATCACCTAACCATTTTTATGACTTCACAGTCAACTCTTGTCACTAGCCAGTAGTGAAGTAGAGCAGATAGTGATTTTTTTTTAAAGGATGTTTTGCAGGCTAACGTTTTCTACAAGGGTCAGTAGCAGTTACAACGAATACTTCTCTGATACGGCGTTTTAATTCCTCCATTTTGTGCTCTTGTGGTCCTTGTAATGAACTGTTGGTAATCTAGTTGAGTTTGCAGAGCTTTGCTCAACTTAACATAGTAAAATAGTCCTTTCTCCCTAACATCTTGGTGTTATAATGTGTTGAGCACAAGGCGCTCCTTGTGTCCCCACAGTTCTTCAGTGATGCACGAGACTTAGAGACATTCTTGAAGAATCTCCAGGACTCCATTAAGCGAAAATATTCCTGTGATCACAACACCAGCTTGTCCCGCCTTGAGGACCTGCTCCAGGACTCCATGGTGGGTGTTGCTTCGGTGGGATGGTTACCTCCGAGACACAGAGTAAACCAGATCAGTTGCTGCTTTTATATCCTTGAAAGCCCCAGGCCAGTGGGGCATTGTGATATGTTCGTTGCCCATTCAAACAGAGTTTAGTCAGTTTAGTTTTCTTTTTCTTTTTTTTTCTTTTCTTTCCAGGTTGTTAATAGGATTCCTTTGGGGAGCTTTGATAGCTTGGTTCTCTCAAGACTATGAGCCACTGAGTGCTCATACTTTTTTTTTTTTTTTTGCCTTATTTCCATTTTAATTTAATAGTTGGGGCTAAGGATGAGGTATACCTCATGAAAAATAGGGTTGAAAGGGACATAGTGAGGTTACTTTTTTGTTTGTTTTTATTTTGTTTTTTGAGCCCCACCCAGTGGTGCTTTAGGGACTACTCCTGGTTCAGAGCCTGGCAGACCTTGGCATGCAGGGATCCAACCCACATCTCCCACTGGCTCTTCAAAAGGAGATAGCCTTCTGAACTATCTCCCTAATTCCAAGATTCAGTTTTATTTTATCATGAAAAGAGAATTTAATAAATCAGAAGGTTAAAAAATGAATGAGACCTAAGCCAGATTTTTTTTCAAATTTTTCTTTTGGTAGTGATTAGTGGAAAAATCAATGGACAACATTAAAACCTCTTTGAGAGTACTATGTTTATTATCCAGTTTATTTATGCAGATCTTTTGTTTTTGTTTTCATATTTTTGGTGTTGGGGCCACATCTGGCAGTGCTCAGTGCTTACCCCGGCTCTGTGCTCAAGCATCACACCTGGCAGGGCTCAGGGGATCATATGGGGTGCTGGATTGAACCCAGGTTGGCTGCATGCAAGACAAATGCCCTACCTGGCATATCATCACTTTGCCCCCCCCCCCCCCAAATTTTTTTGGTTTCTTTTTTAAACAAAACTTTTAAGTAATTTATTTTTAGTTTTGGGGCCCCACCCTGTGGTGCTTAGGAGCTATACCTGATTCTGTTATTGAGGATTGATCCCAGAGGTTGATTGATTCTCAGGACCATGCAATATCAGTGATCAATTCTAAACCTCACACGTGTGAGATATGTGCTCTATCGCTGAACCACATCCCTGGCCTGTACTAATATTTTTTGGGGGGAATGGAGGAAATTGCGGGATTCAGAGCTCGGAGGACTATATATGGTGCTAGAGATTGAACCTAAGTTGGCTACATGCAAGGCAAGTGCCCTTTCCACTGTAATATCTCTGGTCCCAGCATTAACTTTTTTGTTTGTGTTTGCGCAACACACATGGCAGTGCTTGGCGTATACTCTTACCTCAGTGCTCAGGGGACTGTGCAGTGCTGGGGTTCAAATGTGGGCTTCAGCTTCTTGAGCTCCCTATCCAGCCCAGTATTAGTGGCTTTATGTTCAATATTTAATCCAAATATATATTCATTTTTCCAGTTATTTCTATAGGAGTGATGGTAATATAATCAGCTGTTGAATTACTTCATTTTTCAAAAATGTAGATTACATAGATTTGGTAAAGATAGGACTCAAGTCACTTCTCAAATTAAGGTAGAAATATTATTACAATGCATTTCTGATTTATTAAAGTTCAGATTAAAAAATATACATATATGGTAAAGTATCTTTTCATGTGAGATTCTCAAATTTCATGTGAAAATATAAACAGGAGAACCTAAAACTTATTTTTTGAGGTTTAGATTTGGGCATTTATAAACATAAGTTGATATAAAAACCTTTTATTATACTATTAACTGTCATAAACTTGTAATGGGTTTATAATCAGTGTTTCACCTGGGAAAATGATCTTTTCATTAATTTGAAACGAAGGATAAAAACTTGACTTCAGATGTTGTCTCTAGAATGTCTCTCTTCATAGTTTGTCAATATGAAGGAGGAATATAATAGTCCTTGGCTGTTATCTCCTCCCTCCTACAGAATATCTCCCTGTCTTAGGGTAACTCCTCTGCAATTGTTGTCTTATCTTCTCTTCTCGAGGGTCGCTGCTCTGTTCCCTCCTCTCCAGGTCAGGGGCATCGGGTTGGCGGAGTCATCGGGGCATGGAGTCACCTGGGTCTGCTCCTCAGCTTGCCCGTCAGGTTCGGGAGCATCTGTCCTGGCTTCTGGTTCTTTTCAGAACTTTTACCGCGCTGAGCACTTGGTCTCTGGAGCTTGAGATGTTTGGCTCTGGGTTAGACAGATTGACATCTCATTGCAAGGAAACAGGAATGGGTAGACCAGCTCTCAAGTATGGCACGATGTGGCTGTCTCCCTAATATTCCATTCCTCTTTCTTAACTAATGAGTTAAAGTTGTATTTCTTCCAATCATGCTCCCGGGGACAGGCACAGGTAGTTTATTTAAGCATTTCTTTTTCTTTACTTGCATATTCTTAATTGCATATTCTTAATTCTTTAATGACATTTCTTAACATTATTAACTTTTTATCCTCATCACATCTGCTTCCATCCTAAGAAAACCCTCTTCTGGGGATATTTTATTCCTAAATATGGGCTTGAAACATCCTGATTAATATATAAAGGTTATCTTTTATTCTGTAATGGAATTGCTTTGCATTGCTACCAATTTTGTTGACAAGTTTGTTACTTTTTAAGATAATTGGGTTTGCAGAGACTTGAGTGTTAACAGTTTTGCATGATACAATTCTTCTTTCAAACCAATCAAATTTATTTGAATATGGCACAGCAAGACACTAAAAGGTAAATCCTAAGTCATGTCATGTTGCCTTCACCACCACATTAGTTCATATATTATTGGTGGAAAAGCGATTTCTGTAGAAAGAGTGAATTTATGAGCATGAAATATTTGTTGTAGAGCTTGGGAGATGTAATTATTTTTTAAAATATGTTAAAGAATATAACCCTTGTGTCTCCTAAACTGAAGGCAAAATTGACTTCCATCAGTGAGAAATTGAATTTTTTAAAAAAAATTGTTTTTAACTTCTATGTTGTCTGAACCCTATTTGGGGAAATCCTTGGTTAGTTGTATTGCTGTATTTGGCAACTAGAAGTCTTTTATTTATTCATTTATTTTTGCATGTAACTTTATGATTCATTATAAAAGGGAAAAGCTGGAAATTTGAGTACAAAGAACACTTGGTAGAAGAAAGAAACATCTTCTCTGTATTTCTAAATGGCTCCACCAAGGATCCCTACTTAATTGAGAAATGAGCTTCTCTGAGGGAGTGGAGCAGTTTCTTGTTGATTTTGTTACACTACATAGAAGCACTTATGTTTTTTGTTTTTCTTCTCATTTATTAGGATGAAAAGGAACAGCTGATACAGTCCAAGAGCTCTGTTGCCAGTCTTGTTGGGAGGTCAAAAACCATCGTTCAGCTAAAGCCACGGAGTCCTGAGCATGTGCTAAAGAGCACCATATCTGTGAAGGCCATCTGTGACTATCGACAGATCGAGGTGAGGAGACAAGAAGGAAGGAAGAAGGGAACCTTTCTTGGTTTTTTTTCTGGTTTTTTTTTTTAAATTTTATTGAATCACCGTGAGATAGTTACAAGCTTTCATGTTTGGGTTACAATCACACAGTGATCAAACACCTATCCCTCCACCAGTGCACATTCCCCACCACCAATATCCCCGGTATTACCGCCCCCCCCCCCACCCTTCCCCTGCCTCCATGGCAGACATGATTCCCCATAATCTCTCTTTACTTTTGGACATTATGGTTTGCAATACAGACACTGAGAGGTTATCATGTTTGGTCCTTTAGCCACTTTCTGCACACATCTCCCATCCCTACTGATTCCTCCAGCCATCTTTTTCTTAGCGATTCCTTCTCTATTCCAGCTGCCGAGAAGGGAACCTTTCAGTTAGAGTTTTGATAATCAGGAAAGATGACATGAGGGTTTTTTGTTTTTGTTTTCTTTTTAAGTAGAATTTAAGTATGCTCAAACCTCTCCTATCATTAAAGAAAAGAAGGTTGGACTGCCAATATAGCTCTGTGGTTAAACACATGCCTCACATAAGGCCTGGCCTTAATCCTGGGAATGTCAAAAATTAAAAATATAGATTTTTTTTTTTATGTAACATTAAAATTGAGGTGGAGAGATGGCTCAAAGGACTGGAGCATGTGCTTTGTATGTAGGAACCTCAGATTCAGTTTTTGGAACCACATGACATGTTCTTCTAAAGACCTATTGCAGACAACAACAGCCAAGAGTGAGCCTTGCTCTACAAAATCCTTGCAATCTAGATTTGCTCCCTGCCTCCGAAATGTACATTCATCTAGTTGCTTACATGTGGGCAGAAAATGGGGCTGGAGAGATAGTACAGCAGGTAAGGTGCTTGCCTTGCATGCGGTTAACCGAGGTTCGATCCTGGCATCCTATGTGGTTTCCCAAGCTCTGCCAGGAGTGATTAATGAGTGCAAGACAAGGAATAACCCCTGAGCATCACTAGGTGTGGCCCTGACCCACAAAAAAAAAAAAAAAAAAAAAAAAAAGAGAGAGAAGAAGAGAGAGAGAGACAGAGAGAGAACAGGACTGAAATATCTTGGAGCTATTTTTAACTAGTCCCCACAGCTACTAAGTACATGCTAACTTATAAAAAGTATCCCTTAGATCTTTTTTTGTCCTTGCCTTATCTGTAATTTCTACCTGTTACTTTCCTAAATCAGCATACTGTGGCACTGTCCTCCCATTGTTCATTGATTTGCTCTAGTGGGCACCAGTAACATCTCCATTGTGAGACTTGTTACTGTTTTTGGCATATCTAATATATCACAGGTAGCTTGCCAGGCTTTGCCGTGAGGGTGAGATACTCTCGGTAGCTTGCCAGGCTCTCCGAGAGGGTCAGAGGAATCGAACCCGGGTTGGTGGTATGCATGGCAAATGCCCCACACATTGTGCTATTGCTCCAGCCCATTTAGGCACTTTTTGTATATATATGTACACACAAAACGTGTATATATAGATACACATTTATTTACACAAATGTATATATATGCTTTGATAATTAGCATAAAGGTGAACTCGGATGTGACCTGGGGAGAAGCTGTTCTGCATAATATGGATTAAGGAATCCAGTACTTTTAAGAGATTGTACTGCTGGAGATGGCTGAGTAGCAAGCACATGCCTTGCATGTAGGAGGCCTTGAGTTTGATCCTTGGCATTATATGATCACCACCCTCCCCTCCTCCCCCTGCACCCTCAGAGTGGGTGGCCCTGGGGAGGTCAGCACCACTTCACACCATGGGGTCTGAAGCCTCTGAGGGCCTCCACAGTTCCCCCACACTTTGTCCCTCACAAGACTTCCCTGGGAATAGCCTTCTAGAAGACCCTTTCCCCTCCAGGCAGAGGGCCTGCCTCCTCGGCCTCTACCAGGTTTGCCCATCCCTTAGTGTCGGCACGAAGCTGCCCTTGCAGTGGCTTGGGGTGGCCTCTCATTCCCTGGGCATATGGCAAGCTTCAGCTTGAACTGTCCCTTCCTTTGCCCTTTGTCACCCTCGAGGGATAACGCCCTACTTATGCTCACAGCTTTCCTCACTTGTTCATTCTGTTTCTGCATGTATTTTTTCATATTCTTCGTTCAAACCTTACAACCTTTACTGCATTTTAGGGACTTAGTATTGGTGGCCTCACATGGCCATCATTGAGGACAGGGACCAAACTCTGAGACCCACCCGTTGCCTCATTGCCCTCAGGCATGGGAACTGATATCAACTTTGCATCATCAGGGACAGCAGTGACTTCAGGAGAGCAGACTGCCCGGGCTGGGGCACTAAGGAGACCTCGCAGGTGCAGCTGTGAAGCTGCTGATCCAGAGTGGCCATAGCCACCTGGAGGGACACCTGGTGGTCAGCGACCTAGGAATGAATGAAAAGTAGAGAATGGAAGTGACAGTGGGGGAACCACTGAGGAGGTGTAGCTCACTTACAAAGTGCTCCTGGGGACTGCCTATCTCTGGAGGTGGAGCACACAAGCACACAAGGTGGGAGACAAGAATGAAAGTGGAAGAGGAGGCGAGGGTATGGCTCACTGGGCAAGCATGGGCCTTGCATGTGAGGCCCAGGTATGATCTTTGGACTTCTTAAAGCAATGAAGGGGAAACAGCATCCGCTGTTATGAAATGTTTGTCTGCAAACACATCTATTTTTTTTTTCTTTTTGGCTCACACCTGGCAATGCACAGGGGTTACTCCTGGTTTTGCACTGAGGAATAACTCCTGGTGGTGCGGTTTCCTAAATTAGGCCATATATTTAAATTGGAACATTGCATTAGCCTTGCCATTCAGTTACTCTCTTTCCTATGATATATCATGTCATTTCTCTATTAAGTCAATAGTTTTACACTTCTCTTTTTTTGTTTGCCTATTTGGGGTTTTTTTGTTTTGTTTTTTGAGAGGGTCATACTTGACTGTGCTCAGGGCTTACTCCTGGCTCTGTGCTCAGGAGTCTCTACTGGCATTACTTAGGGTACCATATGTGGTTAGTTGTACATCACCCATGTACAAGGCAAGTACCGTAACCCTAGTCCTATTTCTCTTTTCCTCCACTTCTGTTTAGAAATTCTCAATTCCTTTTTATGAATTTTTCTTTTGCTTGGGGCCTCCACCCAGCAGTTCTCCAGTTTATTTCCGGTTCTGTATTCAGGGATCACTCCTGGCAGATACTCAGGGGAGCATAAGCAGTCCTGGGGGTCAAACTGAGGCCAAGCACATTTAAGGCACGCACCTCACTGTAGGCCTGAATATACCTGAATACTATTATACCTTACCAAATAGGTCCTGAATAACATTTTTTCACTATCGAATCAAAACTGAGTCATTATCTTCTATCTACCTGGTAAATGTCACCTGTCACATGGCATTATAACAAAATTATCAGAATATTCAAATACTATTTAAGTGACCTAGTTGGTTGCAGGCATATATAAGAATAATTGTTATGCAAAAGAATGAATAAGCCTTCTTTTTTGGGGGTGCTTTTCTGGGTTCTGTGTTTCTGGCTATAAAATTGGATTAATAGGAGCACTTGCTTACATGTGAATACTTGCCTTACATATCTTTCAGGGAAACAGTTGATAATTTTTGAATGCTTAAACAGGGATCAGAATGATAGCTCAAAGGACTTAAGTGCATGCTTTGCATATAGGACGCCCAGGTTTGTTCCACAAAACCACCTGGTCCCCTAGCTACTGCCGGATTGGCCCCCAAATAAAACAAATTAAATGAAAAATTTACAAAATATTGGTTATCTTGTCCTGTGGAGTTTTACTTTAATGGCTGTTGATATAGTCAGATCACCCTTGGTGATTTTACCTTTTTTGTTTTATTAAAAAGGCAGTTAAAGTCAGGAGTTTATTTAAGAAAGAATGAACAAATGCTCTGCAGTAATTGGGCTATCCAAAAGTAGAATACCGCCATGTAACTTTTATATACTGAGTTACTTGACACTTAACAGTCATTTTATTCTTTATTTGAGATCTGTTTCCTTTGTGATGTACTTTATATGCTTCTTTTTTTTTTTTCTAAATCAGGAACTCTCAATAATGGCAGGTCTCCAGAGTGATTTTTTTTTCTTAAGATTTCATAGCTTTGTGATTATGTACCAGGTAATAGTAATGAATTGTATAACCATTAGCAATAACTTGTGAATTTGTCTCTTCAGATTACTATTTGTAAGAATGATGAGTGTGTGTTGGAAGATAATTCCCAACGGACCAAGTGGAAAGTGATCAGCCCCACAGGGAATGAGGCGATGGTGCCATCAGTCTGCTTTCTTGTCCCTGCACCCAATAAGGATGCCATTGAGATGGCCAGCAGGTAACTTTGCTTAGCTATCACTCTGTATCACCACCTTTGCTGATGGGCTATTCTGAACTGATGGAGAACTGATGGATTCTGCATTTGTGATCTTAAATACAGTGACCAAATTTTAAGACCACCTCTTAGGATATCAAGTCTCATCCTACCTAGCAACCACATACTAGATTTTCAATAAATGTTTATGTTTAATTAAGATATTTTTAGTGATAGGGACTAGCACGAGTAAGGCACTTGCCTTGCATGCAGCTGACCCAGCTTTGATCCTCAGCCTCTCATATGGTCTACCAAGCTCTGCCAGGAGTGATCCCTGAATGCAGAGCCAGGAGTAAGCCCTGAAGATAGCCGGGTGTGACCCTCAAACAAAATAAAAAACAAAAGAGACTTTAGTGGTATTTTTTTGTTGTTGTTGCTGTTGCTTTTTTGGAATTTAGGGCCACACCTGGCAGTGCTCAGTGTCTGTTCCTGGCTCTCTGCTCAGGGTTCACTTCTGGCTTTGCTTAGGGGATCAGTGCAGTGCTGGTGATAGAACCAGGTTAGGCTCCATGCAAGGCAAGCACTTAAGCCTCTGTACAATCTCTTTGGCCCTGATTTCTATTGTTTTTGGTGTGTTTGTGGGGGTGGAGTGGGGGGGACTTCCAAGCTGTGCTTAGGGGACCTAAGTGCCACTTTTGATAATAATCAACAAGGTTGGTGATTTAATGCTAGTGCCCAAGGATGCAGTGCTAATCTGGTCCTGCCAGGAAACACAAGTGCCACCCAGTGGTGCTTGGGCCTTTAGGTATGCCTGTGATGTTTGGGAGGCCATGTGGTTCATATACCCTAACCTCTGTACTATCTCCACAGCTTCTCATTGATAGTTTTGGGTTATAAATAATTTATTCTAGATGTTTATCTTTTCTAGTGGCTATTTTAATTTATGTTTTATTAAGTAATACATGCAATTATTTTTAAAGGTTGAGTTATATCACATGGTTTATAAAATAAACTAGCAAGAACCCAGCCCAGGGCTGAAGTGATAGTACAGTGGGTAGGGCATTTGCCTTACATACCACTGACCTGGGTTCCATCCTCAGCATCCTCATGGTCCCCCACCAATGCCAGGAATGATTCCTGAGTGCAGAGCCAAGAGTAATCCCTGAGCATTACCAGGTATGATCCTAAAAGGGAAAAGAAAAAAAAAAGGATTCTCACGCATCCCAGAGTTCTTCTTTTCCTAGGCAACTGTATTTGAGCCACACCTGGCGGTGCTCAGGGCTTACTCCTGACTTTGTGCCCAGGGACCACTCCTTGCAGACTCAGGGGACTATATAGGGTTCTGGGGATTGAACTTGGGTCGGACATTTGCAAGGCAAGTGCCCTACTGACTGTGCCATCTCTATGGCCCCAACTTTCCTGAACTTTAGAGAGAAAAGAAAACAACTGGGTTTGATACCTATGTTTTGGGGGCATTCCTGAGACTATTCCTAGCAGTACTTGCAGAACTGGGACATACAGCTCAGTGTGAGTGTTTTTTAAAAACATTTTTAAGAGGGGTTTTATTTTTGGGGGGTGGGGGGGGGACAACAATAGTGCTCAGGGGATCATATGATGCTGGGGATACGTCCGGGTCGGTCATGTATAAAGCAAACCCCTTACTCCCTATACTATCTCTCCAATTCTTATTCTTTATGTGTCACATTTTCTAACTTCAAGAAATTCAAGGTAATGTGATATATATGTTGAATTTGTAAGTTTGTAAGATTTCTGGAATTTGGGATTAAATTATCTACTGAATACTTAAGAAAAAGTCTTCTCAGGCTATGTATGTAGCTTAATGGTAGGACACATATTTTGTGTGCATGGGGCCGGAGTGATAGTACAGCAGGTGGGGCATTTGCCTTGCACATAGCCAACTCAGGTTTGATCCCCAGGACCCCATATGGTCCCTAGCCCCGCCAGGATTGATCCTTGAGAGCACAGCCAGGAGTAAGCCCTGAGCACTGCTGGTTGTACTGGTCCCCCTTCACCTCCCAATGCAAAACAAAACAGAAACACCATATTTTGTGTGTATAAGACCCTGAATTCAGTTCTTGGCACCAGAAAACAAAAGTGTCTTTCCAAGGCTTTATCTTAAAATTTCCCTTTGTATGCAGAGTGAACATTAGGTTACTGTTAACTTTTAAACATTTTAATAGTTCATGGCATACCTCACTTGGAAAATAGCTGATCTAGAACAGCAGTAAAGTAGGATGGGTTTAGAGCACAAGTCATAAAGGAAGTTTTTTGTTATAGTAATTGTTTTCACTTTGATAAACTACAGCCAGGATTAAATGTATTCATGGAAATGTGTTCAATTTGAAATTCCTGATGCTGCTTCCTGCCTTTATTATTATTACTATTTTATTTAATTTAAACACTGTGGTTTACAATGTTTTGGGCAGTTGTTTTGGGCATTCAGTGTTCCAGCACCAATCCCATAACCAGAGAGACCTTCCCTCCATCATTGTCCCCAGTTTCCCCTCCTTTCCTCCTGCTCCAGCAGAAAATAATTTATTTTATATTGCTTGCTAAAACAAAATGGTGAGTGGAATTATCTAAAAATATGTGGGATTATTGTCATTTTCTGAGGATTTAATAAGTTTTTTGTGGATAGTTTAACCTTCTGTGTTATTGATTTTACTTATTGAGCTTAGTGGGCCTCTATGCTACTTTCCATGTAATTTTGCTGTGTTCCTACTCGGCTGTCAGTATTGCAGAATTTGGAGATATCACATGGCCATGTATGTGGCTTCATGCTTTAGGAGCTCCAGGGTTCTGTAGAACTGTGATAATTCTTGGCCTGCCCTGGTATAAAAACCAGTATACCCAGGAGTTTCATCGACTTGGCTTGGCATCTCTTTCACAATTAGTTGCAAAGCTGGGCTGTTTACATGGCAGTGGCTGTGGGATGTGTGTGTGGCTGCTGGGGTTTTCGGCTGTTTTGGGAGTAGAGCTGCCTGCCCTCACTCTGAGAAGATCCCACGAGTTTTTAGCGCTAAGACCAATATAACTGGGAGATTTCTGGCTTGACGTCTCTTCAGAGATTAGTCATGAAGCAGTGACGTTGGGCTGTTTGTATGGTGGTGGCTTTGGGGTGTTGATGCAACTGCTGGAGTTTCAGCCGGTAAGGCATTTATCACACTCTCCTTCTGAGGGGACCCCACAGTTTTCAGCCTGAAGACTGCTTTATCTCTAAGTTTCATTGACTTGACTTGGCATCTCCTAGATTAGTTGTGTATCTCTGAAGCTGGGCCCTTTGCATGGTGGTGGCTATGGGATGTGGGTGCCTCTACTTTTACATTTTTATGATGCTTGAAGAGGTGGAGGCTGGTCTTTGCTGTTGACTGTTGATTACAGTCCTTCAAATTGTTAATACCTGATTTAGTAATAGTCACTTTAGTAACCCTTCTTCTAGTTGGGAAAGGAGGTGTCACCCTTCAGTTACGTCCTCAAGATAAAGTTAATGAAAAAAAAAAGTTCTTTTGTAAAACAAAAAATTGTGGGGGATAAGTTTTCTGAAGGCTTAGCCAGGTTCTTTGTGGTTTCTAGGGTGGAGCAGTCTTATCAGAAGGTGATGGCCCTCTGGCATCAGCTGCACATTAACACCAAAAGCCTTATCTCCTGGAACTATCTGAGGAAGGACCTTGACCTTGTGAAGACCTGGAGCCTGGAGAAGGTAATTGTGAAATTGCACCCTGGGTTTACTACCTACTGGCAAGCTTTTTCCAGAACAACAATTTTCAAGGACTGTGGAACTCCTCCCTATACAAAGAGAGTACAACAGCTGCAGTCTGTAGTCAGAAATCCTGTTTCAAGGCTAGGGAGGGGTTTGATGCCTTAGGAACTGGGACCATAGCAGGCTGAAATGGTAAAGGAAAATAAATAACATTTTTGTACTTCCTGGCAAGGGAAGAGGTGATAGTTTTCTTCTCATGCAGCAAAAACAAGCATGTTTTTAATATAAATGTATGTAGTAGGGGAATGCTGGTGAATAGACCATTATTAAGAGTTATGGTCTAGAAGGGTTGGAGAGATAGTATAGTGGGAAGGGTACTTGCCTTGCATATAGGCCAACACCTTTTTAATCCTTGGTACCCGAGATGATCCCATAAGACCCACCAGGAGTGATTCCTGAGTACAGAGCCAAGAGTAAGCCCTGAGCACAGGCAAACATGGCCCAAACAAACAAAAGGATCTGGGGCTGGAGAGAAGATATAGCAGGTAAGCAGGTATAGCAACCAGTCTTGTACCTGGTTGATCCAGATTCAATCCCCAGCACCCCATATTTCCCCCCCCCCCAAACCTGCCAGGAGTGATCCCTAAGTTTAGAGCCAGGAGTAAGCCCTGAACATAGCCAGGTGTGATTAAACACACACACACACACACACACACACACACTAAAAAGGCACAGATGTGGGGCTGGAGAGATCGCACAGTGGGTAGGGCGCTTACCTTGCACGCAGCCGACCTGGGTTTGATTCCCAGCATCCCATATGGTCCCCTGTGCACTGCCAGGAGTAATCCCTGTGCACTGCGAGCTAGTAATGTTTTCTTCTTGATCCGAGTGCTCATTACATGGACAAGTTGCATTTTCAAGAAATCAATTCGTTTATAGTCATGGTTTGTTTGTGCATAATTTTGTATATATGTCAAACATCGGTGAAAAAGAGGAAGGGATGGGGACCACTGAGAGGAAAAGAGAATGTTTCCATTCTATTAAAAATTCTCCTGGTGCTTTATCTACAGCTTCGTTCTTTGGCACCAGGGGAATGCCACCAGGTTATGAAGAACCTGCAGACCCACTACGAAGACTTTCAGCAGGACTGCCGTGACTCGGTGCTCTTCTCAGTGACTGATCGTTTGCGCTTAGAAGAGGAGGTGGAGACTTGTAAAACTCATTTTCAGCACTTGATGAAGTCCATGGAGAATGGTGAGTGCCTCAGAAAGAGAGAGAAATGGGGAACTGAAAGCTTGAAGTATATTGCTAGACCTTTCATGTAATCTAGAAACTATCATTATAACTTTTCCATTTTAGTTGCTAAGAGCTTGAGATAGAAAAAAACAGGTGGAAATATATTCTCAAAACAGATGTGAAAGAAGAGGCCATATTTTGGTTGCTGATGCCCACAATGAGCAGTTTTCTGGTATAAATAACACGTTTGGCTCCCTGTGTAATGTAGGGAATTTGGGAATCAGGCAGTGTTCCCCAGTTCAGGCCTGATTTGTAGAATATCATGCTGGCTGGAAACAGCGGTACCCTCTGTCAGAATGTGATTCTCTTTTCTTTTTTAAATTGATTTAATCATAGTAAATTATGAAGTTATTCATAATTAGGTTTCAGGCATACAATGTTCCAGCACCAATCCCTTCACCAGTGTCCACTCCCCTTCACCAATGTCCCATCCACTAGTCTGCCTCTATGACAGGCACTTTTAAAAATAAAACTAAATTTTGGATCCTGTAGTTTGATTGGTCTTCATGATAATACTTCACCACCTTTGAGCACCGTGCCCTCTTGCTGAGTAACCAGTTCCCTCCACCATCCACTATTGTTGTATTCTCTCTTGTCCTGTCCCTCTTCCCCCTCCACACCCCCCCCCCCCCCCGCCACACACACACACCCATTTCTTCAATGGCAACCTTCCTACTGATGATCAGTTTTCATGTTCTTTGATTCTGTTGCCTTTGGGCATTTGTTACTCCCCTGTTATGTTTCTTTATGTCCTGCAAATGAGAGAGATCATTCTGTGTCCCTCTCTCTCTTAGGGTGAATCTCTCGTTCCCAAGTTTACTGATGTCTGTTATAGTGCTTAAGGGTCATCTGTGCTTGTGTATTCACAGAGGATAAAGAGGAAACTGTGGCCAAGATGTACATTTCAGAGCTGAAGAATATCCAGCTGCACTTAGAGGAGTGTGAACAAAGGCTGGTCAAACGAATTCAGTCTCTGGCCAATTCAAGAAGTGACAAAGATGCTCGGCAAGACAGTGCATTAAGGATTGCAGAGCAAGAGGTAAGCTCTTAGAGCAAGATGGATGCTGTTTGCAAAATAAATTGAAAGGCCAGAGAGTGTGGATACTAAGAAGGCAGTAGAATCATGACCTTTCTAGTCAGGAGTTCTTCCGAACAGCCTACATATGTCTTTTACCCTTGTAGAAACATGATTTCTGCCCAAATATATTGATTCAATTCTCTACACAGTTTAGAGGCTAGCTAAATTGTTCAAAGTACTGACTGCATTTACTTGGGCTACATAATTTTAAATCTGCTTAATAGAGTTGCTTCTGTTAGCTCAATCCCAGTCATATGATTCAAAAAATAGTGAAGCTGGAGAGATTACAGCAGAGAGGGCGCTTGCCTTGAGTGCAGTTGACATGGGTTCAGTCTCCAGCCCTCTATATTGCTCCCCAAGCACCACCAAGAATGATCGCCGAACACAGAGCTAGAATAAAATACCTAAATACCAAAATAAAAAAATAATAAAGACTTGAGATCTACTGTCGCCTCTGATGGTCATTTCTCTATGATTCAAAGCAAATTAACACTCATCCTTAGATTCGTTTATTATAAAATGGAAGCATTATTTGAGTCACAGAGTTGTTTTGGAAATAAAGTGATATATGGGCCAAGGAAATAACTTTAAGATCCCAAGTTCAGTCCTTGGCACTGCCAGGCTCCCCAAGCACTATTGAGCAACACTGAAGTGGCCCTGGTGGCATTTAGCCCCAGGACCTGAACAGCATTGTTTCAGCAGTGCTGAGATTCGAACGCTCAGGCCCAGTTAGCTGAGTGTTACAGGAGTGGCCACCGGATCCCCTGAACATTGCTTGAGAGGCCCCTTCCCCTCTAAATTAAGGATATAATACATAGAATGAGTTTCCTGGAAAAGTACAATGCTATATAAGCATGTTGGGTAATATTTTTTAAATAACTGTCACTGTCCTCCTGTTGTTCATCGATTTGCTCAAGCAGGCCCAGTAACGTCTCCATTTTGAGACTTATTGTTACTGTGTTTGGCATATTGAATACATCATGGGTAGCTTGCCAGGCTTTGCCATGCGGGCGAGATACTCTCAGTAGCTTGCTGGCCTCTCTGAGAGGGGCGGAGGAATCGAACCCAGCTTGGCCGAGCCGGGTGTGCGCAAGGCAAATGCCCTACTGCTGTGCTATCGCTCCAATGCAGCAAATATTGCTTTATTAGGTTTTCATAGGCATACAAAGAAAGTAGCCAAGATTCTGGCTTTTGTTTGTTTGGGGGGGCTTTGTTTGTTTGTTTGGGGTCGCACCCAGTTGTGCTAGGGCTTACTCCTGGCAGGGGCCATGGGGACAAAATGGGGTGCCAAGGATTGAACAGAGGTCAGCCATATGCAAGGTAAGTGTCTTTCTGACTGTACAATCTTTCTGCGTTCCCCCCCCCCCCCCGCCTTTTTTCCTATAGTGTCATTAAAGAAGAGTATACGGTTGAAGTCACAATTAGAGACTCCAGTATAAGGGCTATCATAATTATAGTTCCTTCTTTATTTCATATTTCCAAGTCAGTCAACATTGCTACATGAATTTAGTGTTACCAGAACATTTCTGCTTGGGATGGTATGAGAATGCTCTATGAATAAAACTAAATTTGATTTGAGAGCTAAAAGGACTCAAAAGGAATGGCTAATGAGTGACTCTGAGTCTGTTCTGACTAAGTCACAGTGAGTACTGGGATATGTGTGAGAGTGGGGACTGGGCAAGAAACCAGCTTCTGTATTTTATTCTACATTTTTTTTGTATTTTGTTTTCTCCAGCATGTAACCAGACAGTATTTTGTCATTCACTGTCACTGACCTCCCATTGTTCATCGATTTGCTCGAGCAGGCCCAGCAACATTGTGAGACTTGTTACTGTGTTTGGCATATCGAATACATCATGGGTAGTTTGCCAGGCTTTGCCGTGCGGGCGAGATACTCTTGGTAGCTTGCCGGGCTCTCCGAGCAAGGAATCGAACTTGGGTCAGCCATGTTGGCCACGTGTGAGGCAAATGTTGATGATTGGTCATCATCAACAACAAAAAGAATGGTTAGTGAGGAAGAGTTTTATTTTTAATTTTTATTAGTGAAACACCATGAGGTACAGTTATAGATTTACAAATTTTTGTGCTTGGGTTTCGATTATACAATGATCAAGTACCCATCACTCCACCAGTGCCCATTTTCCACCGCCATGGATCCCAGTATCCCTCCCACACCCATCCCCCCATCCCACCCTGCCTCTGTGGCAGGGCATTCCCTTTTGTTCTCTCTCTCCTTTTGGGTGTTGTGGTCTGCAAAAGAGGCATTGAGTGGCAATCATGTTCAGTCAATAGTCTACTTTCAACATGTATCTCCCCTCCTGGGAGGATCCTCCAAACACTCATTATTTGGTGCTCCCTTCTCTATCTGAGCTGCCCTTTCCCCTAGAGTGCCCGGCTGGCCTCTAAGCCATGGAGTAATCCTCCTGGTACTGATCTCGGCTATTCTTGGGTATTAATCTCCTATTTTGTTACTTTATGTCCTCCAGATGAATGCAGTCTTTTTATGTCTATCCCTCTCTTTCTGACTCATTTCGCTTAGCATGATACTTTCCATGTGGTACCACTTGTATGTAAAATTCATGACTTCATCTTTTCCAACAGCTACATAGTACTCCATTGTGTAGATGTACCAAAGTTTCTTTAACCAGTCATCTGCTCTCGGGCACTCAGGTTTTTTCTTCTCGTCGTTATTCCTAAACTTGCAGATTGGGAAGAGGAGGTTGTATAACCTTTACAGCTGCAAGAGATCTAATTTGTTTATATGAGATATATGAATCTGTTGCTCAAGGGATTACTCCAGGCCCTGTGCTTTGGGGTCTCTCCCAACAGATGTTGGGGGACCCTAGGGTGCAAGGGATTAAACCTGAGCCTCCTGCATACGAAGCATTCACTCGGCCAGTGCTCTGTTTCGTGCCCATTATCTTCCTTTTTAAAAAACTTTATTTTGAAACCATATATATAAGCTTTTATTCTCATATTAAGTTTTATCTAGATTCCCTGGGTGTTAACATTTCTGCATTTGCTTTATCATTTTCTTCTACATGTATTTACCTAATACTGATCCCTAATGTCTTTTTCTTAAGTTCTAGACATAATGCTCCTTTACTATTAACCACTCCAGAGTGTATTTCCAAAGAACAAGAGTAATCTCTTACTTAACCACAAGACAATGATTCAGACAGGGAAGTAGCATTGGAAAAATACTGTTATTAAAAACCTTGTTAAAATTTTATGAGGTGACAAAATTTTTGGATAGCCCTTCCCAGTCCGCCCCCAAAATAATATCTTCAGTACATGATTCAATTTAATATCACTGCATTTAGTTGCTCTCTCTTTAGATTCCTTCCTTCCTTCCTTCTCTTCCTTCTCTTCCTTCTCTTCCTTTCTTTCCGTTTTTCGTTTTCTCTCTCTTTCTTTCTTTCTTTCTTTCTTTCTTTCTTTCTTTCTTTCTTTCTTTTTCAGAGGTGTTCAGGAATTATTTCCAACTTGATGCTTGGGGACCATGCAATACTGGTGATCAAACTCACTACATGTAAAGTGTCTACTCATCCTGTTGAGCTCTCTCTCAGTCCCCTCTTTCAGTTCTTTACCCTCAAAGTTTCTTCATCCTTCTTCATCTTTTATGACCTTAGTGTTTTTTGAAGAGGACAGGCTATTTGGCTTTTTTTTTTTTTTTTAAAGAATGTTCTTGTTTATCTGAGACCTCTTCTTGATTATTCAACAGTTTATACAGTTTGGCAGGAATATAGGAATACCACAGAGATATATGTTCTTGATACATGGTATCAGAAGATGTGTACTATTGATCTATCCCATCATTGATAGTACTTTTGTTATTGTTGTTAAGTTTTTTTTAGGAAAAAAAGTGATTTTTTTCTTATTATTTGTTGCTCCTTTGTAATCAAGTAAACAAAATTACTTAATGTCTTGTAAGGAGAGTCTTATATATAATCTCAAAAGATTATATTTTTTTTACATCAAAATTTTCACATAGTTTTAGCATGTGTTGTATTTTTTTTTTTTTAAATTCAGGGACTTGTGAACTGCAATGTTGGCCCACGCCCATTGTGCATTAGGAGCTATTTCTGGCTCTATGCTCAGGAGTGACCCCTGGTGGTGCTTGAGAAACCATGCGTGGTATCGGATTTTCTTTCTGGGGCTGCTTGCCATGCTAACCCAGGTTTAATCTCCAGCACCTTATATGGTTTCCCGAGCCCCCCCCCCCCCCCCCGAGCGGTCCCTGAGTGCAGAGCCAGGAGTAAGCCTTCAGCATCAGTAGGTGTGGCCCCTCAAATGAAAAAGAATCTACAGTAGGGCCCAGTGTGACAATACAGGAGGTAAGGAGCTAAGCTTGCATGTGGTCAACCCAGAAACCTGGAAATAAAGTAGGAATTATAATTATGATAGCCCTTAGACTGGGCTGGATCGATAGCACAGCGGTAGGGCGTTTGCCTTGCACACAGCCAACATGGCCGACCTGAGTTCGATTCCTCCGCCCCTCTCGGAGAGCCCAGCAAGCTACTGAGAGTATCTCGCCCGCATGCCAGAGCCTGGCAAGCTACCCCTGATGTATTCCATATGCCAAACACAGTAACAACAAAGTCTCCAATGGAGACGTTACTGGGCCCGCTGGAGCAAATCGATGAACAATGGGAGAACAGTGACAGTGACAGCCCTTAGACTGGAATCTCTAATTGTGACTTCAACCTTATATTCTTCTTTAGTGACACTATAAGCCAAAAAGCAGATCGGGGTAGAAAGTAGTACAGTAGGGAAGATACTTAATATTAATACTTAATACTTAAAATGTCTAACCTGTGTTCAGTCCTTGGCACCCCATTTTGTCCCTGTGGCTCCTGACAGGAATAAACCCTGAACACAGCTGGGTGAGACCCCCCCCAAACAAAAAAAAAAACAGAAAAAGTGCCACCCTCTCCCCCAAAACAATATGCAATGAGTGCCTTACCGACTGTACTCCAGCCCCTATTATGGGTTCCTGATTGAGTTTTTAGTATGGCTGTTGCCAAAACATGATCGTCTAATTTCATGATTTCTCTTATATTTTAAAATTTCTAACCTATTAAAAGAAAAGTACTTCCATTCCCCCCCCTTCCTTTTCTGTATGTTTTTTTAATTGCATCTTTAGTATGTACAAATAGTTTCAGAATTTCTAATTTTATTATAAAAAGCAAAGCTATTAATTGGAATTTTGTTTTCATTCTGAAATTATGTTTATTATCCAAAATCTGTGATAAAAAAAAATTTCTTATACCCAGAGCCAGAAATAGTACAAGACATAGGGCACTTGCTTTGAACACAACTCACCTGGGTTTGATTCCCATCATCATATATACTTCCCCAAGCACCACCAGGAGTGATCCCTGAGCACAGAGCCTGAAGTAAGCCCTGAGCACATCCAGGTATTAGTCAAAATACACACACACCAGGAAACAAAATTTACATCTATCCTTCCCTTCTTACCTTACCCATCTATTCTTCATTGCCCTATTAGAAATTATTTAACATATGGGCATTCTGTTTGTTTCCAATATTTTCCTGTTACAGACTTATTTCTAACTTGTTTGTTCACTTCTATCTCTATTTTTCTGTGTTCTTGTTTCTGACAGCACACTCAGGAGGATTTGCAGAAATTGAAGTCAGATTTGGATGCAGTTTCTATGAAATGCAACAGCTTTCTCCATCAGTCCCCTTCTGGCTCAAGTGTTCCAACTCTGCGCTCCGAACTCAATTTGCTGGTGGAAAAAATGGATCATGTATATGGCCTCTCCACTGTCTATCTGAACAAGTGAGTGAACTGGAGTTTTGGATTCAAAGGCCAGGTTTTCTAGTGGAAAGTGCATGAAATGTTTCATGAACATTTAAAAAGAGATTTTGAAGAGTACCCATTACAAGAGCTTTTGACTTTAGTTTCAAGTAACTTGGAATGTTCATTTAGGCTGCAGTGAACAAATTCCAGTTGTATAAAAGTAGAATTTACTTAGGTGATAGGACTCAAGAGTACCTCTTTTCTGTTTGAATAGATACCTCTGAAAGAAAAAGAAAAAGAAATACTAAGGAATAAATAAAAAGTTTTCATCCAAACTAAATTTTGTTCTTTGAAGCTCTTCTCTCTACTTGTATCCATCCTTTCATCCATGCATGAAGAGTAGTAGATCTTAGATTCTTAATAATATTGAATGGGTTTCTCATCTCATTTCCTTTCTCTCTTTGAGTCCACTATGTATATGAGTATGTCGGTGCCAGTTTGAATTTTATTTTGAATTAACATAAATTGTCCACCCATCCACCATGTTTTCTTGTTTTTATGACGCCGCTTCATCATCTAGTAATTTGAAGTTGATTTTGACAGTTAGGTTTTGTTAGCTTCCCTACACTATTTCTAATCTATAGCCCAGCTCTGAAAATTTATATGTTAATAAAGTTGATTTTATCTTCATAGGCTAAAGACAGTTGATGTCATCATACGTAACATTGAGGATGCTGAACTCTTGGTCAAAGGCTATGAAATTAAACTGAGTCAGGAGGAAGCAGTACCAGCAGATCTTTCCGCACTGGAATCCCATCGATCTACATTACAGGTTGGTTGTTCTTATTCTTAAGAGGTTGACAACATAACCATTTCTTTCTTTTTTTCCTTTGGGGTAGGGGAGGGGGGAGGAGGAGTCACACACCTGACAATGCTCAGGGGTTACTCCTGGCTTTGCACTCAGGAATCACTCCTGGCGGTGCTTGAGAGACCATATGGGATACCAGGGATTGAACCCAGTTTATCTGTATGTAAGGCAAACTCTCCTACTGCTCTGCCCAAACTATTTCTTTGGGTTAGATGTCATGAAACTGATTTAAATTTGAACCGAACAGACTATCTTTTAATATAATTTAATATGATTTCAAAGGAAAGACTGAGAAAACATGTCTAGAAAGGGCAGCCTTTCTGTTAACTCAGTAAAAGATTAATTGTATGAAATCAGTGGTTTTAATTGATTTGACTTTCATAAGAGACTGTGGGGAGCTTAGGAAAGGAATTTTTGTCTTTATTTCCAGATAAGTCGAGACTGACATTATCCTTGTTTCACAACTTATGAACTGGGGTGGCATATTTCAGACATAGTCCGTTGCAGATTTTTCTACATAGTACTTCCTGCCTTTGGTTTCCCAATATATACAAGGACTTCAGGGGTATTTCTGGTGTCAATATAGAATCTAGCTTTTGAATTATAGTGGAGCCAGCTATAGACAGTAGGTTTTTATTTACTTATTTTTAACTTTAGTGTGACACTTTTAGTATTATATAACCTGTAACTTATTCTTGTGATTTTTATAGCACTGGCTTAGTGATGTGAAGGATAAGAATTCAGTATTTTCAGTCCTGGATGAGGAACTTGCGAAGGCCAAGGAGGTGGCAGAGCAGCTGAATCGTCTGACCCCAGAGCGAAATCTGGATTTGGAGCGCTATCAGGAAAAAGGCTCCCAGCTGAGGGAGCGCTGGCACCGGGTCATTGGCCAGCTTGAGACACGGTAAGTGGTGATCCTACCCTTTACTCAGGGAGGTAGTTATTGAACAAAAATAGGTATATTCCTGTTTTCTCTTTTAAAGGCAGGAATTTATCAGATAAAAATTATATGGTAGTAAAGATTTTGGTAAGATAAACGGGCTGGAGCAATAGCACAGCTGTAGGGCGTTTGCCTTGCACGCAGCCAGCCTGACCAAGCCGGGTTCCTCCGCCCCTCTCGGAGAGCCCAGCGAGCTACCGAGAGTCTTTCACCCGTGCGGCAAAGCCTGGCAAGCTACCTGTGACATATTCAATATGCCAAACACAGTAACAACAAATCTCAAAATGGAGACGTTACTGGGCCTGCTCGAGCAAATTGATGAACAACGGGAGGACAGTGACAGTGACAGAAACTACAAAAGTTGAGGACTGAGCTGTGAAGTAGTCCTGAGTCTTTCTTGTGACTCAACAGTGATGGTCTTATTAACACTGCCTTTTCTGTGTCCCAGGCTTTTGCTAGGTGAAGCCATGAGGATGTGGCATCCTAGAATACACACTGGGACAGTGACCTTTCATCTTTTCTCAAAGATAAACCTGAGATCTAGTCTTCCTTAGCTTTGAGTCCAGAAATGAGCCATTTTTTAGAATGGGACTGGGGCTTGGTAAAAATTCTTGCTTTTGATTTCATTTGCTAATTCAAAAGTTTTGTTACTTGAGTTTTTGGTTCAGAATGCTGACTTGAATGGGAAATACAGAAATTACCCTTATAAGTCTAGATTGGGCAGGCAAATGTATAAGGAGACAGTTTCTTGCAACTCATAGGAGTTTAGATGATTTTTCTACAATTAATTTACCTTTCAAAGGCTAACAAAAGTATATAAGGAACTGATATTGAAATTAAATAGTAATTTAATTTAAAATTAAAAATTTAATTAGAATTAATTTTAATTTTAAAATTTTAAAAAATACTCTTATTTTTCACCACCTACTTCCTAAGAAATTACAGTATTTTGCAAATCATAGCTATAATATTCTGACAGGTACTCTGTCATGACAGAATATAGATGATTGTATGGTGAGCACCAATAGTAGTAGTTAAGGGTTGCAAGGGAATTGTGTCATTTGCTTTATTACATTTTTACTGAGGTATCTGATACCAGTTTCCCTTTGTTCTTCCAGCCAATCTGAGCTAGAAAGTATACAGGAAGTTTTGGGAGATTACCGAGCCTGCCATGGAACTCTCATCAAATGGATTGAGGAAACCACTGCTCAGCAGGAGTTGATGAAGCCAGGCCAGGCAGAGGACAGCAGAGTGCTCTCAGAGCAGCTCAGCCAGCAGACGGTGGGTGTAGAGGTTCACAGAGCTGGAGGGGAGATAGTTCGTTACAGAAAAAGTTGGTATTCTAGCAATTAAATTTCCCCAATGCCAACCTCTCTTTTCAACCCAAATCATCTCAAGATAATGGTCTTGCAATTTTTTCTTGATATCATATATTATTTTACTTGGATTAGAATATGGGGGAATAAAAATCAGGTAAAACTATGAATAGAAGAAAAACTTTCTTTAAAGCAGTTTTGTTTTCACTCAACACATGGTGGTGCTCAGGGCTTACTCCTTGTTCTGTACTCAGAGATCACTACAGTATTCACAGGAGCTTAGAGGATTATAGAGATTGAACTTGAGTCAGCCATGTGCAAGGCAAAGCCTTATCCAGTGTTCTCTCTTCTCTGACCACATTTAAAGCCATATTTATTGGTGTTTTGTTTTACTATACATTATGGTTAAGACTATAAAGTCTGAAATTGGATTGCTAGATTCTAATCCTGGTTTGCTTGGTTATCCTGATATTTAAATAGCTCGATTGCTCAGTATTCTATTTCATTCATAATATAAATAGGGTTATATTGTTTGATTTACCTCACCCACTGTTACTGTTGTTAGAATGAAAGGAAATGAGGCATATAAAATACTTACAGAAGTGATTTTTAGTGTGTAGACCCATATCAGAATCATCTGAGGATGCATTAGAAATGCAAATTTGGACCCAAATCCAAGTCTTCTGAAACAAATGCTGGAGGTGTGGATTAGTAATCTGTATTTTGTCTAGGCTTTAGGTGATTTTGGTTTTATAAAGCTTTCTTTTTATTTTATTTTGACTTTGGGTACCTCACCTCATCTAAGGCTTACTCCAGGTTCTATGTTCAGGAATACCTCAGGTTCTGTGCTCTGGGAGTCATATGGTACTATGAGTTAAACCAGAGTTGACTGCATGCAAGACAAGCATTTTAACCCCTGTATCATCTCTCCAGCTCCCACTAAGGCTTAAAAATTGCAGCCTTAGACCGTAATATGTATTCAGCTGATGATGATAGTGACATTTTTAATGACTAAGATTTTTTTGTTTTTAGGCTTTGTTTGCAGAAATCGAGAGAAATCAGACAAAACTGGATCAGTGTCAAAAATTTTCCCAGCAGTACTCTACTATTGTAAAGGTAATTCTCACATGTCCCAGTAGGAACATAAATCTTTATGTGATTTGTGAGGTTGTATATGGTCTGTCCTCATAATTTCATTTCTCTAATGACATCTTTAAACAAAAAAATCTTTTTTTTTTTTTTTTTTTTGCTTTTTTTGGGGGTGGAGGGGTGGGTCACATCTGGCAATGCACAGTGGTTAATCCTGGCTCTGCACTCAGAAATTACCCCTGGTGGTGCTCAGGAGACGATATGGGATGCTGGGAATAGAACCTGGGTCGGCCGTGTGCAAGGCAAACACCCTACCCGCTGTGCTATTGCTCCAGCCCTAAACAGAAATATCTTGAGATTACTATATGCTTGTTATGTGCCTTTTCACTTACTAGCAATTTTCAGAGGGGTGGGAGTGAGTGCTTTTATATATTTATTTTTAAAATTTTGGGCCACATTTGGCTTTGCTCTGGGTTTACTCTTGATGGGGTTCAGGGAATCAGATGGGGTCCTAGGGATTAAACTTGGGTCAGCTATGTGCTAGGCAAGCGCCCTATTTGCTGTACTATCTCTTAGGTCCCCGAACTCATATTTTTTTAGTGAATACATTTCTTTAGTTAATTATGAAAGACTTGATATCAGAAAGAATTATGTTCAAGAGGTCAAAGAGATAATACAGCAGGTAAGGCACTTGCCTTGCATGTGGCCTATTTGATTTCCATCCCATTACCCTATATAGTTCCGCAAACCCTGCTGGGAGTAGTCCTTGAGCACAGAGCCAGGAATAAACCCTGAGAACTATTGGTTATGGCCCCCAAACCAAAAAAAATAAATAAAATAAAATGAATTCATATCCTAGCTTCATAACTTTCCAGACTTGACAAATCAGAGTTTCTGTTGCTCTGTGCACAAAATATGAACAATATCACCTCACCAAATGATTGTAAAGATCAGCTGTACAATGCCTCAAATTTTAAAATACATTCAGTAAAAGATTACACTTGTTCTTATTATTGCTTCTTTTTATTTGCAAGCAGATTAAAGGACTCAGTCCATAATTTCCTCTGTCTAGAATTTCCTGAGTAGACTACACCGGCATTCTAGGCAAAGGAAGCTGTATAATCTAAGACACAAAGAAATGAAAATTTGATGATTTTGTGAGGAAATAGAAAATATTCTGGAATAGCTAGAAGGTATATGGTACATGAAAAACTATGACTGCCCATTAAGAGAGGAGGTTAAGGCCAACCAAATAGACCAGATTTTGTTCTTTTGACATTGCAGTCTCGGTGTGTGTGTGTGGGGGGGTGGTCAAAGTAGGGTACTTTCTGCATAGTATTTGGACACAGGTGCTACTCCTGGCAATACTTAATTCTATACTGTGGGCCTGACAGGTTTTTTTTTTTGGTTTTCGTGTGTTTTTATTTTTGATTTTTGGCTTTTTGGGTCACACCTGGCAATGCTCAGGGGTTACTCCTAGCTCTGCACTCAGGAATTACTCCTGGTGGTATTTGGGGGACCATACAGGCTGCCGGGGATCAAATCTGTGTCAGCCTCATACAAGGTAACAGTCCTGCCTGCTGTGCTATTGCTCCAGCCCCAAGCCTGACAGTTTTATATGGTACACCAGGCCATGTGCTAGCAGCAATCTCTCCAGCTTGAGGCCTTGCCTCCTGTAATGCACCACTGTAGTCCTTTGAGTTGTCTCTTTGATCTACCAAAAACAGATTCCGCATTTTTTAGAAGACAACAGATGATTCATTCCACTGAGAGGAGTGATTTTGTCATCTTTCAGTAACTTTTAGAAAAGTTACTCTGGTGACAGATAAAAAAGTATAATAGATATGAAACTAGAACAGGGGAAGTAAATAAAGGGCTCTGCACCTGTCCCTGTGAGAAATGAAGAGGACCTGGCCGAGGGTCGCATATCCAGCACTGCAAGATAGTGGTAGAATATCTTTGGAGAAATGAGAAGAGCATGGATTAGAGATGAAAAGACTGAGAAACAAATCCTGATTCTGCTGCATGTCCATGGAATCAATTAGGGAAACTCACTTCCCATCTTTGGCTTTCATCTGCCCATTTAGGAGATGAAAAGGACAGTCAGCAAACAACAGACTGCAAATTCAGGAAATCAACAAACTCTGACTGACCCACAGGCTGAGTCTAGTCTGCATACCTGTATTAATGTGGCCTATGAGAAATGGCCGAAAACAATGAAAAATGACACATGAAAATCATAGGAACTTCAGCTTTCAGTGTCTACAAATAAAGTTTCATTATAACAGTGATCATTCATTTACTTATTTTATATGCTTTCACTTACAATGGCAGAGTTGAATAGTAGTAGTAGAGATAGTATGACCTAATATCTTCTATCTAGCCCTTCACTGGAAGTTTTAGCAAATAGTTACCACAATGCTTTCCGGTAATGAGATGCTCTGATTCTCCCACATTTGTGTGAATGATAAAGCACTATGTAAATGGAATGACATTTTTTTTTCTCTAGGATTATGAATTGCAACTGATGACATATAAGGCCTTTGTGGAATCACAGCAGAAATCCCCTGGCAAGCGCCGTCGCATGCTGTCCTCATCTGATGCCATCACACAGGAGGTGAAAAAGGATGGGGAAGAGTTCTTTTCTTCTTTAAAAATTCATGTTTCTGGACCTTATGCCCTTCTCTAAGTATTTTTTCTTTATGGAAAAAAAAACTCCCCCACCCCCCCTTTTTTTTTCTTGCGGGGCCTAGGGGTAGAAACCACACCTACTTGGGGATTAAACTCAGACCTCTTCCATGCAAAGCAAGTGATCAAGCCCTTTTTAGCTATTTCTCTGGCCCTGAAATTTTCTCCTTATTTAACTATTTAAATGCAGTTTGGGGGCAGATAATACATTTCTTTTTCTGTTTGTATTTGCTTTTGTTTTGGGTTCACTCTCAGTAGTGTTCAGGACTTGCTCCTGGATCTGTGCTCAGGGATCCCTCCTGGCATTGCGTGCAGAACAGACATGATTCTGGGGATCAAATGAGGTGCTTGTGCAAGGCAAAAGCACCTCAACCTCTTTACTTTCTCTCCTGCCCCAGATAATATATTTTTTGTTTTTGTTTTGTTTATGTTTTGGGGTCATGCCTGGTGGTGCTCAGTGCTTACTCTTGGCAGTGCTTGGGGCTTACTCCTGGCTCTGCTCAGGGATCAGGGATCCTCCTGTGGAGGGTTGGAGAGTAGGGTTCTGGGGATCAAACCGAGGTCTTCCATGTGCAAGGAGGTACCTTGCCTTACATCCTCTCTCTCCAGCTTCAGATAATATATTTCAGTTGTTTTTTTAACCATAGTTCATGGACCTACGAACTCGATATACAGCATTGGTGACTTTGACAACTCAGCACGTGAAGTATATCAGTGATGCACTCCGGCGCCTAGAGGAGGAGGAGGTGAGGACTTTTGAGTCCCGAATAATCTTGAAAATGCAGCTTAAAGTCCTATGTTTCATCTATCACAAAGTGGAAAGTACACATACAGTTGATGTTTATTACTTGCAGTAGTATGAAGACTGAAGATGCTGCAAACATTGCATTTACAAATACCGAATCTTTACACCTAAGGCAGATACCCAATTTGGTTTCTGCAAGCCTCCATTTATAACGTTTTTTGTCAAGGAATCAATACATAGCCTCATTTTGTGTTAACCACCTATTTGCTGTGGTTTGTTGGCTCACGAACATTATACTACTATAACTCATACCTGAAAAAGTATGAGTTATTATTTAGAAAAAAATTTTTTTCTAAGTATATTTATAGAAAAAAAATCTACGTTTTTCTGTTAGGTACATCACAGCCTTCTTGTACTTAGGAAATCTAGAGAGCACTTCAGCATTACTTTAGGCTCTGTTTAAACCATACAGTCAGTAATGAAAATGCAGTAATATAAAAAACATTGACACTAAATAGAATATGAAAATTATGCTTTTTTATAGTTTAGAAGCTGAAATAGTAAGACTGAATGTCACCTTTCTACTTCAGCTGGGAATGTAATTATAAAATTGATCTCTGTCTTTGCAAATTAAGTTTCAATTGCTGTAAAAGAAATACTCTTGAAAATATTAACTTGTACATAAATTAGCAAAAGACTTTCCAATGTTAGTACCTATCCACTTCATCTCTGAAGACTTCAATCTCTTGATAAAAAAGTAAGATGCTGTATGTAAAGTGTTTTTTTTAAAATTATTGATTGACCATATATGTAAACTATATATTTAAAAGATGCTAATCTAAAAATAATGAAGTTAGCTTTTATAATCCTGCAGGTGCCTGTAAGCTATGCTGTAACCTAGGAAAATTATATTTAGCTTTATATTTTAGCTATGCACTGGTTGAGATTTATTTCGTGTATCTATTTTAAAAGTTTGAACTCAAACCAGTCTTTAAGACATTGACCAGGATACTTATTTTCTTTTTCCTACTCTAGAAAGTGGTAGAAGAGGAAAAACAAGAACATGTGGAAAAGGTTAAAGAACTTTTGGGCTGGGTATCTACCCTAGCACAGAATACACAAAGTAAAGGTGCCTCATCCCAGACCAAAGACTCAACAGACATTGAAAAAGCTATTTTAGAACAACAGGTGAGTAGAAGATCAGTATCTCTTTTCCTGGATAGAATAATATGTGGTAATGTGTTAGGTGGAATAACACAATCCAGAGTCACCCAGGAATTATTCTTATCTCAGTTAATGTTAGCTTCCAGGTCTTCAACTTAAGTCATCTATTTCTCCTTCTTTTTTCCCCTGCTGGCCTGTGCTCACCTTGATATCTCCAGCGTAAATCATCTTATTTGTGTTACTACCTTTTAAATTATATAGGTAGCTCATTGATAATAATTTGATCTAAGCTATGTTTCTCCCTAGGATATTTTTTGAAAGTTCTTTTTAAAAAATGTTATTCTTTAATTTCTTAGATTTGTAGGTTTATTTCTTTTTTTCTGTTGTATAGGTTCTGGCAGAGGAATTGACAACCAAGAAAGAACAAGTCTCTGAGGCCATTAAAACGTCACAGATCTTCCTGGCCAAACATGGTCATAAGTGAGTGTTTAGTGAGAGATTATGGCTCATCTGGGGTATTTCATCTTCTTGGCTAAAACTAATTTTATGGGGAAAATGCAGGGCAGCAAGAGTCAGGATAAGAGTTTTGAGGTTAGTGTTGAAGAGTCTGTTATACACTTGTTATGGGAGTATTTTGTTTATTTTGTTAATTTATTCATTTATTTTGATTAAGATTTTGTATCACATCCAGCAATGCTCCGGGCTTACTGTTGTCTCAGGGATCACTCCTGGTGATGTTCAGGGGTTTGATCACAGTAGTACAGTGAGAGGGCACTTGTCTTGCCTGCAACTGACCCAGGTTTCATTCTTGGCACCACATATGATCCCCTGAGTCCACCAGGAGTGATCCCTGAGCACAGAGCCAGTAGTAAGCCCTGAGTACCACTGGGTATGGCCCCAAAGACAAAAGCAAAAATAATAAATTAAAGAGGCAAATTTAGTCTTAGACATTGAATAGAAGAGCACACAGGACATCAGAGTAAAAACACCTAGTATATGTTACAGAGGTTACATAATATGCTAATCTGTACCTTATATCATTCCAGTAAAGTTGTCCAGTAAGCAACTATATATGTGAATTTTGAATAAATAAGAAGCCTAATATGATAGATATTTGTGTTATCAGCATAGTAGCTTACTAAGACTTCCCTATGCTCTCAGCCTTTAAAAAATGTCTTAGAGAAGAAGGAAACAGGAAATTGTGAGTGATACCTTAGAACCCAAGCGGCAATAGAGTTCTACAAAGAAAGGAATAGAGTAAGACAAGAAAGTTAAAAACTGAGAAGTGCCTGTTATATTTGGCAAGTTGAACATTTCAGTGTCAGTTTTATTTTATTTTTTATTTTTGGGCTATATCTGGTTGTACTCAGGGCTTACTCCTGGCTCTGCACTCAAGGATAATTCCTGGTGACCTCAGGGAACCATATAGTGTCCTGGGATTCAAAACAGGTTGACTGCAGAGCCAGGAGTAAGCCATGAGCTGAGCAACACTAGGTGTCCCTCCCCCTCCCCCCACACACACAAATACACACACACACAAAGTGGGTGGGAGGAGGGAATCTAAGGAAAATCTGATAAATGCTAAATGTAGTAAGACTAGATAGTTGGGTGATGTCACAGTGTTATAATCAGTGTGTTTTTTAAAAAGTGTTTTGTTTTAATCTTTGGCTACATCTAGTTGTGCCCAAGTCTTTACTCTGTTCTGTGCTTAGGAATCACTCCCAGTGGGACTTGGTGGAGAACCATATGCAGTTCCAGGGATCAAACCCAAATTGGGTGCATGCAAAGCAAGCACCTTACCTGCTGTACTATCTCTCCCTCCCCAAGATTTTTTTAAGTTTAAAATTTTAGAAATTTAACAATTTAGGTGTTGTGAGAGTCTAGGTTTACCATATGAAAGCAGGACGAAGGTGGCCACTTGAACTGAGAAGGTTGCAGGTTTATGAGACTAAGTTGTTAGGCAGTTGTTGACATAAATGTGGCATCATCAAGAATTGTGACTTGAGAGAAACCATGAACTAAAGTCTAAAGTTTTCAGTGAATATGACAGATTCACTAGATGGTTTATACTTAATAGTGACGAAGAATATCAAGATGGAGAAGTTATAATTTTAAAGCAATTACGGGAAATTTGGAGGATTTTTTTTAAAGATTGCTTTGTTTCATGTGCTAGGCTCTCAGAAAAAGAGAAGGAACAGATATCTGAGCAGATAAATGACTTAAATAAGGCTTATCATAACCTTTGTGATGGTTCAACAAACCAGCTTCACCAACTTCAGAGCCAGTTGGCCCAACAGACAGAACAGAAGGTACTTTTTGTCTCTCCAGATACTGGGAGGGTACTTTTGAGTGGTATAAAAGCAGCTTTGCTGATTGAGAGTCATCGTCACTAGCTTTCCATGACCAATGTGATTTAATTTTTAACTTCACCTTAGCAACCATTTGTCTTGTGTTTCTTTACTGGGTTCCAAGATGTCTTGGTCAGTCAGAAAACACTAGAAAATACTTGCAGCCATACCTGTTTACCTGATTCTCTCTTCTGTCATCTGCCATTTTGTGGCAGAGTCAAGGAGATCATAAATTCTTTATTATATCCAACATAAGAGCAATGAGATTGCACCTTCATGATATTTCCACTAAAAAATATGGAGGTCAAAGTTCTGAATATTGGAAAGAAAACTCTCTCGCCCGCAAAATATTTGTTATATCTGTTAAAGAAATGATAATGTTCATTTCAAAGCAAAATAATGGAGTAGCTGCACTGACTGAAACACTGGTTCCCAGGACCCATAATCATCTCATCATGAGTCATCTTTACAGTGCCCATTCATGTTCATTTCCTAGATCATAGGAAATTTGTTCCTGCTGGTCGTCTTAAGTTCTTCCTGGATACTTGTGTGTATATGTAAACTTACAATATTATATACATGTGTCTTTTGGATATATGTGTTTGCCTGCTTATTTCCTGTGTTGTGAAGCAATGGCCAGAGGATGTGGGGGCAGACCAAAACTTAAACTCAAACTTGAACATAATCAGATTTGGTGTCTAGATGATGCTCAAAATCATATTTAGATAAAATGTGCTTTGACTCTGGTTCTTGGGTATAAAATTGGTGCAGCAGGAGCTCAAGCTGTAAAGACAGAACAGCAAACAAACTATGATTTATTGAAGAGATTTTCAAAATGAATAAGCTGGCTTAGCATTCTCCACTTCTTATAGCTTGTTGCTTCACCATATAAGGGAGTATGTGAAATTTTTTAACAATTGCTTGCTGAGGACATCCAGTTCTCATCTTGAAAGGTTAAAAGGCGGGAGAAAATAAGAGAGAAAGACAAGCTGCTGAGCACACTACATTGAGCATGATGTGTCCCTTGTACTGTTTGTGTGTTTCATGTTAAGTATTGTTCTGATTAACTGACATCCTTGCTTACAAGTTTCACTAACCCTTTGGAGTTTAAGCACAAATGCACAAAGGGAAAAAGAGGACGACCTGTTTGGGGTTCTTTTTTGCAAAAAAACAAACAGTCGCATGCTGGACGCTAACACCAAGCTTACACTGTGTGTGCGATACGGCTGAGCTGCTCCATAAGGCTCTATCTCTTATCTGCCCAAGGCGTACACTGCACCTCCGGTAAGTGGAAGCGTTTTTTGTTTTCTTTTCTTCTGCTGTCTTTTCTGCTCATTTATGTCAGAATGTCCATGTTTGATGGGACTAAAATGAATATTTCTGGGTTGCTGATTATCGTTAGTTTCAGAGTATGGGAAGGGACAGTATAGTTTTTTTTTCCACTTTGGTTAAGTCCCATGCTTTTCTTCAGTATCAGCAACTCTGAGATGGATGCCATGAATCTACAGGAAAAATTAAATTCTATAAAAGTCTTTTGCTTTTTCTTATTTTTCAAAAAAAGAGCTCCTTCCGAGTGCTCTTTCTATTTTTGGCAGGGGGGGTGGGGGTTCAGGGCTTCTTCCTGGCTCTGCCTCAGGAATTACTCCTGGCAGTGTTTGGGAGACCACATGGGATGCCGGAGATCAACCCTGGGTCATGCAAGGCAAGCAGCCTACCTACCCACTGTACTATCTCTCCAACCCCAACCTTCTGAATACTCTGAATTTTCTTAATGTGTAAGGTTTTCCTTATTTACTTACTATACTAAGGACTTTAGTCCTATGTAAAATATGTGTCTACTGTTCTTGTCCTTCATGTTCTTTTAGACCTGACTAGGGAGGCAGTTAATAAATAACACCAGATTTAGTCACATCTTGGTTAGATTCTGGAGTGCATTGGACAAGTTACCTATCCTTTCTGCCTCATTTTCTCTTTCTTTCTTTCTTCCTTTCTTTCTTTCTTTCTTTCTTTCTTTCTTTCTTTCTTTCTTGTGTTGGGGGGCATACCTGGCAATGCTCAGGGTTTACTACTGGTGCTGCACTCAGAAATTACTCCTAGTGGTGCTTGGGAACCAAATGGGATGCCAGTGATCAAACCCAGGTCTGTTGAGTGCAAGGCAAGAGCGCTACCCATTGTACAATCGCTCTAGACTCCTCTGCCTTATTTTCTTATATGCAAAGATTAAAATAAATTTTTATAAGATTGTTGAGATTAAATATCAGTGTTCGATAAATATGTAAAATTTCAGTAATTTACTGACAATGATAGCTATCATTATAATCCTTGTACTACCCATTCTAGCCTAGACCAAGAGAAAAGTTGTCAGCGGTTCCAGAAGCGAGGGATTCCACCCTGTGAGTGGTTACTCCTTTTACTGAATAGCCATTGAGTAGTATATGAATGGTGTGTGGCTACCTGGCTTCCCAAATTTCTCTTGTAATCCTGTGGTACTACAGTTACCAACAGGAAAATCCTATTTCAAGAGTCTTCTCTGTGAGTTGCAGCACTGAAACTTTGTTATGTGGGCTTGAATTCTCTTTGGAAATTGGTAGATGTCTTTAAGAACATTTATTAATGAATCAGTCTTAGAATAATTGTCTTCTTGTTTCCTTAATAGGAACACTGACAGGCTTCAGAATGTTTTCTACACATGGGAGCTTATCTCAGGCTAGGTTCTTCTTGTCATCAGAATTTGGTGTATGGTAGTTCTTTGAATAGCTCCTTTCAGTAATTGGGCTTCTCTGATTTGATTTTCTTTTCATTTTTTCTTTCAGGGTTGCAGAGCAGTTGCTGGGGTGATTGACCTAGGCACAGTGGAGATATTTCCCATCTTCAAGGCCATGCAAAAGGGCCTTATTGATCAAGACACAGGACTTGTGCTCCTAGAATCCCAGGTTATCATGTCTGGTCTCATTGTCCCCGAAACCAGTGAAAAGCTCTCTCTGGAAGAGGGTTTATCCAGAAACCTCATTAATCCCCAGATGTATCAGCAGCTGCAAGAACTTCAGGATGTCCTGTCCTTAATAAATAGGCTTACTGAGAGTAAAGGCCCTCTTTCTGTGGTGGAAGCAATCGAAAAGAAAATAATCAGTCAAAGAGTTGGACTGAAAATCTTAGAAGCTCACCTGGCAACTGGAGGTTTCAGTCTCCCCTTTCATGATAACTGTATTAGCTTAGATGAGGCTTTTCAGCAAGGCCTTATTCCTACATGGCTTCACGCGATGCTAGAGTGTCACCTGAGATCATCTAAGAATTTGATAGATCCCAACACAGCTGAGAAAATTAGTTTGCTGGAACTGATGCAAAGATGTATTGTCCACCAGGAATCAGGGTCAAAACTGCTGCCAGTCAAGCAATTGGCAGGAGGAATGGTGAGCTTGAAATCAGGACAGAAAGTTAATATTTTCCGTGCAGTTCAGGAAGGGCTAATAGATAGGCAGGTTACTGTCCGGCTGCTGGAGGCTCAGCTTTTTGCTGGTGGCATAGTAGATCCAAGAACGGGACATAGACTTACAGTAGAAGAGGCTGTAAAACACAATTTGATTGACCAAGATATGGCCTGTGCTCTTCTCACAAGGCAGCTCCAGACAGGTGGCATCATAGACACTATCACTGGACAACGGTTGACAATAGATGAAGCAGTGAGCAAAGATCTAGTGGCAGCTAAGATTGCTCTTGTGATTCTGGAATCCCTTCGGTCATTCATGGGGTGTCTGTGGCCTGAATCTGGAGAGATCCTTCCAATAACAGATGCCCTGGAACAAGGAATTGTATCTACTGAACTAACTCATAAAATCCTTAGTGGCTGGCAATACATTGAGGCTCTATTTCTGCCTGAAGCCACAGAAATTTGTTCCTGGGAAGAAGCAATAGAAAATGGAACCTTGGACAAAGATCTCGTCAAAAAGTTAAAATCAGTTTGCATACCTGATGTGATGCCCCACATGCAATTAGCAGACTCTTCAGAACAAAGCAAATTGAACGGTAATTCTTTAGTGGCAGATCTCCTCTGCAACAAGGGCCAAACTGAGGACAAAGCAAGCCACAGAGAAAAGCTGTTGTTTCAGCTAATGACTCACAGCTATATTAATGTGCACAATGGACAGAGGCTGCTCCTGCTAGACAGTGAGCTGATAGATACCCTAACTGCAAGTGGTGAACATCTACCAAGTCCCTCGGAAGTGTTTGGAATTGGGTGTCGAAGAGAAGAAACTCCCGAGGAATTAGAAGAATCTGTAGATGTGAAAGCCACTGAAACTTTCTGTGATGGGCTGCTGGAAAAGCCAGGTGAGATCCAGAACAAAGAATATACTGATCAGGCAAACTCCACTAAAGTAAAAGACAACAAAATCACTATTGAAACTGAAGGTTCTTCAGTGGAGAACCCAGAAAAGGACCTGTTTGTAGGAGAACAAAGAGCAGGAGCTTCAAATATCCAGACTTCGAAGAGCAAAAATAAAGTCAAATCAGAATTAAGAAGGCAGTTATTAGGTACCAGAAGGGAAGACCAGATAGAAGTGTCTGCCAGAGAAGATGTTAGTGGAGAATTTCTCCTCACAGTTCCTCTGGAGAAACGCCAAGAGATGACCTTCATGGTGGACGACAATTCCTTTTCTGTTGAAACACCAAGAAAAGAACACCAGACTCTTAAAAATACTTCCTTGATTTGTCAGAAAGAACAGGCAAACACAATTGAGATTGAATACATTCCAGGTAAAATTGGAAGACCTCTTACAAAACTCCAAAGCAAAATGTCACAATCACAGGTAGAGAAAACTGTAGATTTAGAATCAGAACTTAAGACTAAAAATGATGTCAGTATTTATTCTCAGGACCAAAAGGAAGCCATAAATAAAACATTTTCAAGTAGGGATGACTGTAAACAAAGTCAAGAAAGACTTAATGTTGTAGATGGTAGTATGGTGATGTTAGAAAAGCCAGAGAAGGAAGATGGTGGTAGTGAAATTTCCTTGTCATATGCTCATCCTTCAGAACTGCTTGAAGAAGTTACCTTAAACATGTTATTTGAACAGTTACTAAATGGTGGCATTTTTCATGAACAAACAGGTCAAAAACTCTTACTAAATGAAGCAATAGCCCGAGGGATTGTTCCCAGTCACACTGCTGTGAAGCTTATGGCAAAGATGAACATGTTTCGAGGTTTCTTTGACTCTCAGACCTGTGAGTTTTTGACAACTGAAGAAGTCATTGATGAGGGGCTGATGGATGAAAAATTACTACATAATGTCCTCATGGCAGACAAAACAATAAGTGGTGTCTTAGATCCCCGTAACCACACCCTTTGCTCTGTGAAGGAAGCAGTTGCAGTTGGACTTCTTGACATGCAAACAGCCACTCGAATTTTAGAGGGACAGGTGGTGACTGGTGGGATTGTTGACCTGAAACGAGGTAAAAAAGTTTCTGTAACTTTGGCCTCAAATCTTGGCCTGGTGGACAGTGCTGACCTGACAGCACTAATAAATCTGGAGAAAGCTTTCAAAGGCAGAGAAGCTGACAAAATAGTTAGGGAGAAGTTAATTAATTTACAAATGGAAACAACTGGGATTGTGGACCCTGATAATAAAGCCCCATTAACAGTCGTGCAGTCCATGGACAGAGGTCTTTTGGAGAGAGAGGAGGCCATTCAGTTGTTGACCAAGCAGGTGGTAGATGGTGGCATCATTCACCAGGTATCTGGGATGAGACTTTCTGTTGATAATGCCTTTGAACATGGCATCATTGATGAAGATTTAGCCAAGCAACTGAGAAAAGTTGAGAACATAAACCTCCAACAATTTTTTCATCCTGAGACAAAAGAAGCCATCTCTCTCTCTGAAGCCATACAATTAGGCCTTGTTACCCCAGAATTGAAAAAAGAAATTGAAGAAATTCAGGCTTTGACTGGAAACTTTATGGAACTCATTTCTGGCCAGAAATTGACATTGGCAGAAGCTAAAAAGGAAGGATTGTTGCCCTCCGATGCAGCGCTGTCTTCAGGAATAATGCATGGGATTGTAGATCCTGAGAGTTACAGAATCGTTCCCTATTCAGAATTAGTAAAGAAATGTAAGATAGATATTGGATCTGGACAGAGGTATCTAGAAGTAATTCCTTTCTCAGACATTAAAGATAGAGTGAGTGATAAAGTACTTACATTGGCTCAAGCAACTCAGCTTGGAAAAATAGACTTTGAGTCTACTCTGAAGATTCTGGAAGCTCAGGCAAATACTGGTGGGATCATAAATACTGCCACAGGACAGCAGTTGACATTGTCATCAGCTTTAAAACATAAATTAGTAGATAAAAATATGATCCGAATTATTGCATCTCATCAAATGTTAAATGGAGGAATTGTTGACATATTTAATGACCAGAGAATGACACTAAAGGAAGCTATTGAAAAACAATTTATCAGTCCTGAACTGGCAACTATGATCCAAATAGATTCTTCAGAGTTCAGTGATCATGGAGATCAGATTAGAAAGCAAGATGGAATTGAAGTATGTGAATTAAAGGAATTTCTAAGAAAGGAAACATCAATTGCTTGTAATCAGACTGATGAAATGAGTTGTGAAAAAGATGAAAGGGAGAACTTATTTCGGAGTGAAAGTCAGTCTGCACAAGAAAAGGTCAAAGCAAGAATTTCAGAGAAGAAGCAGGTCAAAGAGAGAAGGGAAATTCCCTTAAGGAAATTTGAAAGCAGGGATGGAGATAAGCAGAGAGCTTCTCCAGATGTGAAAGACTCTGTCAATATCAGATGTCCTAGTGATTTTAAAGGTAAATCATCATTGGCTCATGTTTCGGTAGTGACACACCCTCACGCAGAAGCTTGTGAGTTTAAAAGTGAAGAGATGGCTAGTAATGACATGGGGGAAAGGACACATGAAGAACAGGAGCAAATAAAGCCACTAGAAATTATTTCTCATATGGATCAATGCATGCCAAGTCTAAATTCTAAACAAATAGGGGAAAACCAAGTAGATATTATTTCAGAAGTGCATGAGTTAGATTATAAAACAATGGGCAAATTGCTAAACGAGCAGGTCATGGAGAAACCTAGGGCTACCAAGGAGAAAAGTAAAAGAAAGAGGAGGAGAATGACTGTAGAAGAAAATGTCCCAACATGCAAACCGGAAGTTCTTTCAGAAGAAAAACTGAATCAGGAAAGAGCTGATAGAGTTGACCGTGATTCCAGTCTAAAAAATCAACCTGTTGAAATAACCATAGGTGAAAAAGGAAGAGAAACTGATAGAGAGCAGGAATTTCCTATTCTTTGGAAAGCTGAAGATTCTTGTTCTCAAATGATACTCAGTGAGAGCTCTGTAAAAAACCAAGATGCTCTAACATTCTCCAACTCTAATCAGATCAGTGAAAGAGAGAAGAAAAATTTAGGCCTACCTGTGTGTGTAAAACCAGAAGAAAATTTTTCTCAGGAAATTACTGATGTGACTCAGAGTGAACAGTTGTCTTTTGTGACTCCCAAACCTGAAGGGTTGCACTGCCAGGAATCAGTTGGCAAAGCCCAGTCTTTCCAAGGAACCACGAGACAGGAGACCAATTATGACGATTCCTATGTTACTTTTAAGACCAAGGAAAGCAAAGATCTAGATCTGATGTTTTCACCTAATAAATATGAAGAAAAAGCTTACCAAGAAGTACCTTTTGACTCAACAAGAGCTATTAAATTACAGGAAGAAATTATACTTTCTAGACAAGAGTCAAAAGAAGTCAGTTGCCCAGAATTCTCAGACAGGAAGGATGGCCTTCAGGATAGTAAAAGTGACCATGAACTTAGTGGAATCCTCAAGTCCAAAGTAGCAAAAACTCAGGAATTAACTGGAGAGAAATTTCTAGAAACCACAAACCCTAAAGTTGCAATTGCAGGAATAGGGTTATTTGAAGGCAGGGAGACTCAGGGAGATCCCAGAACCTCGGTGTCCCTTCTTCCAGAGAAACTGCTCAATGATATTTCTCAAAAACAGAGTGCAATGCAACAAGATGCCACCATTTGTCCCAGTATTCCAGAAACCAGTGGAGACAAGACAGTAATGACCTTAACATCAGACACTGCAACAAAAACCATTGAGACACCACAGGAACAGCTCAGAGAAAGCCCTAGAAGTGAACCACCACCCTTTGTGACTACATTAGAGGATACAGAAAATGAACGTGTAAATCTGGAGCCTTTGAGAGCAGCTAAAGTAAGTCTCCCTAATGGGTGTGTGTGTGTGGTGGGCGGGGGTGTTCATGTATGTATGTGATTTTCTTGTTATAGGGCCATACTCATACTCCTGGACTACCCTTTGGCCATGCTTGCATATTGCTCTCGGCAGTGGCGAGAGTTGCCAGGGATTTGAACCTGGGCTTCATGCGCCCGAAGCCCTTGAGCTATGTCTGGCCTTGAATATATATTTTATTTTTCAAACTTTAATTTTGTTTTTTGAACCACATTGGGCAGTGCTCAGTGATTACTTCTGGCTCTGCATTCAGGGATCACTCCTGGCAGGACTCTGGGGACCATATAGGGTGCCAGGATTGAACCAGGTCTGACACATGCAAAGAAAACAGCCTACCCACTGTACTATGGCTCCAGCCCCTTGAACATATATTTTAAATATAACTGGTTTGATGTCAAAATTCTTAACCAGATGGTAAATTTGCATATGTGTAATTGTGTGCAAACACAGATTTTAGGGCGTTAAATGTTTCTCTAAGATACAAATTCGTGGGGCCAGAGCAATAGTACAGTGGGTAAGGCACCTGCCTTGCACACTGCCAACCCAGGTTCAATACCCATAACCCTATATAGTTCCCTGATCCCCACCAGGAGTGACCTGAGCACCACTGGGTGTGGTCCCCAAATAATTATATATATATGTTCATTTGTCAGAATCCTTTTATAATGCAGTTTGGAAATTAGGCATAAGCACAAAATGTTTTTCTGAATTTACAAACGTTTTAAGTTAAAAACCTGTGCCTGGAGAGATAGCATTTGCCTCACAGGTGGCCTACCCATATTTGATCCCTGGCATCACATATGGTCCCTCATCACCTCTCAGGAGTGATCCCTGAGCACAGAGCCAGTATTAATCCATGAGCACAGCTGGGTACTACCCCCTTGGAAGGGAAAACATGTTTTAAATTAAAAATTAACACTAGAGGGATGGGTACTCGATCATTGTATAAACCCAAGCACAAAAATTTATAAGTCTACAATTGTACTTCATGGTGTTTCTCTAATAAAAATTTTTTAAAAAATTAACACTTGAGCTAATTTGAAATACTATGATGAAGCTATCTGAAATCAGAATAGCTTTGGGAAATTTTGCTAAATTATACTTATAGGTTGGTAATTATAAACTTCTGCCCCTTGAGGAAATTAATAAAGTTGCCTTTTTCCCTTATGAGACAGTTGACAAAATAATGTGTTTTATTTCTTATTGTATATAGTAAATGGGCTGGAGCGATAGCACAGCGGTAGGGCGTTTGCCTTGCACGCAGCCAACATGGTCGACCCGAGTTCGATTCCTCTGCCCCTCTCGGAGAGCCCGGCAAGCTACCGAGAGTATCTTGCCTGCACGGCAGAGCCTGGCAAGCTCCCCGTGATATATTCGATATGCCAAACACAGTAACAACAAAGTCTCCAATGGAGACGTTACTGGGCCCGCTCCAGCAAATCGATGAACAACGGGAGGGCCTTTACCTTTACCTTATATAGTAAATGATGCTTCTTTTCTCACCTACTTTCAAAAGCCGACTGAAGGCAGAATGTCAGACCTGAGTAAATTTTCTTTTTGACTCCACAGAATGTATTTAACCGGCAACTCTGTTTAGAGCATGATGAGAAGCTGGTATCCTATTTGTCTCTCTTAAGAGACATTGAAATGAGAACCAAGCAGATTCAACCTCTGGAACGAAACCTCCCAGAGTTACAGGAGCTGCTGTGTCATGCCAAGGTATGTTTCCAGAGACTGCTACCAGGCAATCAGCTTGAAGGAAGTAGACACTGTTCAGGAAGAAAAATATATTCAAAAGCACTATCTTTTGCTTTCTTCTGCAAATCTGGAATAGTAGAATAAAAAGTGGTTAACAACAGCTCCTGAGGTCTTTAAAAAATTGCCAAAAGCTGATGTCATAGAAACCAAAGAAAAGGGGCAGGCAAAGAGGCGTAATCGGCCCGTCGTAGTAAATACAGTCAGATGGCTGGAGAGATAGTGCAGGAGGAAAGGCGCTTCGACTAGCTGAGTGGAATCCTGGTTTGGGATATTTTTTATGTTTTGTTTTGCCCATTCGGGATCTGGAATGTGGAAGTCATCCCTTTGATTGGCTTTATTTTGTATGACATTATGGAAGGTGTCATGATGCTCTAGGAAAGACAAAATTTTGTAGTGGGTAGTTTAACACTGAGTCAGAAAGCTTGAATCCAGGTCCTTACTCTATTACTTACCGTCTGAGTGGCTTCAAGGAAAACTTTTCACTCTTTCAAGCATTTCTTCTGTAAATCTGGAACAGTAGAATCTTCTCTTCCTTCCTCTAAAATTAATGTTTGGGGGCGGGAGAGATAGGATGGCTGATAAGGTGTTTGCCTTACACACAGCTGGCCTAGCTTCAGTCCAGAATCCACAGTATGGCTTTGGTTCCCCAACCCCCACCAGAAGTTATCCCTGAGCACAGAGTCAGGAGTTAGCCTTGAGTATCATTGAGTATAACCCAAAGACAAAAAAAAAAGTAATAATTATGGGCTGTAGAGATAGTGCAGTGAGTAAAGTACTTTCCTTGCATATGGCCAACCGAGTTCAATCCCTTTCACCACATGTGATCCCTGAGCACAGAGCGAGGAGTAAGCCCTGTGGCTTTTGCTTGGTGTGGTTCAAAAACCAGAAGGAAAAAAAGAGAGAGTGAGTGTGGTAAATTTACCCAAATTTAAAAAATGAGGTACTGGAGAGATAGCACAACAGGTAGGTAGGTCACTTGTCTTGCAGACATCCAACCTGGGTTGAAACCCCAGCACCGGTATGGCTACCTGAATACCTGAACTCTGCCTAGGAGTGATATATTAGTACAGAGTCAGTAATAAGCCCTGAACACTGTAGGATGTGGTCCCCAAAAAACCCAAAACAAAGAGTGCATTTATGTACAGAAAACATTGAGTCTGCCAGCCTGTAAAGAGAGAAAAATTATTCACAGGTGATTCCTAGAGAGCCGATGATAAATTTGATTTTTGGAAGTAACTTCACTTTATTTCCTCAGGTATTAGACAAGGAACTAAAGGATCTGTCCACTTCGGTGAATCAGGAATTGAATTGTGTGAATCAGATTATTAGCAGCCAACCCCAGGAAGTTCCTGCACAACTGCTTAAGGCTCTAGAGAAGGATGCCAAGAATCTTCAGAAGTCCCTCAGCTCTGTGTGTGATACTTGGAGCTCTAGACTTCTTCATCTTCAGAATGTGGTGGAAGTCAAAAAGGTAACTTCTTGTTTTTATTCACATGAGTTTTACAAAGTCTAGGCAACCTGGTCGTTTTTATAATCTAATTTGCCATTTATTTCTAGACTGATATGTTAAATCAATACGAGCAGTTAGAAGGCAGACTTGAAGTTCTGAGAGCCTGGTTTAGCAATACCTACATTACTCTGAAGAACAAGGACTATAACAATGAAACCAATGCTGAAAACTTGAGTCTCTGTCTCCAGCAGATTGAGGTAAATATGCGTACAGTCACAAGCTTGGTTTCTGTTTTGTGGCATCAGGAATTAAACCCAGGGCTTCACACATATAGGACAAGTACTCTACTACTGAGCCACATCTCTGGCCTTTTTAATTGGTTTGGTTTTTTGGTTTTTGGCCATTCCTGCAATGCTGAGGGCTTACTCCTCAATCTTTGCTCAGGGATCACTCTTAGCAGGGCTGACCAGAGATCAAACCCGAGTCAGCAGCGTGGAAGGCAAGGCAAGACTCTAACTGCTAGACTCTCACTTTGGCCTAATAAGCTTTTTTTTAATTATTGGGGTGGGGGGCACACCCAGCTCTACTCTGTGCATACTCCTGGTTCTGTGCTCAGGGATTACTCCTGGCAGGCACTAGGGACCAAATGGAGTACTGGGGATCGATCTCCGGTCAGCTGTGTACAAGGCAAGTGTCTTACATACTACATCATCTCTCTAGCCCTTGATTTTCATTTTAGAACAGAAATTTATTCTCTCTTTGGTTATGTTGGCCTTTGATTAGAAACAATATCTTTTAAGATAGAGACTTAGATGTTTTATTTATTTTCTTTTCCTTCTGGCCCTAGGATCTGAAGCAGCCTATAGCTGAAAGGAAATCTCAACTGAATGATCTTGCTTTTGATATTCAGTTCTTTATCTCGGAGCATGCCCAAGACTTGTCCCCTCAGCAAAACCGACAGATGCTGAGGCTTCTGAATGAAGTACAGAGGACCGTCCAGGACCTTCTGGAGCTGACTGCAGCTCAGATGCATGCCTTGCAGAACCGTCTCCAACAGAAGGAACAGGCAGCCCAGGTCAAGGTCAGACTGAACCAGCAGCTGGACTTATTTGTCTTTTGGGACTTCTGTCTTTGGACTTTCTGGCCAGTCTCCATCCACCATGATTTTAGGAGCCTGCATTTACCAAATTTGTAATTTCATGCCATTCAGTCCAGCTTGGTTCTAGTCCAGGAAGTAGCTATAGCTCTTTGGGCTGTTTTTCTTGCCTTGTTTTGGTTTTATGTGCGTGTGAGAGAGAATCTGTGTGTTTATATGTATATGTGTGTATATATATATATATGCATGTGCAAATAAGACTCTAATTTTACTGTCTCTTTGTCTCTGACTTTCAAATGCAAATCATATTCTTTTTTGAGGGCTAGGAGGAACATTTGGTTTCACTAAGCTCTTGAGAGGAATGGTTCTGAAATCAGTTTTGTTCTGGGGCATTTCAGGTGTTAACAAAAATATAGTTTTCCAGCCTCTAGGAACTAATGAGGAAATTTTATCAAAACCAATTAGTTTTTTTCTTTGAAATTACTATCATTTTCTAGTAGCTTTCTTCACACTGTAATATTTGCTGCTTGTTTAATTGTGGAAAGCATTGTGTAGAAACTTGGGTAACATATTTTCAAAGATTAATCATCCTACTACCTTTCACAGCTCTCTTCTTACAAAACTCAATACAACTGATGAATGGTAGCATTTTAACCTTGGACTCCCAAGTATGATGTTATTTGTCACTTTAAATAATTAAGCTACTTAAATAAGTTGAAGTTCAATAAGATATTCAAATTATTATTGTAGTAAATATATCTCCAGGTATCCTTTATTAAAATTGTTCAAAATAGAATAGAGCTTTTGAGTTATACTTAAAGGAACTTAATTTAGTAACTTCCATATGTCCCCATTACTGCTTAATTATTGTACTACATTTGAACAAAATTCTGATGAAACACTTTATGTTACTTTCTAAATCTGCAAATTTGCAACATTCTCATGTAGAAATTTTTATGCGTTGGTTATAGCCTCTGATAGCATTGCTACTTTCTAAATCTGCAAATTTGCTACATTCTCATGTAGAAATTTTTTTACCTTGGTTAAAAACATAGCATTGGTCTGAGTCATCTTAAGACACAGCTCTGGTCTAGGGTAGACCCTTGATCTGCATCAGGTGATAGAACTACATGTGAATATTCTTTCTTTGCATTGATTAATTCCACAATGTTTATTAATCTTGTATTGTCATAAATGCTCTGCTTCTCTTTAAATTTACCCTGAATGCATGTGTATGTCTGTGTGTTAACTTGTTTGCTTTGCTTTTTTCAGATTCAGTCTGCACCCATCCTAACCCATGAAGATCCCGTTTTACAGCTGAAGAGCTCTTAGGAGTTCTCTTCCAGAGCCCTTCTATTTGTCATAAGAGGGGGAGAGGGGGCCTATTGGGCACCTGTTTGTAAGTGCAGGTGACTAAAACACCATCAGAAGGTAGACTGGTGGCAATGGTTTTAGAAGAATGGTTAGGAGAACACATCATGCTCAATTGCTCGCTCAGTCAGGTGCTTCATTGTCTTTCAGATGAGATGAGACCTGGTAAAAGGATCGAGCACAAAACCATATTCTCTCTCTCCCCAGGGGCCTGCTGTTTCAGGTTTAATATCAGTTCAGACACCTGAAGGACAGAGCCAGTTTGCTATTCTAGGGCATTTTCTTTCTCAGAATAGCCTTGGCTGGAATGTAATTGCTCCATTTAATGGGTGTCTATATTTGAGCAACATTTGACTTACAAAGTCAGCTTCATTATTAAGAAGCTGAGCTAGCTCATGAATTACCCAGTTTCTTTTCCTTCTTCCTTCTAGTCCAGTCCTTATTTATCATTTTCCATATTTTTACTTAGTATATATTCTCTCATTTGAATAGAGAAATTGAATCACAATTTATTACCCCCTCTGCAATCCATTTCTCAGGAATTTGCAGACCCAAACCTGAGAGAATTCTCTCCTGATATTATTCCTAATTATAACCCAGATTATAGACCTGGAACAGTAGACTATTCAAATGAGGGGAGCTTTCTGAATATGATTTTGGTGCTTTTTCCTTTTCTAGTATCCCACCATTTCCCCATCCTTGTTAATATAACCTTCCTGATTTACATTTTAGGAGAAAGTATCTTGCATTTATAAAATAAATTTGTTAATTATCTTTGGCCCCTTTGCATTTTAATTAGACCCTGCAGAAACAACAAACTACCTGCCACCAGAAACTGGAGGATCTTTGTACCTGGTTAGGGCAGGCAGAGAGAGCTTTGGTAGCCCACCAAGGGAGAGCCAACCAGCAGGGTCTCTCTGCTTTACAACAGAACCAAAGTGACTTGAAGGTTAGTATGAGCTCATCTATTTTTTCCCCTTTTCTTCAATAACTATTTATAAAGATTTGTCTTATTTTTATATTTATAAAGCCAGGCACAATTATTAGTGCTCGCAACACATTGGTAAATAGACCTCCCCACTTTCATGGAGGGTAGAGTCTAATGGCAAGGACAAACATTACACATGAATATGTAATTGTGAACTGTTATTTTTATAAAGGTAAAATGACAGGAGAACATATAACGAGAGACAATCTAATCTAGAATGTCAGAAGAGACGACCTTGAAGAATAATCACTTAGGGGTCAGAGCCATTGATTGCCTTGCATGAGTCCAACCCAGGTTCCATCCTTGGCATCCCATATAGGACCCCATGCAAGGAGAGGAGTAACCCCTGAATACTTCTAGATTTGGCTCAAAAATTGTTTAAAAAAATTTTTTTAAAGAATTATCACTTAGCCTGTGAAATGAAAATTTGGCTGTGTTGGGGGTTGGAGTGATAGTACAACGGGTAGGGCATTTTCCTTGCACGCGGCCAACCCGAGTTCAATCCCTGGCATCTCATATGGTCTCCCCAGCACCGCCAGGAGTAATTCCTGAGTGCAGACCCAGGAGTAATCCCTGAGCATTGTTGCATGTAACCCAAAAAGCAAAAAAAAAAGAAAAGAAAAGAAAATTTGGCTGTGTTAACTAACACACAAAGGGGTGAGAGGAGGAAGAGAAGAGACCAAGCAGAGGCCTTTGCATCTGCCTTAAAGTAGGAATGGATTGTGCACAACATATTTGGGTGTTAAGAGGAAATCAGGTAAATTGGAGTTCAGACAACAAAAAAAAATTAATGAACAGTGAGACTGGAGAATAAGTGTCACCCATTTCATATTCAGTCTAAAGGCTATATGAAGTTTAAGGATTAATAACCAAGAAAAAGTAAATGACCAACCAGACCTCAGTTCTACTAATCCTCTTGCTAATTTTAGAAAACATTGATTCTGAAAATAACTCATTATGAAAAGTCAAATCTTTGTGGTTCTTCTTTGTTATTGGCAATCTCCTTTTTTTATCTTTTTTCTTCACTAAATATTTGCATAAAAATTAAATATTAGAAAATTTCATAACTTAAAATATTTTAATTTTGTTTTTAAGGCCTAGCAAGATAGTACAGCAAGTGGGGCACTTGCCTTGCATGAGGCTGACCTGTTCAATCCCTTGCACCCCATATGGTCCCCCAAGCTCCACCAGGAGTGATCCCTGAGCACAGGTGCAAGAATAAGCACTGAGCATTGCCAGGTGTGGTTCAAACACCAAAAAAAAAAAAAAATTGTTTTTATCCCAGTTTAGGCCTAAATTAAAACAAAAATTATTCTAGTTTAGTTCACATGTTTACAATAGTGTTAACATTTATGGTTTTGATGTACATGAATTACTGTTGCTCACCACTATCAAAGTGGTGCCTTCATCATTGTCCTTATATTACTTCCTGTCCATCAGTTCATTCTCCCTATGTCTCCTCCACTTGCTTACGTGCTTGGTATTCTTTTTTCTTTTCTTTCTTTCTTTTTTTTTTTGCTGAGAGCACACCCAGTTCTCAGGAGTCACTCTTGGTGGGCTTGAGGAACCATATGGGATCCTGGGGATCAAACCCCAGCCAGTCACGTATAAGGCAAACACCCTACCTACTGTACTATTGCTAAGGCCTATATTGTCAGTTTTATATAGTCCTGGTAGGTCTAAATACTTATAAGGCAAGTTATAGTCAGGGACAGATACATTGTAGTGTGTTAGGGATATGCTGTCCTCCCCTTTTACTTCTGTACTCTTAGGGTCTTAGAAGCACGGAAGTTGAAGGCTGTTGTTCCTGTTTTCATGTATTTAGGATTTACAGGATGACATTCAGAACCATGCCACCTCATTTGCCAGTGTTGTCAAAGATATTGAAGGATTCCTAGAGGAGAATCAGACTAAACTGAGCCCCCATGAGTTGACAGCTCTTCGGGAAAAACTTCATCACGCTAAGGAACAATATGAGGCTCTCCAGGAACGGACACGGGTGACTCAGAAGGAATTGGAGGAAGTATTGACCTCAGCCCTACAGCAGGAGACTGAGAAGGTAACAAGTCTGCTATAACAGTTGGTGAATTTCACAAGTGAGAGTTAGATTTGGTATATGTAAACAAATAAAAGATAAAGAGTAGGAGTTGTCTCAGAGAGCACTGACTGACAAAGACAGGCTGCTTCAGAAGCTGGTCTCTAACATGGTATTTGTTTTTAAGAAACATCTTGAAGTTATATTGGTGATATGAGAGAATGGCATAACTATATATTCAAAATATAGACTCAACAACACTGAAAACCTGAGATCTAGGCTGCAACCACTGGAACTTCGTAATGTGCTTGTCAAGGTGACAGGCATGGCGGGATAACAATGGAATACGAGAGTACTGGTGTAAGGAAGTTGGCACTGGTGGTGGGATTGGTGTTGAAATATTATATGCCTAAAACTCAATCATCAGTAACTTTGTAAATCACAGTTCTTTAATTTTATAAAATTCAAAAAAACATACGTAAAGAGAGGCTAGAGTTGATAGTATTACAGGTAGGGCGCTTGCCTTACATGTGGCCTACCTGGGTTCTATCCCCAGCATTCCATATAGTTCCCCAAGTCTGTCAGGAGTAACTTCTGTGCTCAGAGCCAGGAGTAATCCCTGAGTATGCCAGGTGTGTCCCAAAAACCCAGAAAATAAAAAGAAAGATCCCAAAGAATTTTAAGTAAGGAATAGTTGCTGGGAACGTGATACTACAAAAACAAACATTTTGCTTTCTGTATGCTCAGTAATCTGAAAAATGACATAAAGACCTTTGTGAGGAAGGGCCATAACCAGGGGAGGAAAAAACAAATGGCATGTTTAAAATACAAATCTCAGGTCCAGAGAGATATAGTACCACGAATAAGGCACTTGCCTTGCATGTGGCTGGCCTAGGTTCAATCCCAGGTACCATATGATCTCCCGAGCCCTGCCAGGAGTTACTCCTGACAGACTTGGTGTGGCCAATAAATAAATAAATGATCCAAGCATACTAGGGAGAAGAATCTAGGGAGTCTGAGTGGGCCACAAGCTACTGAGCTGTCTAAGCTAAAAGCTATCTAATGTGCCATTACAGTACACTGGGAATTGTGACTCTGGGATAACCAAAGAGAAGGGAAAGACTCAAATGATCTTCTAGGGGAAAACAGAAAAAAAATAAAAAGATCTCTAGTCAACACTGGCAGATCCTAGAATTCTTTGTCTGATTATGCTCTATGAGACTAATGAAAGAGGTAAAGGACATTAAAAGATAAGTTACTTGAAAATGAATTCTGAAAGACATGAATATGTCATTTGGCAAAAACTTTTTAGTTACTGAAAACACTTGAGGGATAGGGGATGTAGCTCAGCAGGAGAGCACTCGCCTTGCATGTACAAAGCCCTAAGTTTGATCTCTAATCACTTAATCACTTAATCACTTAACTTCGGTCGATTTGCTCGAGCGGGCGCCAGTAACGTCTCCATTTGTCCCTGTCGCGTGCTAGTGTAGCCCAATGGCATCTGTTCGCTCCGGGAACATGAAGGGCCTCAAACCGATCGTTCATGATCTTGACGAAGAAGTCTGACCATCTGGAAGGTGGGCGGCCACACGGTCTTTTGACATCCCGTGGAATCCAGTCGGTAACAGCTCTAGTCCAGCGGTCGTCTTTAAATCTCATTATGTGACCAGCCCATCTGATTTTTGACACCTTGGCATATGAAACAGCGTCCCTGATTCTTGATCGTCGACGGATGTCAGAACTCCGGATTCTCTCTCTCATTTGAGTGAAACGTGATATTCTAAGCATAGCTCTTTCTATTCTTCTTTGGGAGACCTGAATAGCGTTCTCATCTTGTTTGCGTAGGGCCCAGGTCTCTGAGGCATATGTTAATGCAGGAAGAACAGTGGAATCAAAGAGATGTTCCTGGAGCCGGAGGTTCTTCGTCCTCTTAGCTGTTTCTTTGACGTTCTTGAAGGCATTCCAAGCCGCTCTCTTCCTCCTGCGCAGCTCAGGTGCCAGGTCATTTGTCATGTTGACCTCTCGACCTAGGTACACATAGCTGTTGCATTCGGAGATGGTCGTTCCATTGAGAGCGAATGAGGCGTCAGGAACAAGGCTGTTTCTCATAAACATTGTCTTCGTAAGATTCAGCTGTAGTTCTACCTTTCCACACTCACGGTCAAAGTCGGCCAGCATTTGTGCGGCTTGGCTGATGTTTGGTGTTATTAAAACAATGTCATCAGCAAAGCGGAGGTGGTGTAGTTGCCGACCATCTATCTTCACTCCCATTCCTTCCCATTCCAGTCGTCGCATGATGTTCTCGAGGGTGGCCCTGAAGAGTTTTGGTGAAATGGTATCACCCTGCCGCACCCCTCTCTTGACATCAACGATCACTTCTTTGTAGAATGGTGAGATCCTGGTAGTGAATCCGCAATAGAGCTCACGGAGGATCCTGATGTATTGGGCTTGAATGCCCTGATTGGCTAGGGCTTCAATGACCGCTTCCGTCTCAACAGAATCAAAGGCCTTCTTTAAATCAATGAACGTTAAACAGAGCGGCATCTTGAACTCCCAATGGAAAACCAGCAGGACCGTACTACTGTTCAAGAAGGGAGACATCCATGACATTGGCAACTATCGCCCGATCTGCCTATTGTCTGTCATCTACAAGTTGTTCACTCGAGTCATCCTAAATAGGATTGGCCGAACACTGGATGAAGGACAACCATGCGAGCAAGCAGGGTTCCGCAAAGGATTCAGCACCATCGACCATATCCACACGATAACCAAGCTCATTGAGGTTTCTCGGGAGTTCAAGATGCCGCTCTGTTTTGATCTCTAATACCACAGCAAAAATCTTGAGGGACCTGGTAGATGGTACAGAGGACAATGTTACTTGCCTTGCATGTGCTGGCCCCAGGTTCTATTCCTGGTACCACCTGTCCCAAGCATCTCAGGGTATAATCCTGGAGGCCATTAAAGCAACTGTAGTTTTGGTGTGGGGAAAGGAGGCAGGATTTAAAAGGGCATCACACACACACACACACACACACACACATACACACACACAGAAATGTTTTGTCTTTCAGATTTTTTTTTGTGGGGGTAGGGAATGGAGGAGGTGTTTTGTACCTCACCCAGCTATGCTCAGGTCTTATTTTGTGCTCTGTGCTCAAGGATCTTTCGTGGCAGTGCTCAGACCATATGTGGTTCCAGGGATTGAAACTGGGTCAACTGCATGAAAAGCAAGAGTCCTACCCACTATACTATTTCTCCAGACCCTGCCCTGCTTTTTTCAAATTTTATTTTGTCACTGTGAATTACAGAATTATTCATTGTTGGGTTTCACACCTACAATGTTTCAACAAAATTCCTTCACCAGTGTCCACTTCCCTCCATCAATGGCACCCTTGCCCCTCGCCATAGCCCGTTATTTTTTTTAAGAAATGATGTAATTTTCATTCAAATTCCAGTTGCCTAAAAAATAATTTTTCCCTTTCCCTCTTCCCTTTGTTATTAATTTTGTTATAATTTTGTTTGGGGTTTTTTTGTTTGTTTTTGCTTTTTGATGAAGTAAGATTGTTTTTATTGAAACTTATTTAGAAAGATGTGAGGGGAAAGAAAGGGATAAGTGTGTGTTGAAGAGAGAACATAGGCTTCTCCAGGGTGGAAAGAGGCAAGTGAAGAATTATGGAGATAAGCCAGTGAGATTCGTGTTCAAGGATAAACTTGGGCTTGAAGAGCAAGATTCTTGTCGATATTGTTAATGTGATGAAAAGACCCGCACACATGCCTGGGTGCTGTGCTTACACAGTTTAGCTGTGGTGTTCACAAGGATTCATGTCTCAAGTTGCGGTTTTGTATACTTGCTGTAGTGTGCACCGAGGATTACACATGTGCCCACCAGGGGTCACAGTGAGGCTTACAAGTTAGGGTCAGAGTACTCATCAGGGTTCATAATTGCACTTGCACATCTCTTTAGTTGTGTTGCTTGTAGAGTGTCACACCCTTTGTAGTGCCTACACACACTCGCTGTGGTGCAGCCAGAAATCACTTGCAGTACTGGGCTTTGTGAACAGCAGAGCTGCCCAAATCATGCTCAGTGCATAAGACGACACCAGGGGTTTTAATTCAGAAGTATGCAAGGCAGACACCTGGACCTAAATAATTGGTTTTCAACAGCTACCCGTGATGTATTTGATATGCCAAACACAGTAACAAGTCTCACAATGGAGATGATACTGGGCCCACTCGAGCAAATTGATTAACAACAGGAGGACAGTGACAGTGACAGTGACAACATATTTAGGTGCTTGTCGATACAAAGGCTATTTATGCCTGATCTTAGAGTTTCCATTTTTCTTTATGTGACAGTACCCCTCCCTGCCTTTACTGTAATTTAGGGGAATGTCTAAGTCCCTCTCACCAGAATCTCTCTGTGACTTTCAGAGTAAAGCGGCAAAAGAGCTGGCAGAAAACAGGAGTAAGATTGATTCTCTCTTGGACTGGGTGACTTCAGTGGGGCCATCTGCTGGACAGACAGAGCAGCTGCCAGGATCTAGCCCACAGAAAGGAGCCTTGGATACCATTGATGGTCAACTGGGGGTGAGCAGAGCCCCAGAGGAGCTGGATAAACAGTGCGAGAAGATGAAGGTGAGACTATGATTTTGTTCCTTACTATATTTAGGTTATCTATTCTGTCCTGGGAAAGTCACAATAACCTCTTGCCCCTCAGTTCAATGGCACTTGTCTGTCTACAGTGCATCTTCTTAATGTCTTAGTAACTTTGGCACCATTGACTGTTCCCCCTTGTATCCTTTCACCCTTCGTTTCTGTGACACCAACTTGTCTGAATAATCCTTCTCCCTTTCCTCTCACCAACATTGGAAGAACCAGCGTACTCTCAGATAGTATCCTAGGCATCTTCAAGTTACGGAGTTTCATGTTTGAGATTCAGCCATACAATGATGGGACGCCCATCCCTCCACCAGTGCACATTTTCCACCACCAATATCCCAAGTATCACCCCCCACACACACATATACACATTGCAGTCCTCACCCAGCCTCTATGCAGAGTTTCCCCAATACTCTCTCTCTAATTTTGGACATTAATTTTGCTCGAATTTTCCCACCACCATCACTCAAGCCTACCTGCCAGGGGCAGACCCTAGATAATGTATTTTCCATAGCTCATTTTGAATATCATGAGAGCTTGCAGCTATTGTAAATGTAAATTTCTAGATTGTAAATGGTTGGGTTCCAGAGACATCTCTGTATGGCACTAATCCATTTTGGGATTCAGTTGGAAGTCTCTGGGCAAGGGCTGTTGGTATGCTAAGATGGTGCGCAGAGGCTAATTGTGGACATGACAGCCAGTATTCTGGGTGGGTGGGGACCCGGGGAGGGACAGCCCAGGTCCACTGCCACCATGCGGCCTGGATATTTAGTCCTGGAACCCGCATACCTGGGCCTTGCTTGTGGAAGCTCTTGGTCACCAGGATTCCATCTGGAGTAAGCGGGGAGACTGCACCTGATTCATCTGGGGTGCCCTGGTGATATTGGCTCGGTATGGGGCCCAGAGTTATCCCTAGAATCTTATATGGCCCCCTGAGCCCTGCCAGGAATGATCCCTGGATCTGTTCTCAAAGTTCATTGTTTTGTCGTGAGCAAAAAAACCTTTGATACTGGGGATAGAACCCAGGCCCCCTGCATGCAAAATATGTGCTCAGCCCATTGAGATGTCCATTTAGTTCCAAGTTCAAGTTCTTTAACATGGTTTAAGACTCTCCTTCTTCATCCTCGTATAAACATAGAGTCTGTTCCTGTTTATTTTTTTCCTGGTGCTCATCTTCGCTCGCATTTGTGTCTAGTAGTAGTGATATTTTCCAGTTCATAGACTGTTGTGCTTTCACTCTCCTGTGGTCTGACTCCTGCTCTCTTTTCTTTTCTTTTCTTTTCTTTCCTTTTCTTTTTTGGGGGGAGAGGGAGGGTTGTTTGTTTTTGAGTCTCACTGGGTGATGTTCAGGGTAGACTCCTGACTTTGTGCTCAGGGATCATGCCTAGTGAGGCTCAAGGGACCATCTGGGGTACTTGGGATTAAGCCACATGTGAGGCACAAGAGTCCTGCCCGCTGTACTGTCTCTCCAGTCCCGTTCTTCTTCTCTTGCCTCTTCATGCAGAAATGAGAGAAGTATCCAGCCATAGGTGGTTCATTCTTCAAATCTCAGCTTAAATTTCAATTTCTACTAGGAAACCCTTCTTCACTGTACATGTTGAGTATATTCCTCTTACACCCTTCCCTACATGTCTACATGATAGTTTTTTTTTTTTTTTTGGTGGGGGTGCTACATCTGGCAATGCTTAGGAGTCACTGACTCTTCTCTCGGGAATACTTCTGGCGTTGCTTAGATGACCATATGGGATGCCAGGGATCGATTTGGATAATATTATTAAGCACTTGGTATACATCAGGAATTGAAGATAAACTATCTTCTAGGATATTAGCTGATAGGCACATCGTATTTCATGATGGAAAGACAGTTAAATATTTAGGAAACTTATAAAACATGTAGATCTTCTATTTTTATAGTGATGACCATAAAAAAATCGGGTTAGCTTGCATATTCTGCTGGACAGCTAATGCGATCCATTGCCTTATGTGGTGTTGAGAGGATTTCTGCCTCTGGTGTGCCACTTCTGTGCTTTTAAGTTCCATTGTAGTATGTGGCAGTCTTATAACATTACAGAACAGAGATGGTTTTGTTGTAATATAAAACCTCCTAGTATTTCTTGTACGCAGTAGTGGTCAACCGGACTAAAGAATATCTCCATCCTGGAAAGGATGCCCTCCTGTGGATGGATCTTTGGGTGGTGTACAAATAAGATTTTTTTTTTTGCTTTTTGGGTCACACCCAGCAATGCTCAGGGGTTCCTCCTGGCTTTGCACTCAGGAATTACTCCTGGCAGTGCTTGGGGGACCATATGGAATGCCAGGGATCGAACTCAGGTCGGCTGTGTCCAAGGCAAATGCCCTACCCACTGTGCTATTGCTCCAGCCCCCAAATAAGCTTTAAAACTGCCACCTACAGCCTGTTTCAGCAGTAGGTGTTTGTGGACAGGAAAGATAATTCAGCACATGCTTTGCATGTGGGAGGCCTAGGTTTCATCCCTGATACTAAATGATCCCCTTAAGGCCACCAGGAGCAACCCCCAAACACAAAGCCTGTTGTGGCCCCCCAAAATACAAAAAGCCCAACAGTATGTATTTGACACCAACTTTTCTGAGATGTCATTGGAAGCAAAACTTTGATTTTTGGCTATTGCTTTTGATTTAAGCTGAAACTGGAAAGTATTCTCTTTTGTTATTGTTTAGATTTTGAGGCCACACCCAGCTTTAATCAGGGCTTTTCCTGGCTCTGTGTCTTGGGATTCCTAGCAGTGCTTGGGACCATATGCAGTGTCAGAGATCAAACAAAAGTTAGCCACATGCAAAGCAAGCACCTTAACCTCTCTGTCACCCTGGCCAATGTTTTTGTAAAAGATAGACTCTGTGAAGAGATAAGAACTAAGGCATTTTCATGTGTCTGACCCTGGTTTATTCCCCAGCACTGCATAATGAGAGTGATTCCTGAGCACAGAGCCAAGAGTAATTCCTGAGCACAACTGGGTATAGTCCACAAAACAAGGGTGGAGAGGAGAAGGGAAGGAAAAGAAAGGATAGGAGAAAAAAGAAAAGTAGAGCCAGAGCAGTAGTACAGTGGGTAGGAATCTTGCCTTACATGTGGCCAACTGGTTTCAATTTCCATGACCACTCATGGCCCACTGAGCCCTGTCAGGAGTGATCCTGTGATCCCTGAGCACAGATCAAGAAATAAGCCCTAAGCACCTCCAGGTATCACCCAAAAGGCAAAAAAATTTTTTTTAAAAAGTAGGATATAGTCCTTCTGTGTAGTTGAATCAATAGTATAGACATTAAACTTCTTCTGTCATCCATTAGACTCAGACAGAGCGAGCATAAAGGTCCACGTAGAGTAAAATAAACATAGTCTAAATTACCAGTGCTCACCAGAAAGGCACTTTACTATCTCTAATATACAATTGTTTAATGAATTCATTAACCAAGATCTTCTTATGTAAGTGATGTTTCACAGCAAAAAACTACTAGCACTTTTTGATTATCATATTTATTTTATCTAGCTTAGTCTAGCTTAGTCTCTTGTTCCATTAATGTGGGTAATTACTTGTCCATTTCTGTCTTTTTCATAGTCCTAGGGTGAGTTTGTGAAGAGTTAAACTTATAGTCACTGTTTATCTCTTTACATCCATATGACTTTACATGTATATTTTTGGTTTTCACTTTTCTCATTTTTAATATGTATATTACATTTTATTTGATTCCTCTGCCCCTCTCAGAGAGCCTGGCAAGCTACCGAAAGTATCTCGCCCCCAAGGCAAAGCCTGGCAAGCTTCCCGTGATATATTCGATATGCCAAACAGAGTAACAACAAGTCTCACAATGGAGACATTACTGGGCCCACTCGAGCAAATCGATCAACAGTCGGAGGACAGTGCTATATTACATTTTGCCTGTGTTGCATATTATACCATAAATCTGCTTATAATTTTGAGGCTGGAGAGATAGTACAGTGGTAGGGTACTTACCTTCCACAAGGCTGACCCAGGTTTGATCCCCAACACCTGCTAAGAGTGGCCCTTGAGTACTGAGCTACAAGTAAATCGTGAGATCTGCTGGATGTGATCCCCTCTCTCCCGCAAAAAAAATTTAACTGTGAGATCCTATCTGTGTTAGTTTAGCTGGCATTAACAAGTGGTATATATTTAAAATGGATGAGAAAGAGTATTGATTTTTGAGCAAATGGAAAGGGGCCTTTTGAGATCTGTACCTCAAGTTGTAGTCATAAACAGATTTTTCTGGATTTTCAACTCATTGTCTTTTGTTTGCGGGGATTATTTACCAGGCCCATCACCAAGAATTGCTGTCAAAACAACAAAATTTCATCCTGGCTACCCAGTCAGCCCAGGCCTTCCTAGACCAGCATGGCCACAATCTCACACCTGAAGAGCGAGAGGCACTACAGGAGAAGCTCGAGAAGCTAAAGGAGCAGTATGCGACTTCCCTGGCCAAGTCAGAGGCAGAGCTGAAGCAGGCACAGACATTACGGGATGAGCTGCGGAAGTTTCTGCAGGATCATAAAGAGTTTGAGACCTGGCTGGAGCGTTCTGAGCAAGAGCTGGAGAATATGCATAAAGGAGGCAGCAGCCCTGAAGAACTTCCCGCCCTGCTGAAACGCCAAGGCAGTTTCTCAGAAGATGTGATTTCCCACAAAGGTGACTTGAGGTTTGTGACTATATCAGGACAGAAGGTCTTGGACACAGAAACCAACTTCGAGGAAGACAAAGAGCTATCGACAGCTGGAACCTTAGTGAAGGAAAAGCTCAAGGATGCCACAGAAAGATACACTACTCTTCATTCAAAGGTGAGAGAGAGTTTCCTACAACCTCTGGTAAAACAGTGGTCTCTGAGGCACAGATAATTCAGGACACAATATATAAGCATCTGGACCATAGGCAGAAGGTCCCTATGAGCTCTGCAAAACAATGCAGAATAGGCAGGCCTATAGGCTCATTAATGTCAGATCTTAGCTTGTGGGCTGGAGCGATAGCACAGCGGGTAGGGCGTTCGCCTTACAAGCGGCCAGCATGGCCGACCCGAGTTCGATTCCTCCTCCCCTCTCGGAGAGCCCGGCAAGCTACCGAGAGTATTCGATATGCCAGACACAGTAACAACAAAGTCTCCAGTGGAGACGTTACTGGGCCCGCTCGAGCAAATCGACGATCAACGGGAGGGCCTTTACTTAGCTTGTGAAAGTGTGTCTCACTCCAGTATCAAAATACTCACCTCCTGTTTCCTGACCAGCAGGCAAGAGTTCTGGCAAGTTCAGAAAGCATAGGGAAAATTTAACCCAACCACACAGTCTTTATTTCTGTATAGACCACCTAGGATAAATCCTTATCTTCCTCCATACCAAAAAAAATGCCCCTGATTCCCTGACTTAAGCATTCTGCCAACATATCTAACACCCCTCCACCCCAAAAATAAATACAACTGTTAAAACCTTTTCTTAGGTGGCTTGTCACTCAGCTCACTAAATCTTCCAGTTCTATAAAAAAGATAGGAAAATAAGTGTGGCTCGAATAATGAGGACACTACTTGTAGAAGGTGTTTGTTCCTCATCTGTGCGTGGAGGCCCTCACATTATATTTAACTGTACTTTCTACAGAATCATAAACTAACTGCAATTATAAATATTGAGTTCTCTGTCACAAAACAAGTTTTCTCTTTACCTGTGAAGCTTTGGCCTTAGGTCTGGCATTGCTAAAGTCTACTTTCTCTTTTTTGGTACAGTGTACACGATTGGGATCTCACCTGAACATGTTGCTAGGCCATTACCAACAGTTCCAGAGCATTGTGGACAACCTACAGTCCTGGATGCAGACGTGTAAGGCCAGTGTGGAAAAACTCCTCTCAGATACTATTTCCTCTGACCCTGTAGTCCTACAGCAGCAGCTTGCAACAACAAAGGTAAGCCAGAACATAGTCTGTTTTACTGCATGGATTAGAATACCCCGTCCCACCCTCCAGAAAAGGAAAGAGTAAAAACTTTCATAAGTTAAAGACAGTAGCTGGGATGACTTTGATAAGACCCGATTCCCTCAGACCTTATTCTAATATCTGCACTATGCATGAGTGGAGAATTACTCTATAAACATGCTTGGTAGTTCTTGATCCTTAAAACTAGTCTTGATTTCTCAGATGTTTTATTTTTTTTTCTTATGGATAAGTAGCAGTTGCAAGAACAAATGGCAGAGCACCAAGTGCCCGTAGAGAAGCTCCAAAAAGTGTCTCATGATCTCATTGAAATTGAAGGTGAACCAGCCCCAGACCGCAAGCATGTTCAAGAAACTACAGGTATGAAACTGCAACAGCAAGACTATTCCCCTAATTTCTTGTTTGTGCCTCTGTTTTATAATGCATTACATGGTGTTGGGCAAGTAATTTGTGATGCTAACTTAGGAGTAAGGATGTAAGTATGCATAGTGCATTCTTTAATGAACTTTATTCTTGCACCAATGAAAGAACCTTTGCAGTCTGTTTCAGTCCCTTGGTCCTAGATACTCTTCCTTCTCACTATACACTCTTTTTGTTTTCCAAGTAAACAGTAATTTATTTTTCATTTTATTCCTAAACTTTTTCACATTACTTAACGCTAATGTTAATTGAGAATTTATCATGAATGATGCAGTCGTGTTCATGCTTCAAGATATAGCCAAAAGGTTGCTTCTTTTGCATAGTCCTGACCATCCTTCCTCTCTCCTCCCCACCAAAATAGAAGATAATCATTCCCCCTCTGAAATACTCTAGTACTGTTGGAGTTCTCCTTCGCACAACCAGTAGAGGTCGCTGGGCCTGCAGGGAGTACCCCTGGGAACACGGCTGTTGCCAGGGAAACCTGGTATTCTCTAAGAATACATAGATTAATTGGCCCTGATTGCCTGGAGCTGATGGCTTGAGACGTGGGAAACAGACATCATTAGGTGTCAGCAGTACTTCAACCTTGCCTTTGCCTAAACGCATCAAGGACAGTGCTCCAACGGCTTCTTCCTAGTCATAACAATACTCTGCCTCTCTTTTCCACCAGCTCATTAGTGTGTGTAGGCACATTCCCTCGGCCTCTGTTTAACTATTACCTTTCCTAATAAACTTTGTCCTATGACTACAGGTCTATGGCCCAAGTGGGTGGCTATGTCTTGGCCATGCTGCGGGCATGTGTCTTGAGCATCTGTTGTCCCTGACTCAAGGAGCAGTCCTTCGTTTCCCGGGGTCCCCGGGGTTATCAGATGACTACACAGTAGCAATATAGTATTTAGGATTTTATTTATTTAAATTTACAAATGTAGTGTTCCCTGGAATTTAATTTCACATTGGGACTGTACTTGGCAGCGCGAAGGAGTACTCTTGGCAGTACTTCGGGGACCATCTGTAGTGCCAGGGTTTTGTCTTGTTTTGTTTTGGGGCCATACCTGGCAATGCTTAAGGTTACTCTTGGCTCTGCACTCAGGAATAATTTCTGGTGGTACTTAGGGGACTATATGGGATGCCAGGGATCGAACACATTCAACCTTGTGCAAGGCAGGTGCCCGACCAACTCTGCTATCTCTCCAGCTCCTTCTTTTATTAACATGTTTATAAAAGCTAGAGGTTTGTTTTACCCTAATTATTTTTAGTCTTTAGTAGTTTAGGCTGGAGCGATAGCACAGCGGGTAGGGCGTTTGCCTTGCACATGGCCAACTTGGCCGACCTCAGTTCGATTCCTCCGACCTGAGTTTGGTTCCTCCACCCCTCTCGGAGAGCCCGGCAAGCTACCAAGAATATCTCCCCTGCACGGCCAAGCCTGGCAAGCTACCCGTGACGTATGCCAAACATAGTAACAACACAATGGAGAAGTTACTGGGCCCGCTTGAGCAAATCGATGAACAATGGGAGGACAGTGCTCCAGTGCTCCAGTAGTTTAGTTTAGTTTCAGCAGTCACATAATTTCTGGCAGTTAGAAGGTGCTTATAAAAGTAATAATGCTTATAGAGTTTCCCCCATACTTAATGCACTTTAAGTCGATTCCTTCTGTCTGGATATCTATTCATTTTCTAGTTAACAGGTACAGTTTAATTACGTACTTTTAAAAAGCATAATATAAGCTAGTTTTTTCTTGACATTGATTTTTCCAGATTCCATACTCAGCTGTTTTCAGAACCTCTCCAGTAGCCTGGCAGAGCGTTCTGCTCTACTGCAGAAGTCAATTGCCCAATCTCAGAGTGTTCAAGAAAGCCTGGATGGCTTGTTGCAATCCATTGGGGACGTGGAAAAAAACCTGCAGGAGGAGCAAGTGACCTCACTGTCTTCAGGAGTCATCCAAGAAGCCTTGGCCACAAACATGGTAAGACCTTTGCCCAAGAGTTAGCACAAGAGAGTGTGTTTACTGCATTCCATAATTCACCATTTTAAAAAGAGTTTTAGCAAAAAAAATTGTTTCTATGAATCTTTGAATAAGATGTAAAGATGGAAACCAGAGTGATAGTATAGCAGTAGAGCCAGGAGTAAGCCCTGAGCACTGTCTGATTGTGACCCAAAAGAAAAAAAGAAAAAAGAAAAAGATGTAATGATGATGATAATTCATGTAAAGACATTTCTGCCTAATTTCCATATCATTGCTAAGCTTGAGAAAAAGTGGTGATAATAGCAAAGTCATTTGGTTGAATGGGGTAGATGATTAAGAGGATGAGACCTGTGGTATTTGAAGACTTGGTTTCAACTTCCAACCCTCCACAAGGACACAGGGGTCTAGTTATTAGAAGTATATTAATTTGTGGTTTGGCCTTCCTGAAATAAGTGGGCCAAAACGTAACAGGCATGTTTGTTTTTGTTTTTGTTTTTATGACAGAAATTAAAGCAAGACATTGCTCGGCAGAAAAGCAGCTTGGAAGCCACCCATGAGATGGTGACTGGATTCATGGAGAAGGCAGATAGCAGCACAGCTGCAGTGTTGCAGGGCAAGCTGGCAGAGGTGAGCCAACGCTTCCAGCAACTCTGTCTGCAGCAGCAAGAGAAGGAAAGCTCCCTCAAGAAACTTCTACCCCAGGCAGAGATGTTTGAACATCTCTCTGATAAACTGCAGCAATTCGTGGAAAACAAAAGTCGGGTGCTAGCCTCTGGAAATCAGCCAGATCAAGATATTGCACATTTCTTCCAACAGATTCAGGTGAGAATCATACCTGCCAAATTGGCAGAATGAAGGGGTGAGGAGAGTAATGGACCAACATTTACTGAACACACTATATGTCAATGTGCTGGAAACTACCTGCATTAGCTTAAAGAATTGTCACAGCAGTTCTGTAAATTAGGTATTTATTCATTAAAAAATATGTAGACTTGAGGAAGAGAGATAGTATGGTAGTGGGGTCACTTAGGCTTGCACACAGCCATTCTGGTTTTGATCCCCAGTACCACCTGTGGCCCCTCAACAAGGAGCAGGGGTGATCCTTGAACAGAGCTAGGAGTAAGCCCTGAGTTCCACTGGGTATGGCCAAATTCCAAAAAGAACTGTAGCACTGTCGTCCCGTTGTTCATTGATTTGCTTGAGCAGGCACCAGTGACATCTCACAATAAATTGTGAGACTTGTTGTTCCAAAAAGAACAAAAACTGAAAAAATATAGTGTGGATATATTTTTCACTTTTATTTTTTCTGTTTGGGCTGGAGCGATAGCACAGTGGGTAGGGCACTTGCCTTGCACATGGCCGACCTGGGTTCGATTCCTCCTTACCTCTCAGAGAGCCCAGCAAACTACAGAGAGTATCCTGCCCACACGCAGAGCCTGGCAAGCTCCCCTTGGCATATTTGATATGCCAAAAGGAGTAACAACAAGTCTCACAATGGAGACATTACTGGTGCCCGCTCCAGCAAATCGATGAACAATGGGAGGACAGTGCTGCAGTGCTACTCTCTATGTTCAGCCAAGATCAGCTGGAATATTTAACAATCCACCTAGCATATGCTCTCATGGTTGCTGCTGCAGAGCATACGATTTGCATTTCATTAGTAAAATTAGTTTATCATGACTTTGCCTGACTTTCAAGGGAGTGGAGAAATGTAACTGTACCAAGTACCCAGTAAGTACAAAGTTAGGAAAATGTGTGAAGCTTATTACATACCACGGTGTGTGTGTGTGTGTGTGTGTGTGTGTGTGTGTGTGTGTGTAATTCTGCTGGTTCATGGTATGTACTTACACATAATTTCAGTAAGTAGCAACTGACTTCAATTCCAGAAAGTCTGCACCTGCTCAAATTCCCTTCTACCGTACCACAGCATTCTTATATTTGGACATTCAGTGCCTTAAGTTTTTCCAACTTTCTGACCCTTTCCTTATTAAAATTTCATTATCTTGTTTGGTTTACTCATCTAACTTTTTACTGTAATATTTTACTGTTTCTTTTGAATACTTTAAAACTTATATCCTTTGTTTTTTTAAGGTAATTCCTGTTATATTTTTTAGAATCCCCCTATCAGCATGTGTATACTCTTTTACTTTCTAGCATAAGAAGCTATTTAAGGTCTAGAGTGATAGTACGGTGGGTGGGGTGCTTGCTGCTTGCCTTGCAAACAACTGACCCCAGTTTGTTCCCTGGCACCCCAAGGCCTGCCAGGAGTGATTCCTGAGCTCAGAACCAGAGTAAACTCTGAGCACCACTAGATATGGCCCAAAAAACAAAACAAACAAAAATTCAAAAAAGAAAAAAGTAAGTTTTCTAACATTACTTCAAAGGGTAAAAAGATGTGTAACTTTAGGGCTTTTTGGGGGTTTTGTTTTACTTTTGGTTTTAGTTTTTTGTTTTTATTTGGGCGATATCCAGTAGTGCTCAGGCTTACTCTTACTCTGTGCTCAGGAATTACTCCTGGCAGGGCTCAGGGGACTATCTAGGATGCAGGGGATTGAACCTGGGACAGCTGCATGCAAGACTAGTGCCTTACCCACTGTACTATGACTGTGGCCCCAGAGATAGAGCTTTGTTAAATATAGCAGGATACCCCTCCATTAGTATTTCTTTATTTGCATTCTCACCAACAGTATATGAAAATACCTGTTTTCCCTATGATCTAAGCAAAAGAATGCATTGGCATGAGAATTTTTTATAATAGGATAAACACATTATATGGTTTAATTTTTATTTCTCCTGTTGAGTGAAGTTACTGCTTTGTGTTTGTATTTTCTGTCAAATTTTTGGTCTTTTTGGTTAGCTTCTGACAGTTCTCAGGGTACCATATGTGGTAATGGATATCAAACTCAGGTCAGCTGTATGCAAGGCAAACCCTTGCCTTGTACTGTCTCTTTAAACTCAAAATTGTGCCTTTGTGTTGCTATTGTAAATGAAATTTTACTCTTGACTTTATATATAAATTGATTTTATATTTTACTACCTTACTGAATTACTTTATTATTTGATTTAGTTGTATCATTGATTTCCTTGAGTTTTACAGCACACTATTTGTAAACCTCAAATATCATTTTAGGGGCTGGAGAGATAGCACAGCGGGTAGGGCGTTTGCCTTGCAAGTGGCCGACCCGGTTTCGATTCCCAGCAACCCATATAGTCCCCTGAGCACCGCCAGGAGTAACTCCTGAGTGCAGAGCCAGGAGTAACTCCTGAGTGCAGAGCCAGGAGTAACCCCTGTGCATCGCCAGGTGTGACCCAAAAAGCAAAAAATATATGTGTGTGTATATATATATATATATATATATATATATATATATATATATCTCATTTTACCTCTTTTCCAGTTCTGGGGGGGAGGGGGGGAACATGGGTCTCTGCAGCAGTGCTCAGGAGTCATTCCCAGGCTATTCTTGGCATAGTTGACTAGTGGTTTCATGTGAGGACCTAATGATTGAGGGCCCTGCAGTACTGGGGACCACCAGGGCCACCTCCTAGTGCTCAGGAAACATCAGTACCATCCCAGCAATACTTGGAGATCTCCAGGGTTACATCCAGTGTTGCTGGGGCTGAGGGAGAGTGTGTGTTACCAACCCATTCTTAGGCCACAATATGGGTTTTTTGTTTTTGTTTTTTGCCTACTTGCATTAGCTGTTTTCTTTAGTACTAAATAATAGCAATGCATATGTGTAAAATAGTAGCAGAATGTGTTTCCCATTTATTGGTTTGGGGGCCACACCTAGTTGTCCTAAGGGCTTGCTCCTGGCTCTGCATTCAGGGATCATTTCTGGAAGGGCTTAAGAGACCATCTGGGGTGCTATGGATCAGACCCAGATATCCTGCATGCAGGGCAAGCACCTTACCCACTATATTATTACTCTGACTACATGTTTCTCCATTTTACAAGATAGATGATGTAATTTGGAGGAGCCTATCTTAAAGTCACAAACTAATCCATGTGCAAGGTCATAATTGAATTTCAGATTTTCTTTTTACTCCAAGAACTTTAATTGATTTCATTCTGTCAGCCTTCCAATTCAATATCTTCAAATATTACATTAAAGTCAATAAGACTGTTTTGCAATTTCTAGCCACTCTTAGGTGGATTTTTTTTTGTTTGTTTGTTTGTTTGTTTGTTTGTGGGAAGTCCCAGCAGTGTTCAGGACTTACTCCTGGCACTGTGCTCCAGGGTCATTCCTGAGGGGGCTTGGGGGACCATATGGGATGCTGAGGATCAAATCCAAATTATCTATATTTTACTACCTTACCAAATAATGCAAGGCAGTACTGTCTCTGGTCCCTCTCAGGTAGATTGGAAAAATTTAATATACTTGAAATGTTTTAATCTAGCCATTAACCCAACAAGGATACATCTTTTCTTATTCTCCCTTTTCTGCAGATTAGGATTAATTTGACCCAGATTTAATCTAAATTGTCTTTCATTCTATAGGGTTTGTATACTTACAAGTATTAGAAGATTTATTCTATTTCCTTGTCTGCTTTTCAGGAGCTCAGTTTGGAAATGGAAGATCAACAGGAGAACCTTGATACTCTGGAGCATCTGGTCACTGAGCTAAACAACAGTGGCTTTGCACTGGACCTGTCCCAGCATCAGGAAAGGGTCCAGAATCTTAGAAAGAACTTCACAGAGCTGCAGAAGACAATCAAAGAAAGGTGCATTTTCACATGGGTTGGGGCATTAATTATTTGACTGATGAGTGACATCATTTTCTCCTCCTCTTTCACCAGAAAAACTAGCATCAAGAACTCTGATGCATACATATCATACACAGGACATTGGAAAGTGCCTTTTTCAGGCATTCTACCTACATGATATTTACTGATTTTTCTACTATTCAGTAGTGATTTCTTTCTCAGTAATGAGGCTCCGTTCCCTTTCTCTTTCTTTGAAGGGGGAGGGTTGGAGGGCCACACTCAGTGATGCTCAGACATTAACTCCTGACTCTCCATTCAGAAATTACTCCTGATGGTGCTCAGGAAACCATATGGTATGTTGGGGATCAAACTGAGGTCAGTCGCATCCAAGGCAAACACTACCTGCTGTACTATTGCTCCAGCCCCATCTGTTCCCTTTTTGTAAAGTTAAAACCCAGCTCATCTGAATCATATGGGGAAAAAATTGAATCTACAACCTGGGTGTGGCCATGGGATTTTCTGTGTATGATTTTGAAATTAAGAGAAAACTTGGAGGAAATTTACCAGACATAATGGGCTGGAGCGCTAGCACAGCGGGTAGGGCGTTCGCCTTACAAGCGGCCAACATGGCCGACCCGAGTTCGATTCCTCCGCCCCTCTCGGAGAGCCCGGCAAGCTACCAAGAGTATTCGATATGCCAGACACAGTAACAACAAAGTCTCCAATGGCGACGTTACTGGGCCCGCTTGAGCAAATCGACGATCAACGGGAGGGCCTTTACCTTTACCTTTACCTTAATGAGGAATTATATTGATACTCACCCAGTTTGTTTTGATTCACATTTAAGTGACTACTGAGGAGTTTCAGTATTCTTCTAAGACAGACATGAGACTAGGTGACAAAGGTGGTTTTTTTTCAGATCATCAGCTCACTATTAAAAGGTTGTGATATAAAAGGGAACCGGAGCTATAATACAATGGGTAGGGCACTTGTTTTGCACATGGCTGACCTGGGTTCAATTTCTGGCTTCTCAGATGGTCCTGTGAGCTCACTAGTTTCCCTTAACCTAACTTCTCTGAGCTACATTTTCATCATTCTTCTTCTTCTTCTTCTTCTTTTTTTTTTTTTTTTTTTTTTTGCTTTTTGGGTCACACCTGGCAATGCACAGGGGTTACTCCTGGCTCATGCATTCAGGAATTACTCCTGACAGTGCTCATGGGACCATATGAGATGCTGGGAATTGAACCTGGATTGGAGGATTGGACACATCCAAGGCAAATGTCCTACCTGCTGTGCTGTCACTCTAGCCCTTTATCATTATTCTTACTAAAAAAATTATCATTTGAATTAGGCCTTAAAAGAGTCAAATACCTAAAAAAGTAATAACTGGACTTGATATCCTAATACAGATTCTTTCCATTGTATCATCATACCTAAATATCATCCTCCCTTCAATTTTTCTCACTTTCAACTTTAGCAAGGAGTAAGATCTAGAACTTCTTTACCTGGAAACATCCAAACGAAACCAATAGGTTCCATAGTTTGATGCTTTACAACTTTTTTTTTGTATTGGTTCAACCAAAGGTGCTATGGAAAAGATTGTGAGAATGAGTGTTCCTATTAGAAAACTGGTGCCCAGAATCCTAGAATGTTCCTAGCTTTAGTTTAAAATTCTTTACAAAACTTAGCCTCACAAATAATAGAATGCCAGTAGTACAGGGTTTAAGACACTTTTCTTGCCTGCGGCTGACCTGGATTGGTCCTTGGCATCACATAAGGTACTGCAAGCACTGCCAGGAGTTTTCTTTCAGCATTGAGCAAGGCTGGGTGTGGCATAAAATCCAATAAATAAATAAAAAGAATTTTTTAATGCCTTTGTTGATAGGGAGGAAGACGCATCTTCTTGCCAGGAGCAATTGGATGAATTCCGGAAGCTGGTTAGGACCTTCCAGAAATGGCTGAAGGAAACTGAAGGCAGCATTCCACTTACAGAGACTTTCATAAGTACTAAAGAGCTGGAAAAGCAGATCGAACACCTGAAGGTATGTAAACAAAAGGATCTCCAGCCATCAGGCAAGGCAGTAGTTTGGAAACTATGTCTGAAAACGTATGATCTGATCATCTGTTGTAGGGAACTGGTTTGAGAAATCCAAGTCATCCATCTTTATTCTAGACATTCTGCTAGACATTCTACTGCACGCTTCATGTGATTCCCACCTACCCACGCCCAGGTTCTGAGCACCAAAATACCTCTTATTTAGAAACCAAAACCTAAAAGATAGTCTAAGAGTAATATCTATCATCTGTTTCTTTGGCTGCTTCATGTGAAGGTGGGACACATAAGAGATAATTGTCCAAGTCCAGTCCTTGAAAAGCTTATGTTCTTACAGAGTATCTGAGAATTTGACAGTTATGTCTAAGCAGATGTCCAGATAAATGATTAGGAAATTGAGTAGAGAAGAACTGTTGCAGCAACAAATAAAGGGAAAGCTGGAATCAGTTATGTAGCCTCTCCTGGCACCTCTGTTACCTCTTTTCTTTTTGTTTCAATCAGTCAGATAGACCTCCAACTAACTCAGATTGCATTCATCTTTTTTTTTTTTTTTTTTTTTTTTTTTTTTTTTTTTAGTAAAACAGGATTTATCTTGAGCAGGTGAAGGGAGAATAAAACTTACTGCTTTCACACAGAGTGCCAAGAACATCTGCTGTGGGGAATTCCTTGGGTAGAGGTTCCACAGAGGTTCCTTAGTATTTCAAGAACATTCACAGTACCACAAGGTCAAAACACAAAGAATGGAGCCAGAGAGATAGTGCAGAAAACTTTGCATGCAGGAGCCCCAACATCTCATGGTTCTGAGCACTGCAGGGAGTGCCCTCCACCCAAGAATAGCTTCACTTGCTAAGTAGTCAGGTCCAAACGTAGTAGCAGTTGTTCATTTGACATCCAATAGATGGCACTATTTTTCCTTCAAATATATTTAAGTACTTGTTAGCCGGTGCATAATTTGGATGCCATGGCCCTTTTAGATTTAAGAATTATTAATAAAATTTTTTTTAAATGATTGATCCCCAGCACTGCATGGTCCCCCAAGCACCACTGGGAGGTACCGGACATCGAGTACAGATCTGGGAGTAGTTCACAGCAGCAATGAGTGGGCCCCAGAATAAAAACTGAAAGCTCTAAATTGATAAGGTTTTTTGGTTGGTTTGGTTTGGTTTTTTGAATTAGCATTAATCTCCTAGGTATTCACGTTTTTATCTTTCTCATTGCTCTGCAACTCAAGGTCAAAACTTAAGATTTAAGATTCTCAGTGAAATTCATTGTAGAGGAAGGGAATGAAAGCTAGCATGGTATCTGTGCTTTCAAAACAGTAAAATCCAACTTTAGTGACCCGTGGTTTTCATGTTAGAGAAACATAACCTGAAACTTCATCTTAAAGTAGCTGCCATTATTGCCTAATGACTTTGTACTTGTAGTTAGAGCTCTAACATCAAACCCAAGACAACTTTCCCTGAAAATGTGGAGAGTAGGAGAGATCTTATAGCTGGTAGTGTAGCCTTGTTTACAGCCAACCTGAATTCATCCTCAACACTGCACATGGTCCTTGAGCACCACCAGGAATAACTCCTGAGCACTGCCAGGTGTGGCCCTAAAACAAGCAAAAGAAAATACAAAGGATGTATTTCTCCACGTCTCAATATCTAGCTCCTCATTTTGCCTTCAGTACTGTTTCCTTTCAGTTCTTTACATGCATGCTCTTCCCCTTGTCCACTTGGCAAACGGTTATCTAAAAGTTTTCCTTCCACTCAGCATAGTTAAATGTATCTTCTCTTTTGCTCCTGACTCTTCATATTCCTATAGTAGCATTTATAACATTAAATGCAATCAATAATCTTAACTCTTTATGTTTTTTAGTTTTTGGGCCACAGCTGGCGATGCTCAGGAGTTACTCTTGACTCTGTGCTCAGGAATCACTTCTGGCTTTGCCCAGGGATGCCAGGGATCAAACTCAGGTTGACTGTGTACTAGGCAAATGCCCTGCCCACTATACTGTCCCTCTGGCCTCTGAGAAAAATCTTTTTATTCCATTTTTTTGGTTTTGAGTAATTGCCAGCTGTGCTCAGGGTTCATTCCTGGCTCTGTGCTCAGGGATCACTCCTGATAAGGTTCAGGGACCATATGTGGTACTAGGAATTAAACTCAGGTCAATTGTTTTTTTTTTTTAGTTTCATTGATTTTGTTTGTTTGTTTGGTTTTGGGGCCATATCTGGCTGTGCTCAGAGCTTACTATTGGCAGGCTTGATTCTGAGGATCAAACTCAGGTTGTCCATGTACAAGGCAAGCACTATACTCACTGTGCTATTGTGCCATCCCACTAACTTCTTATTTTTAAGATCTGTGTCATAGTCCAATTTTGTATCCCCAGATTTGAGCATGATGCCTTGCTTATAGTGAATGCTCAATATATTTTTTGCTAAATGAATGAATATATGAGAATATTCTGAATATTCCACTATATTTTCTCACACTTTGACTCAATCAAGCTCTTGAAATGACTACATATAGGAGAATTTTTAATGGTTATCAGAACTTGGGGGTAGGATGTTATAGAAAAACAGGTATCTCTATGTGGGAAATAAAAATCTCCATGTGGTATATTTAGGTATCTTTATCTTTTTAACAGAGTCTTCTAGAAGATTGGACAAATAAGGGAACTTTGGTGGAAGAAATCAATTGCAAAGGCACTTCTTTAGAAAATCTCATCATGGAGATCACAGCACCTGATTCCCAAGCTAAGACAGGTGAGTGTAAGCTCTTAATAAGGTCGTGAGTATATATCATTTTTGGCTTTGACTTTTGCTTATGACCCCTTATTTAATATGTGTCAGAATCAAGATTGGATATACTAATAAAGGGGTCCATGAAGTAGTCATCTCCTCAACTTGATATGGGAAATCTCTCTCTCTCTCTCTCTCTCTCTCTCTCTCTCTCTCTCTATATATATATATATATATATATATCACGACGATCACGACCATCCTGTTATTCGTCGATTGCCTCGAGCAGGCCCCAGTAACGTCTCCTTCGTCCTAGTCCTGAGATTTTTTAAAAAGTGCCATATTCAAGGCTCTTTCAGAGTTAGGAGAAAGAGACCCATCATTGTTACTGGTATTTGGCATATTGGGTACGCCACGGGGAGTTTGCCAGACTCTGCCGTGTGGGCAGGTTACATTCGGTAGCCTGCCAGTTTGTCCAAAGTAGGAATGAGATAATAAGATGTTGTGCGGCTGCAAATGAGGCCGCACACTTCCAGGAGCTGGGTTTTATAGTCTCTGAGTCTTGGCCATTGATGGGATTACTCCACACACATGAAGGTACTGGCAGAGGAACAGAGGCATGCGGGTCCCGGGACTGAGATCTCCATGCCTGCTCGGATCAGGGCTGAGCATCCTCCACCCAGATCCTCCAAATTCCAGTAGGCGGGGGTCACACCCACCAACTGGCCCCCTGGCGCCATGTAATCCCATCAACGGCCAAGACTCAGAGACTATAAAACCCAGCTCCCGGAAGAGAACAGCGCAGAACCTCCTGCCCCCGAGCCTGGCTGTCCTCGCTGGGGCCCCTTGGAGGGGAGTGGGTTGAGTTTCCCTCCCCACCCCGACCAGGGCTCCAGCAGCCAAAGACCTCCACAACCAGCCACCACCATGCTGAGACCCCTCTCTCTCTCTCTCTCTCTATATATATATATATATATATAACTGTTACATTTTATAAAAGTCTTTCTAATGGTGAAACAAGTGGAGCAATTAGTTGGTCCACCTAGAAATTTCAAGTGAAAAAAGGAATGACTGAAATAGAATTCCATCTTAAGGATTTTCACTTTGAAATGCGTGTGTGGAGGAGGGGTGGGGAGAGGAGAGAGATAACACAGGAGGTACATGGTTCAATTCCCAGCACTGCATATGTTCCCCTGAACTTTACTAGGAGTCACTTTGAGCATAGAACAAGGGAGAGCCCCTGAACACTACGGGGTGTGGCCCCCAAATGAGACAGAAATAAAAAGTGAAAGATATGGGTAAAGTTGCTATTTTTGTGGTGGTTGTTGTTGTTCTTTTTTTTCCTGGTGTCACACTGTTCATGGGTCACACCCAGCTGTGTTCAGGGAACCATGCAGTGCCATGCCAGTAATTAAGCCATGCCAAGTCTTGCTATATGCGAAACATGTGCTCTAACTCTTGAACTATCTCCCTGCCCTGTGCATCATCTTTACAGTGGGATAGACCCTGAAGGGAATAACTATGATAGTAACATGATATAGGAAATGGTAGGTATTTAGGAATCAATATCAGTACTCCAGGAACACTTTGTGGAAATGAATACAAAGATTATGGCCAGATATATGAATATTCTCTGACTGCAAAATAAGTCTTTTAAACAGACAATGTTGATGCACGTACATATAATTAATTCCTTATGTAGTAAAGGAAAAACTCACTTTTTTTTTCCTCCTGAGAATGACTACTTTTTAGCTGCTATCTGGAACTACCCAGAATTGACATTTCATGAAATTGGCCATTCTTTTATTACAAACACATAAACCTCTAAGATCAGTTATTTATTAGTTTGATTATATCAGGAGTTGGCACACTGTTTCAGGAAAGGCCGTCACACTGTCACTGTCCTCCCGTTGTTCATCGATTTTCTCGAGCGGGCCTAGTAACGTCTCCATCATGAGACTTTGTTGTTACTGTGTTTGGCATATCAAATACATCATGGGTAGCTTGCCAGGCTTTGCCATGCGGGCAAGATACTCTCAGTAGCTTGCCGGGCTCTCCGAGAGGAGCGAAGGAATCGAACTCAGATTGGTCATGTTGGCTGCCTACAAGGCAAACGCCCTACCCGCTGTGCTATCACTCCAGCCCCAGAAAAGGCCGTATTGTAAATATTCGGTTTGTGGATCATATGGCTTCTGTCACAGTACACATTCTTGCCATTGTAGCACAAAAGCAGTCATAGACAATATATAAATGAATAGTTTATGGCAGAGTTCCAACGAAATTTTATGTACAGGAGTAGAGAGACAGATTTGGCTGGTCAAAAATAGATTTTTAACTCTGGACTACATCAGAAATTTTTTTTTGAGAGAACAAGGGAAAATTTATTTCAAATTTGAGATATTAAAATTAAAAATAAGAAGCAAAATGTTTTCACCAATGACCAGCTTATGATCTTAAGTCTCCAGAAAATTGTTTAAAACAATATATATGTTATTGTTTTTAAGTCATAGTATATTTTAAATTTCTATTTTAAATCTGGAAATTTATATGAGGAGGTTGGTGAAAGACTGGAATTTTTTTTCATACAATTATTTATTGTGTAAAGAGGATATTATAATATATTAGACTATTCAATCCCAATGAGCTTTGTCTTTTTTTTCCTTTTTTTTTTTTTATTAGTGAAACACCATGAGGTACAGTTGTAGACTTACAAGTTGTTGCACTTGGGTTTCAGTTATGCAATGATCAAGTACCCATCCCACCATCAGTACCCATTCTCCACCCCCACCAATCCCAGTATCCCTACCACCCCCCATCCCCCATCCCACCCTGCCTCTGTGTCAGGGCAATCCCTTTTGTTCTATCTCTCCTTTTGGGTGTTGTGGTCTGCAGAAGAGACATTGGGTGGCAATCATGTTCAGTCCATAGATTACTTTCAGCAGGCATCTCCCATCCTGTGCAGATCTTCCCAGCACCCTTTATTTGGTGCTCCCTTTTCTATCTGAGCTGCCTTTACCCCTAGAGTGTGCGGCTGGCCTCTAAACCATGGAGTGAACAACCTGGTATTTATCACAGCCGTTCTCGGGTTTTAATCTCTTATTTTGTTACTTTATGTTACCCAGATGAATGCAATCTTTCTATGTCTGTCCCTCTCTTTCTGACTCATTTCGCTTAGCATAATATTTTCCATATAGTACCACTTGTATGTAAATTTCATGACTTCATTTTTTCCAACTGCTACATAGTACTCCATTTTGTAGATGTACCAAAGTTTCTTTAACCAGTCATCTGTTCTTGGACACTCAGGTTTTTTCCATATTCTAGCTATTGTAAACAGTGCTGCAATGAACAAACAAGTGCAGATGTCACTTCGACTATACTTTTTGGCCTCTCCGGGGTATATTCATTCCCAGGAGTGGTATTGCTGGGTCAAATGGGAGCTCAATTTCTAATTTTTGAGAGTCGTCCATACTGTGTTCCAAAAGGGTTGAACCAGTCGGCATTCCCACCAGCAGTGAAGGAGGGTCCCTTTCTTACCACATCCACGCCAACACAGGTTGCTTTTGTTCTTTTGAATGTGGGCCAGTCTCTGTGGTGTGAAATGATATCTCATTGTTGTTTTGATCTGCATCTCCCTGATGATTAATGATGTAGAACATTTTCTCGTGTGCCTTTTAGCCATTCGGATTTCTTCTTTGAGAAAGTCTCTGTTCATTTCGTTGCCCCACTTTTTGATGGGGTTGGATGTTTTCTTCTCATGGAGTTCAACTTTGTATATCCTTGACATCAACCCCTTGTCGGATGTGTATTTGGAGAATATCCTTTCCCATTCTGTAGACTGTCCTTGTATTTTGGTCACTGTTTCTTTGGAGGTGCAGAAGCTTCTTAGTTTAAGATAGTCCCATTTGTCTATCTCTGTTTTCACTTGCTTGGCCAGTGGCGTGACATCTTTGAAGATACCATTAGCTTCTGTGTCATGGAGGGTTTTGCCAACTTTGTCTTCAGTGTACCTTATGGATTCTGGTCTGATGTTGAGGTTTTTGATCCATTTTGATCTTACTTTTGTACATGGTGTTAGGCAGAGATCTAAGCCCAGTTTTTTGCATGTAGTCATCCAGTTTTGGCAGCACCATTTGTTAAAAAGACTTTCCTTACTCCACTTCGCATTTCTTGCCCCTTTATGAAAGATTAGATGATCATATGTTTGAGGGGAGATGTCAGTATATTCAACCCTGTTCCATAGGTCTGCAGCTCTGCCTTTGTTCCAGCACCATGCTGTTTTAATTATTACTGCTTTGTAGTAGAGTTTGAGGTTCGGGAGGTTAATTCCTCCCATTTCCTTTTTCCCAACAACCACTTTAGCTATTCGAAGGGTCTTATTGTTCCATATAAATTTCAGGAGTGTTTGCTCCATTTCTTTGAAGAATGTCATGGGTATCCTAATAGGGATCTCATTGAATTTGTATAGTGCTTTGGGAAGTATTGCCATTTTGACAATATTAATTTTCCTGATCCATGAGCAGGGGATTTTTTTTTTTAATAAAAGAGCAGCGTCCTCTTTTATTTAAGAAGGAGCGTTTTGTAGTTTTCTTTGTACAGGTCCTTTACTTCCTTAGTTAAACTAATTCCTAGGTAATTGATTTTCTGGCATACAATTGTGAATGGGATTGTTTTCTTCATGTCATTTTCTTCACTCTCACTATTTGTGTATAGGAAAGCCATGGACTTTTGGGTATTGATTTTATAGCCTGCAACTTTACTATACAAGTCTGTCGTTTCTAGGAGTTTCTTGGTAGAGGTTTTAGGGTTCTCTAAGTATAGTATCATATCATCTGTGAATAGTGAGAGCTTGATTTCTTCCTTTCCTACTTGAATGCCCTTAATATCTTTTTCTTGCCTAATCGCTATTGCAAGTACTTCCAGTACTATATTGAACAGTAGTGAGAGAGTGGGCATCCTTGTCTCGTGCCTGATCTTAGGGGGAAGGCTCTCAGTTTTTCCCCATTGAGGATGATGCTTGCTGTAGGCTTGTGGTAGATGGCTTTAACTATATTGAGGAAAGTTCCCTCTATCCCCATTTTGGCGAGGGTTTTCATCATAAATGGGTGCTGGATCTTGTCAAATGCTTTCTCTGCATCTATTGATATGATCATATGATTTTTTATCTTTTCTTTTGTTGATATGATGGATTATGTTGATTGATTTCTGAATGTTAAACCATCCTTGCATCCCCGAGATGAATCCCACTTGGTCATGGTGTATGATCTTTTTGATGAGTTGTTGAATTCTATTTGCTAGTATTTTGTTGAGAATCTTCGCATCCGTGTTCATCGGGGATATCGGCCTGTAGTTTTCTTTTTTTGTGGTGTCTTTGTTTCCTTTTGGTATTAGAGAGATATGGGCTTCATAGAAACTGTTTGGGAGAGTTTCTGTTTTTTTAATTTCCTGGGAAAGCTTGAGAAGGAGTGGCAGTAGGTCCTCTTTAAATGTTTGGAAAAATTTGCTAGTGAATCCATCTGGATCTGGGCTTTTGTTTTTGGGAAGACTTTTGATTACAGTTTCAATTTCCTTGATGTTAATAGGTCTATTCAGGTATTCCATATCTTCTTGACTCAGCTTTGGGAGATGATAGGAATCCAGGAATTTATCCATTTCTAGATTCTCTTATTTCGTGGCATACAGACTTTCAAAGTAGTCTCTGATGACCTTTTGAATTTCTTTGGTTTCCATTGTGATATCCCCATTCTCATTTCTGATTCAGTTTATTAGGATTTTCTCTCTCTGTTTCTTTGTGAGTGTTGCTAGTGGTTTATCTATCTTGTTTATTTTCTCGAAGAATGAGCAGAAATTTTTTAAACATTTTTAAGTACTAGAATATTTTTAAAAAATAAATCCATAAAACTCTATTGCAAAATAAGATATTTTGCTGGCATAGATATCTCTTATAAGTAAATTTCTTGCATTCATTATGCTTTTATTTCTGTTGTTTGTTTTTTGAGCCATGTGTGCAAAGATTGGCCAAGTGCAAGGCAAGTGCCTTAACTTTTGTACTATCTCTCTGACCCTTGCATTTATTAGGAAATGTGTCAGTGAGCTTTTTGAGACTAATTTGGTGAATATAAAAATTTGAAGAGGATATTTGGATGACAGCTTCGTCCTTGGATTCATTTCTCAATTTTATTTGGTCATATTATATTCAGAAATATGATTCAGTCAGATAAGTGTGGCAAATGCCAAGAGATATTTTGAAAAGTTCACCTTACAGGGGCTGGAGAGAAAGCACTGTGGATCAGGTGCTTATTTTACATGTAGCTGACCTGGGTTCAGTCCCATCACCACATGTTTCCCGGGTATAACCAGATATAATTCCTAAACGCAGAGCCAGGAGAAAGCCCTGAGTATAGCCAGGTTTAGCCTTACCCCCATAAACCCCACCAAAAGAAAAGTTCACTTAACAGCCTCAGAATTGTCTTTGATTAAGCTGAACTTGAAGCTTGAAAGAGATGTAATGCAGGATTCCTTTCACAAAATGGTATCAGCAAGAATATTTAATGAGAGTTTACATTCTGTATTTTTTTTTTAAGTATTAAATGTTTAATGCCAGGGATTAGTCTTCTGCATACAAGCATACACAATTTGCTGCAAAACTACATTTCCAGTCCTCGTAGTTTTTTTCTCAAAATTAAAAAACACCTAACCTTGGTATTGAGGACAGAGATGTGTAATTTGACATCATAAACTGAATTATCAAGAATTCTGTGCTGAGGGCCTTGGGCACTTTTGGGGGGGAGGGGAGAGTTGTGCACCCAGCAATGCTCGGGGGTTACTCCTGGCTCTACACTCAGGAATTACTCCTGGCGGTACTTGGAGGACCATATGAGATGCCGGGGATCGAACTCAGGTCAGCCACATGCAAAGCAAATGCCCTACCAGTTGTACCATAGCTCCAGCTCCCCAGAAATAATATTCTTAATATTAAGTTTAAGTGAAGCATTTATAGAGTCCCACAAGCATTTTTTTTTTAATTTTTATTAGTGAAACACTATGAGGTACAGTTGTAGATTTACAAATTTTTGTGCTTGGGTTTCAATTATACAATGATCAAACACCCATCCCTCCACCAGTGCCCGTTTTCCACCACCACGGGTCCCAGTATCCCTCCCACCCCCATCCCCCATCCCACCCTGCTTCTGTGGCAGGGTATTCCCTTTTGTTTTCTCTCTCCTTTTGGGACAAGCACTTTTTTAGGTTGTTTGGGAATCAGTTTGAAAATCACTAGCCTAAATGGTCTCAAAGGTTTCTTCTGACTCTAAAAAATCATGAATATTGCAGTCCCTTACATTTGTGTAGCTTTTTGTTTTGTAAAGTGCTTTCACGTGCATTGCCTTGCCCCGGTAACCTCTCCTTAGTTGACAGGATAAGTTTTATTGTCATTAGATCCTACAGAAGATACACATGAAGTCTGTTCAGATTAGGCTCACTTATCAAGTTAGTGATAGTCTCAGGTAGGACTGTCTCCTAATTACTAATGGAATTTCTTTTGGCTATTACTGTCCTTTAGTGAAATATCATCTGTTTAATCATTTATTTATTTTTAGACTTTGTTTTCAGCTATACCTGGCAATACTCAGGGATTTCTCCTGGGCTCTGCGCTCAAGAATCACTTCTGGCAGTGTTCAGGAATGCTGGGGATCAAACCCATGTGGCCATGTGGAAGGGCACTGTATATGTATTTCGGTTTGGCAGCTGCTCCTGTCAAGGTGTTTAGGAACCTCTCCTCAGTGCTGAGGACACCTTGCAGAGCTGAGGGTTTAGCTCAGGCCTGCCTGAAAATGAAGCATGTGCTCAACCTGAGCTATTTCACCTGCTTTGGTCCATTTGTTAATGAAAATACAATAATGTTAATATTTAAACATTTTACGATATTGTTTTTATATAACCTAAGGCATGACTTTTCCACAATGAAATAGTGCACATGAAAATTTTACCATTCTCTCAGTGTAATACCCTGTCTTGGATTTTCATCACGAATCACGACCATCCTGTTGTTCGTTGATTGCCTCGAGCAGGCCCCAGTAACGTCTCCTTCGTCCTAGCCCTGAGATTTTTTAAAAAGTGCCATATTAAAGGATCTTTCAGGGTTAGGAGAATGAGACCCATCATTGTTACTGGTATTTGGCATATTTGGTACGCCACGGGGAGTTTGCCAGACTCTGCCGTGTGGGCAGGTTACACTTGGTAGCCTGCCATTTTGTCCAAAATAAGAATGAGACAATAAGATGTTGTCGCGCAGCCGCATTTGCGGGAGCTGCGTTTTATAGTCTCTGGGTCTTGGCCATTGATGGAATTACACGGCGCCAGGGGACCAGTTGGTGGGTGTGACCCCTGCCTACTGGAATATGGAGGATCTGGGCGGAGGATGCTCAGCCCCGATCCGAGCAGGCTTGGAGATCTCAGCCCCGGGACCCGCAAGCCTTTGTTCCTCTGCCAGTACCTTCATGCGTGTGGAGAGTGGTCTCAGCATGGTGGTGGCTGGTTCTGGAAGTCTTCGGCTGCTGGAGCCCTCGTCGGGGCGGGGAGGGAAACTCAACCCGCTCCCTCCAAGGGGCCCCGGCAAGGACAGCCAGGCACGGGGGCAGAAGACTCTTATACTCTCAGTATAATACCCTGTCTTGGATTTTCATCACTTTCTATATAATTTTTATAATATCTTGACTTCTATTTTTAAACTTAATTTGGAACACTCCTGAAATATTGGTGTCAACATTGGAGAGGCTATAGGTGAAACTATGTAATTAAAAATAGAAGGGGCTGGACCCATAGTATAGCAAGTATGGCACTTGCCTTGCATGTGGCCAACCCAGGTTCGATCTCCTTCACCCCATATGATCCCCCGAGGCCACCAAGAGTGATACCTGAGCACAGAATCAGTAGTAAGGATTGAGCACAACTGGGTATGACCCCCAAACCAAAAAATAATAATAAAATAAAAACGTTTTAAATAGAACCAAGTATTGCTGCGAATGCAGCTCCTCCGTGAACATATTTCCCCTTTCATGTATTGGTCCTGAGGCTGGAGCAATAGCATAGCGGGTAGGGCGTTTGCCTTGCACATGGCTGACCCAGGTTCGATTCCTTTGTCCCTCTCAGAGAGCCCAGCAAGCTACCGAGAGTATCCCACCCCCACAGCAGATCCTGGCAGGCTCTCGTGGTGTATTCAATATGCCAAAAAAACAGTAACAAGTTTCACAATGGAGACGTTACTGGTGCCCGCTTGAGCAAATCAATGAACAACGGGAGGACAGTTCTACATTGATATGTATAGATCCTGGGTTCAATCCCCAGTGCTGCAAAAGGGGGGATAAAACAAAATAGATTCAAACAGAGATATGGGGATGTTTATGAACCAGTTTATTGAAACTTAGGATTGCTGTTTTCCAGTGGGGAAAGGGTAGCAGAGAGGCATGAAAGAAAAGGCATGAACGTCTTCCTTTTGAAACAATGAGAAGGGTTTGTTTTAATGACTTTATTAAAAGTGTGCTTCTTTTTATATCCTTAATGGTACTTTGTTCGTTTTTATTATAATGAAGGATATTTGTGCTATAATTCAACTTTTTTTGCTTTATTATAAATTCTCTTTCCAAAGTATAGCAGATACCATTCTTAAAGACTTAATAATTTTACCAGTAATTGCTTCACAAAATTATGACAGGGTCCAAATAATTCCAGTTGAAATTTCAAAAAATGAATTTGAGTTTCTTTCCTCTACAAAAGATTAGGAATCATTACTGCTAAGGAGCTCAAACACCTTAACTGACACTTTGTTGCCTGGTGGCTAAAATGATTGTCTCTCTCCATGAGTATGTTGTCTTGTGTTGTGTTAACTTCTCAATACCTGAGCTTAAAGTGAGTGCCAAAAAATAATTGCGGTGCCTGTTTGTATTCCTAACACGTTTGTCTTGCCCTGTTTGTCTCTCTGTCCTTCTGCTCAGGTTCCATACTGCCCTCTGTAGGAAGCTCTGTAGGCAGTGTAAACGGATACCACACCTGCAAAGGTGAGATGCCATTTCAAAAGTGCCTCTTCAATGGGTGTGTTAGGACACTGTTTGTGTTAACCTTCTATGTATGTTTTCATATGTACAGAAAGTCACTTCCAACATGGGTTGCAGGGTGAAAATCTGGGAGAGGGTTGACTCTGCTTTCTAGCTATAGGCTAAACAGTTTGGCAACCAGTGAGATGAAATATGAAGAAAATATGCTGGTCTGCTAATTAAGACTTACAAGAAAATATCTGAAAGAAAATAAAGGCATATCTTTGAATTTTAAAGAACTTGTACTAGAGGTAGTCTGGTCTAGCCCTCAGCCTCACTGTCAGGTATATTCCTTGTAGTTTGGAAGAAGGAACATAAGAATTCCTCAATTTTCCTAGCTTTCATTTTTACTTTTCTGATTTCCATGTTGACTTAGTATTTTATTTAGAAATATGGGTATTTAATGCCAAAATTAGAAAGTAGGTTAATCAGAACTCTTCCTTTGCATATGAAAACAAGAATTTTATGTGGTTTAGCAGGAAAAATAACCTCTAGTTCACTAGAAGAAAGAGAATGGGTGCTTAAGCCTCGTGAGTAATGTAGTAGTGAGGAACCAGTGGATCTGCTTGACAAGCACATTCCAATCTGATTTTTGTTTCTGTGCTACTAGACCTGACGGAGATCCAGTGTGATATGTCAGATGTAAACTTGAAATATGAGAAACAGGGGGGAGTACTTCGGGAACACCAGGAGGGCCTTCAGTCTGTCCTTAGCAGGATGGAGGAAGTTCAGAAGGAGGCAAGCTCAGTGTTACAGTGGCTGGAATCAAAAGAAGAAGTCCTGAAAGCCATGGATGCCTCTTCATCTCCAACCAAGACAGAAACAGTGAAAGTCCAAGCTGAATCTAACAAGGTACTGTGTTTGCAGTCACTGCATCCCAAACATGGAGAGAAAACTGTTTTCCTGCTCTTCCCACCTCAGCCAGCCCTGGGACACAAGAGTCTGACATGGCCAGTCAGTGAGACAGTGATGAGTAGCATGCTTAACTTTCAAATACTTAATATCCCTAAATTCTCGTAGGTAATTTTTCTACTGAAATTAGAAATTATAAACCAGATCCAGAAATAAACCAGACCTGTTTACAGATAGAGAATAGTGTTTCTCAAAACATTGGCTCATTAAGAATGGGATCTTATTTATTTATTTTTTTATTTTTTGGCTCTTTGGGTCACACCCAGCGATGCACAGGGATTACTCCTGGCTCATGCTCTCAGGAATTACTCCTGGCAGTGCTTGGGGGACCATGTGGGATGCTGGGAATCGAACCCGGGTCAGCCGTGTGCAAGACAAACGCCCTACCCGCTGTGCTATCGCTCCAGCTCGGGATCTTATTTTCTATATGATGCTTTAACTCATAATATTTTCATTGGTACCGGAAAGATAGCTCAACAGGCTGAGCACAAAATTCACATGCAGAAGGGTCAGGCTTTACTCCAGCTCTGTGTGTTCCTCTAAACTCAAACCCTAACCATTCTCATCTTTCTAACTCTTGAAGAGATCTAAATAATGTGATTACAGTTTATTCTTAAGATTGACATGTAGGGCCAGGGCAGAGGCTCAGTGATGGCTTTCGTGCCTTAAATATGTGAGACTCTTGGCCAGGGATGGGACTCTGAGGTAGAGCATTTACCTTGCCTGTGTGAGGCCCTGGGTTCAATTCCCAGAGCTGCAACAAAAATACAAGGAAAAAAGATTGGTATGTAGAACTAGGAAAAATATAAAAATAAATAACTTCACATAGAAAATCCTATAAAGGGGCTGGAGCAATAGCACAGTGGGTAGGGCATTTGTCTTGCATGCGGCCGACCCGGGTTCAATTCCCAGCATCCCATATGGTCCCCCGAGCACTGCCAGGAGTAATCCCTGAGCATCACTGGGTGTGACCCAAAAAGAAAAAAAAAAAAAGAAGAAGAAGAAGAAGAAGAAAATCCTGTAAAAATTTTTCACCAACAATTTTTAGATCCAAACTGAGCATAGTATGTCCCACTCCTCTAATTACATAAGCATCCTGACCATTATCATCATCGTCATCATCATGTCTTGACATTTTTAATGGGTAGGGATTAATGATTCTTTCTACTAATTGTTGTATATAAAAGAAATTTAGACCCTGACTTGTGGATTGTTTTTAAGTGCCAGTTTTGTACCTAGTGTATAACATGTGGGAAGCAAGTGTTGTACTACTGAGGCACAACACTTTTGTTTGTTTTTGTTTTGGGGCCACAACTGGTGATGCTCAGGGGTTATTCCTGGCTCTGCACTCAAAGATCACTCCTGGTGGTGCTCAGAGGACTGTATGGGATGCTGGGGATTGAACCCAGGTCAGCTGGGTCAGCCACGTGCACAAGTGCTCTGTCTGCTGTACTATCTCTCCAGCCCTACAATGCTGTTTTTTGCTTTAGTTTTTAGGATCTACCCTCTAGTGTTCAGGGGTTATACCTGGGGGTTGCTTTTGGGACCATGCAGTGCCAAGCATCAAGTCCCGGGCCCTTGTTTGCTAAAAAGTATGTACTCTGGCCCATTGAGCTCTTTTTCCCCCATAGCTTTAACTTTAAAGGAAAAATTGAAACAGGTTAAGCATCATAAAAATCACAAAACAATTGGGTCAGCGAGTTAATACGGGGTTAAGGCTCTTGGCCTTGCATGCTGCAAAACCCATTTAGACCCCAGAACTGCATATGAAACCCACACTGCTAGGAGTGACCCCTGAGCACAGATCCAGAAATAGCCCCCAAGCACTACCAGGTGTGGCCCAACCCCTCTCTCTCATCCCTCCCTCCAAAAAAATCACATTGAATCAGTGGTAGATCCTGTAGTTCTACCCAGTCTTCTGTGATTTTCTCCACACAGTTTTGTTTTCTGCCTTAAAAATCTCATAACAGGTTTAATGTTTTCTCCTAGGCCTTTCTGGCTGAATTGGAACAGAATTCTCCAAAAATCCAAAAAGTGAAAGAAGCTCTGGCTGGGTTACTGATGACATACCCTAACTCAAAAGAAGCTGAAAACTGGAAGAAAATGCAAGAGGAACTCAGTAAGTCATCTCAGGAGTTTTGCAGACTTAATTGCATGTCTTCAAAGCAAGTAGAGAATTTTAGCACAACCTGTCACTGTCACTGTCCTCCCGTTGTTCATTGATTTGCTCAAGCAGGCCCAGTAACGTCTTCATTGTGACACTTGTTATTGTGTTTGGCATACCGAGTATGTCACAGGTAGCTTTCCAGGCTTTGGAGAGCCCGGCAAGTACAACCTATAAAGCAAAAATTATTCTTAGTTAATTTTCAAAAGTAAGCAAGAGTCTAAGAGGGGAGATATATATACATAAATATATATATATATATATAGAGAGAGAGAGAGAGAGAGAGAGATCCCACCCAGAGTGTCAGAAGTTTGGCTTTCCTAGGCAAGACGAAGTGACAGTCTTTGGGCTTGAAGAGAGTACAGGAAGAAGTCAAGCATTTGTCTTACTTGTGGCCAAACCTGGTTAAGTCCCCAGCATTGCATATGGTCCTCTGAGCACCGGTAATAAAAAAAAGTCCCCAAAATAGTTTCAGTCATATATGTAATACTGAGAACACCAATGATAAGAATGAAAAAAAATAGGGACTAGAGAGATGATACATACAGTAGGGTGTGCACCTTACATAGAGCCCATACAAGTTCAATTCCTGGCACCCTATATGGTCCCCTGAGGTACTTCAGATATGACCCAAAAACCAAAAAAAAAAGTAAAGGAAAAAGTGGTAGATAATCTAAATATTCAAAGGAATGTATTTATTTTGGTTTTGGGGCCACAGCTGGCAGTGCTCAGGGCTTACTGGCAAATGCCCTGCTTGCTGTATTATCTCTCCAACCCCTAATGTAGCACGTTTTTAAACAGGCTAAAATTATATTTATACATATATAACAAGATTTTACATGCACTCATATATGTGTGAATATATGAAGTTTATTAGAATTTTATTGTACTTTTGTAACTGCATTCAAGATATATAAGTTTTACTTTAGCTAAAATTAAATGGGAACTATTTTTAACTTAGCTTTTTTTTAATAGTGCCACAGAGGTCATTTCCTGTCGTTTATTAGGAACATATTTCAGGGACTGGGACAGTGACTGACAAGAGTAAAGGATATATTTCCTCATTTCCTTTCTACAGATTCCCGATGGGAAAGGGCCACTGAGGTGACGATGGCTCGGCAAAAGCAGCTAGAGGAATCTGCGAGTCATCTGGCCTGTTTCCAGACTGCAGAATCCCAGCTCCGGCCCTGGCTGGTAGAGAAGGAACTAATGATGGGTGTGCTGGGGCCCTTGTCTATTGACCCCAACATGCTGAATGCACAAAAACAGCAAGTCCAGGTGAGCTATATAGTGATTTCGGGGATTTTGTCTGCAAAGCACATGCTGCAACCCTTTGAGTCATCTCCTTCACCCGTCTTCTCCGTTCCAAATACTGCTACATTTAGGAGGCTCGATCTCAGTCCTGTACAGTTGCAACAGCCTCCCCACTGAGTTATCAAATTCCTTAAATCCTTTATCTGAATGTATGAAAATACTTCAGTGACTCTTGGCTGCCTGTTGAACACAGTCCAAATACCTACTAGATACAGTATGTAAGAGTCTAGTTTTAGTTGAGCTTGCTAGCCTTTCCAGTTCTTTTCCCATATACTGGAAATCTACCCACACGATCATTCGTTTTTTTCTCGAAAGGTCACACATATCTCTGTGTCTTCAACTAGATCCCTCCCCATAAATGCCACTTATTCTTTGCTCACTTAGAGAACTATATATTCTTTTTTTTTCCTCATTAGTGAATCACTGTGGGGTACAGTTACGAACTTATGAACTTTCGTGTTTGCATTACAGTCATACACTGATCTTTTTGTAGTAGAGTGTGAGATTGGGGAGAGTGATCCCTCCCATTTTCTTTTTCCCAAGAATTGCCTTACTATTCGTGGGGCTTATTGAAGAACTATATATTCTAATTTGTGAAGTTTTTCCAGATTTCCTTCTTGAACTGTTATCATCCCCCAGAATTAGTTGCCCTTACTCCTTGCTTTCACAGCAAATGATTTTTACATTCACATCATTGTTGGATCACTTTTTCTTTTGTTATATTTTATTAATGTTCATTGTTTATATATGTTACTTTTTTTAATTTTATGAAAAAGGAAACATTTAATAGTTGTGTCACAATATCATTAACATTTAAATAATAAAGTTGCAATGAGCCATACATTTATATATATGTTACTTCTTGAGGTAATGTCTTGCTTATTTTTCTACAATGTAAGTACTTTGCTTAAATTTGTTTATTTAATTCTTACAGTAGCCAAGGTAAGTACTTTCTTTTTTATTTGTTTTTTAAGATAAGTACTTTCCTGTGCTCATTTTACTTACGAGGATGCTGAGATTTGGAGAATTTTTCAAATGTTACCAAAGAGGCCAAGCAATAGTACAGTGGGTAGGGCACTTGCCTTGCATACAGTTAACCTGGGTTCAATCCTAGACATCCGATATGGTCACCCAAGCACCACCAGCAGTAATTTCTAAGTGCAGAGTCAGGAGTTTGCCCTGAACATTGCAGGGTGTGACCTGAATAAAAGGGGGTGGGACCAGAGAGTAGTACAGTGAGTAAGGAGCTTGCACTAAATGTTTGACTGACCCGAGTTCAATCCCCGGCATCCCATACAGTCCCCCAAGACTACCAAGAGCAATTCCTGAGTGCAGAACCAGGTGTAATCCCTGGGCATTGCTGAGGGTGGCCCCAGAATAACAACAAAAAATTTACCTAAGGTTGAGACTAAAGCAGTATTACAGCAGGTAGAGCATTTGTCTTACACCTGACCTAGCCAGATTTAATCCCTGGCACCCCATGTTGTTCCCCCATACCTATCAGAACTGATCCCTGAGTGCAGGGCCAGGAGTAAGTCCTGAACACAGTTGGGTGGGGCACAAAAACACAAAACAAATTATAAAATTTACCTAAAGTTAAATAGCTAGTTTGCCTTGCATGTAGCCAACCCGGCCAACCCAGGTTCAATTCCTCCACTCCTCTCAGAGAGCCTGGCAAGCTACCGAGAGTATCTCGCCCGCACGTCAGTGACTGGAAAGCTACCCGTGACTGATTCGATACGCCAAACACAGTGACATCAAGTCTCACAATGGAGACATTACTGGGCCCACTCGAGCAAAACGATGAACAATGGGAGGACAGTGCTACAGTGCTAAATAGCTAGTGAGGGGCTGGAGCAATAGCACAGCGGGGAGGGCATTTGCCTTGCACACAGCTGACCCAGTTTCGATTCCCAGCATCCCAGATGGTCTCCTGGGCACCTCCAGGAGTAATTCCTGAATGCAGAGCCAGGAGTAACCCCTGTACATTGCCGGGTGTGACCCAAAAAACAGATGAATAGCTAGTGAGTGATAGAGCCAGAATTTGAACTGAAGCAATTTAACTTCACAGCCTATAATCATAACCTCTTTGATGAGTAAAGCAGCAGATAGAAAATAATGAGGAGACAATATTTTATTTAAGGAAGTTTATGATCTAATTGTGCTGCCTTATATAGAATACATACATACATACATATATATACATATATATATTTGGGATACTGAGAGACTAAGAAAAAGTGGTATGGAGAGTAGGATGACTATCCCTGAGACCTAGGAACCCAAACTCACATTAAGAGTTAGATAGTACGGTGGGTAAGGTACTTTCCTTGCATGTGGCTGACCCAATTTCAATCCCAGGCACCTTATGTTGTCCCCCAAGCCCTGTCAGGAATAATCCTTGAGTGCAGAGTTCAGAGTAAGTCCCAAGCACCTCCAGCTGTGGTTCCAAAACAAACAACCAAAAACAAACAAAAAGAGAGTTGGATTATGCCTGGCAAAGTTAATGACCATCCATAGAGAAACAAACATTGTTACCCAAGCAGAGCCTATGTAACTAATGTTGAAACAGAGAAAAATAAGTAAATGGAATAAAATAGACACTGTCAGTATCCTTCCAAAGTGACTTTTTATTAAGCAGTTGTTACAAGTGATAAAACACTTTCCAGTAGCCTGGTCCTTGGAGTATTCTAGTTTATTTTCTAAAGGCACTTCTTGGCATAATCCAAAATCAGTTTTTGTTTTTATACTGTTTTTAAATCTGTCGTTTTCACTCAAAACATCTCGATGGCATTTCTTTTACAGTTTATGCTGAAGGAATTTGAAACACGCAGGCAACAGCATGAACAGCTTAATGAGGCAGCTCAGGGCATCCTAATAGGCCCTGGAGAGGTGTCTCCGTCCACTAGCCAAGTACAGAACGAACTTGAAAGCATCAATCAAAAGTGGATTGAGCTAACAGACAAACTCAATTCCCGTTCAAACCAAATTGACCAAGCTATTGTCAAAAGCACCCAGTATCAGGAATTGCTCCAGGACTTATCAGAGAAGGTGAAAGCAGTTGGGCAGCGACTTGGAGGCCAGTCAGCCATCAGCACCCAACCTGAGGCCATAAAACAGCAATTGGAAGAAACAAGTGAGATCCGATCTGATGTGGAGCAATTACAACATGAGATCAAGGAGGCACAGACACTCTGTGATGAGCTCTCAGAGCTTATTGGTGAGCAGTACCTCAAGGACGAGCTGAAGAAGCGTTTGGAGACAGTTGCCCTGCCTCTTCAAGGTTTAGAAGACCTTGCGGGTAAGTTAGAGTGAGGAGCCATTGCTGCCATTATTAGTTGCAAAAACAAATTCAAAAGGAGTGGATTAGCGGTGGTTCCGGGAATCTAGAGTGACTCTAAGTAGTTCTTAAATTCAGCACAGCGTTACCCTACCTCTTGTGCAGCTACAGTGAGAACTAGCATCATTACACCTTGAACCAGCAATGTGTGTGGCTTTACGTTGACCTAAAGATAAAAGCGTTAATATAAAGTTAGCCAGTGGATAGTGATTCATGTTCATAGGTGTACTTGTAGGTGGAGTTACATTTTTATTGATACTTAATTTCTTTATATCACACATATAGACATACACCATATATGAAAAATAAAAATATGTTCTAGACGCCCATGAAAATTTTCTTTCTAATTGATTTACTCTTCAGGCCAAAGAGATAGTAGCCCAAGTGGATAAGGTGCTTGCATTGCATGCATCATCTGACCTGGGATCGATCCCTGCCACCACTTAGTTCCCTGAACAGTGCCAGGAGTGATTCCTGAGCACAGAGACGGCAGTAAGCACTGAGCACCACTAGGTGTAGCAAAAAAGCCAAACATAATTTTTTTTTAAATATCCTTGTTCAGGGCCAGAGAAATATTATAGGTGTTTAGGCACTTTGCCTTGCATCTCATCAACCCTATTTGAATCCCTGGAACCACACATCATTTCCTTGCCCCAACACCCAGAGGGTCACTCCTCAGTTCAGAACCAGAAGAAATCTGGTGAGCACCACAAGCCTTGACTGTCCCCCTGCCCCTCCCAAAATAGGCCCCAACCTGATGGATTAAAATATATTTCAATTTTCTCATTTCAGCTGATCGCATGAACAGACTTCAGGGAGCACTTGCCAACACCCAGCAGTTCCAACAAATGTTTGATGAGATGAGAACCTGGTTGGATGACAAACAGAGCCAGCAACTGAAAAGCTGCCCAATTTCTGCAAAACTGGAACGACTACAGTCTCAGCTACAAGAGAATGAAGAGTTTCAGAAGAGCCTAAACCAACACAGTGGTTCCTATGAGGTCATTGTTGCTGAAGGAGAATCTTTACTTCTTTCTGTACCTCCTGGAGAAGAGAAAACTACTTTACAAAACCAGTTGGTTGAGCTCAAAAATCACTGGGAGGAACTCAGCAAAAAAACTGCAGATAGACAATCCAGGCTCAAGGACTGCATGCAGAAAGCTCAGAAATATCAGTGGCATGTGGATGACCTTGTGCCATGGATAGAAGATTGTAAGGCCAAAATGTCCGATTTGCGTGTCACTCTGGATCCAGTGCAGCTAGAATCCAGTCTTCTAAGATCAAAGGCTATGCTAAGTGAGGTAGAAAAGCGTCGCTCCCTGCTGGAGTTACTAAATAGTGCTGCTGACATTCTGATTAATTCTTCAGAAACAGATGAAGATGATATCCGGGATGAGAAGGCTGGGATTAACCAGAACATGGATTCCATTACAGAAGAGCTTCAGGCCAGAATGGGATCACTTGAAGAAATGACTCAGAGGCTCAAGGAGTTTCAGGAAAGCTTTAAGAACATTGAAAAGAAGGTTGAAGGGGCCAAGCACCAACTTGAGATCTTTGATGCTCTGGGCTCTCAAGCCTGTAGCAATAAGAATCTAGAGAAGCTAAGAGCTCAACAGGAAGTGCTGCAGGCTCTGGAACCTCAGGTAGATTATCTGAGGAACTTCACTCAAGGCCTCATCGAAGATGCCCCAGATGGATCTGATGCCACCCAACTTTTGCATCAAGCCCAGGTGACCCAGCAAGAGTTCCTAGAAGTACAGCAAAGAGTTAACAGTGGTTGTACTACAATGGAGAATAAGCTGGAGGGGATTGGCCAGTTCCATTGCCGAGTCCGAGAGATGTTCTCTCAGTTGGCTGACCTGGACGATGAGTTAGATGGTATGGGTGCTATTGGCAGAGACACTGACAGCCTTCAGTCCCAAATTGACGATATACGGTTGTTCCTTAACAAAATCCAAGTGCTCAAGGCAGACATAGAGGCGTCTGAAGCAGAGTGCCGACAGATGCTAGAGGAGGAGGGGACTCTGGACTTGTTAGGTCTGAAGAGGGAACTTGAAGCCCTCAACAAACAATGTGGCAAACTGATGGAGAGAGGTAAAGCACGCCAGGAGCAGCTGGAGCTGACCCTGGGTCGTGTAGAGGACTTCTATAGGAAATTGAAGGTGCTCAGTGACATGACCACAGCAGCAGAGGAAGGAGAGGCCCTCCAATGGGTAGTGGGAACTGAAGTGGATATCATCAACCAACAATTAGCAGATTTTAAGGTAAGTCTCCCCTTGTTACTTTTTTTTCTAATATGTATGGTTCTTGTAACTTGAAAATCGAGTACGTATACCTCTGTCTGTGGTTTCATCATTCTCGTCATTTCGTCATCATTGAAGCGCACTATAAACTAGTCTCTTGTACTTCTGAGACTAGTTATTTTAACATATTTGTACTGTGATTTATTTTAGTGTTTATAACCAATAAGCATGGGCTTATCTTTCGGAAGTCCTGATATTTCCCCCCCATACATTTCAGGGAAAAATGGTCATGGACTAAGGTGCGAAATGCAAAATTCTTATGAACTAGTAAGATAAAATGTGACACTTCAGAAAAAACAATCCACGTCAAGACCAATATCCAGACTCTAGGGAGTTTTTTGTGTTGTGAGAATTTTAAGAAGCACCCTCTTTATTGCAGAAATATTTTGATTCTTTGCCTGAGTTAGAATGTCTGTTTCTGAGATTGTGTGAGCCTAAATCAAAACAACAGGAGAAGATTAGAGGCAGTGATTCTGAAGTGGGGACCTGCTGAGACAGACGCTCAAAACTTGGGGACTGTTGGGTCTTGACTTTCATTGCCCAAGTCTTCTGCCCCAAGAGTTTCCTTTGTTGTGAATTCCTGGAAGGGCCTTTCTTTCCTAATGGAGGTTTCTCTGTTGCTGACTCCTTCTGGGTGCATGAAGTAGATTTGGAAAGGGTACTTCTAGCACTTTGTTTCCATACCAAATGTTAATTATTCCCACTTACTCAGTTAACACTCCTGCCACTAGAGTTCATTTGTTTTCTCAGAGCCTCTGCCTGTCAGAGTTCTGTCTTTTCAAGACACAAATGGTCAAGTCAGTGCTACATGGTCCCAAGATAAGACCCAGTGCAGAAAGGTGGCTATTAAGGAAGGCCCCCTGTAGCTGAGAGGATGTTCAGCACTAAAGTGGAACATTGGCTGACAGCCCCCTTATTACCGTGTTTGGAGGTCATTCAGCTTAGAAGAATATAAATCATCTGGGTCCGAAGACATCCAAATAAGGAAAGAGAAAATTCAGACCCAGAAATCCACTTTTTTCTGTTTCAGTGACAGGGGTGTCCTTCCCTCTTCACTTTATGTGTTTCTCTTTCCTCTTCTATTGTAAGTTTCTCAAAGCAGGATTCTTCTTCAGACAGGCTACACTTACTTGAAGCTGGGTACCTAGAATTAGTTGTCCAACCAATTAAGTGAATATCTTAGAAAGCTAACGTGTGCTGGATTCCAAAATAGTTTTCATCAGATTAGATTCTGGGTGGTTTTTTGTTTGTTTGTTTTTAATTTTTACTTAATCATCTTGGATTGCAAAATTACAAAGATGTTTATGATTGAGTTTCATGAATACAATGTTTCCACATCACTCCCTTCATTAGTGTCCACTACCTTCCACCAAGTGTTTCCAGTTTCCCTCCTGCCCCACCCCCAATCTGCTCTGCCATGCCATAACTTTCCTAACTTATCCCATTGCTACTCCCACCCCACTGGAACTCGTCTTACTACTGAAGACCAGTTCTCCTGCTTTTCATTCCATTGCCTTTGGGCATTTGATATTTCCCTCTGAAGTTTCTTCATATCTCATATTTGAGAGAGATCATTTCTGAGTCTGTTCCTCTCCCTCTACCTGATTTACTCAACGTGACACTCTCACAGATTCAACCACATAGCATAATCCAACCAAATTGTGCTAATTCCATCTTTTGTATGACTGAGTAGTGTTCAATTGTGTGTATATACACCATCATTTCTCTGTCCTGTTCTTGGGCACTTGGGTTGTTTCCAGATTTTCGCTATTGTGAGTAGTGCCACAGTGAACATAGAAATGCAAATGTCTTTTCTGCTTTGTGTTTTTGGGTGCTTGGGAGTATATTTCTAGGAGTGGAATTGCTGTGTCGTATGAAAACTCAATTCCTAGTTTTTTGATAAAGTCCATATTGTCTTCCAAAAAGGCTAGACCAGTCAATATTTTTTTTAATGTATTGAATCACTGTGAAATAGTTACAAGCTTTCATATTTAGGTTACAATCACACAATGATCAAATACCCATCCCTCTACCGGTGCACATTCCGCACCACCAATATCCCCGGTATACCCCCTTTTCCCACCCTTCCCCTGCTGCCATGGTAGATATGATTCCCCATAATCTCTCTCTGCTTTTGGGCTTTATGGTTTGTAGTACAGACACTGAGAAGTTATCATGTTTGGTCCTTTATCCACTTTCTGCACACATCTCCCATCCCGACCGATTCCTCCAGCCACCTTTTTCTCAGTGATCCCTTCTTTATTCCAGCTGCCTTCTCCCCTTTGCTCATGAGGCAGGGTTCCAGCTATGGAGCAGTCCATCTGTCCCGTATATCTATTATCCTTAGGTGTCAGCCTCATGTTATGTTGTTTTATACTCCACAAATGAGTGCAGTCTTTCTATGTCTGTCCCTCTCTTTCTGACATTTCATTTAGCATGATACTCTCAGTCAGTATTCTTACCAGCAGTAAATGAGGGTCCCTTTTCCCCCACATCCTCACCAACAGTAGTTGATGATGTTCTTTTTAACAGATGCCTGCATCTCTGGTGTGAGGTGATATCTCTTTATTGTTTTGATTTGCATTTCCTAAGATTCTGGCTTTATAAAGGAATTACTTTGTATTTGCCTAATTTCAATCTTTTATTGATCATAGGTTTCTCTCCATCTTTTTTGGGGGGGAGGTGGTTTGGTTTGGCTTGGGGACCACACTGAGTGGTACTCAGGGCTCACTCCTTACTCTGTGCTAAGGGTTCAGTCTTGCCAGTACTCAGGGACTATATGGGGTGCTGGGAATCTAACCTATTTCATCTGCATGCAGCCAGGTTCCCTACTTGCTTTACTATTGCTTCAGCCCCAACCATAGGTTTTTCTTTAAGTGTAGATTCACATTAATAAAACTATTATCTTTTCCCGACTATGGTGATCATCCAGGATATAGATGTTTGGGTCTGCCTTGTATTAAACATTCCTAAGTCAAAGGACTAGAGAGATAGCTATCTCAACAGACTGAACACATTTTGTATGTGGGAGGCTTGAATTCAGTCCTGGTACCACATGGTCGTTGAGTACTGCCAAGAGCAACCCCCAAGTATAGAGCTGGGATTAGCCTCTTAGCACTACTGGGTGGGACCCATAAGAGAAAAAAAGAAAACATACATAAGTGTTCCTAAATCAATGCATTTTGAGTTCTGAATTGAAGTTCTTGTTTAGGCAGTTTGCATTGTTGCACTGATTGAATTGTTCGTATGTGTATGTTAGAAGGGTGGGAGGAAGATAGAATTTGTGAGTTTTACCCCATTGCTGGGCTGGAGCAATAGCACAGCGGAAGGGCATTTGCCTTATAAGCGGCCAACATGGCCAACCCAAGTTCGATTCCTTCGCCCCTCTGGAAGAGCCTGGCAAGCTACCGAGAGTATCTCCCCCGCACAGCAGAGCCTGGCAAGCTACCCCTGAGCCTGGCAAGCTACCCCTGACGCATTCAATATGCCAAACACAGTAACAACAAGTCTCACGATGGAGACGTTACTGGGCCCACTCGAGCAAATCGATGAACAACGGGAGGACCGTGACCCGTGACCCCATTGCTGTGGTGTCTGGCTGGCTTTTTAATTTTGTGGCGTGTTTGTTTGTGGTATGGGGCTTGAACTCAGGGCCCAACACATGCAAGGTATGAGCTCTGCCACTGCAGTGCCTCTGTGGCCACAGATATCTCTTTTTCCTTTTTAGTGAAGTAAAATAGTTTTATTTAAATTCACTTATGAGAAATATGAAGGGAGAGAAAAAGAGAGAGACATGTTCAATAGAAAATACAGGCTACTCCAGGGGGTAAAAAGCCATAGATATTATTTCTTACTGATGGCCCTGGGTCTGCCCTGAAACATCTAATAACCATTCCTTCTAATCTCCAGTGAGCAAGGAAGTAAAGTAAACAAGCCTATTAAAATTGGGTTAAGTGCAAGCTACAATAGAAAAAGAACTTAAATCACTGCCTTTTCATTCAATTTCTGATTTCCAGTGATATTGTAATTTTTATAAAAGGTAAAGATAAAGGCCCTCCCGTTGATCGTCGATTTGCTCAAGCGGGCCCAATAACGTCTCCTTTGGAGACTTTGTTGTTACTGTGTTTGGCATATCGAATACTCTCGGTAGCTTGCCGGGCTCTCCGAGAGGGGCGGAGGAATCGAACTTGGGTCGGCCATGTTGGCCGCTTGTAAGGCGAAGAATAAGCCTTTACCACCGAGTCCTCTCCATGCCCAGGCTGGACCCAGACTCGGAGCAGCAGGCATTTGCAGAGTGTGCCCCTGCATGGGGACCGGTGTCCACCAGGCAGAGTAGGAACAGAGGACAAAGGGTGCTGAATGCCTGGCTGTGAACTAGCATTAAGCCAGTAGGTTGTAACTATAAACAAGCAATATATCTCTTCGAGGTGGAGATGAAAATCAGAAGTTCAGTTCCCCAGGGTCACCTTCTAAAGGCAGATTCCAGAGAGAGTTTTTATTTGTTTAGAAGGAAGTAAGACACCCTCAGTTGCTTTAAGGGCTTAGCCTTGTTCTGTGCTCAGGGATCACTCCTGGCAGTGTTGCTATGGTCATGTGTGTTTGTTACCTAGCTATGGTCATGTGTGTTTGTTACCTAGCATCATGCAAGGCAAGTGCCTTACCCACTGTGTTATCTCTCTAGCCCTAAAGAAGTTTTTGCCTCCTCCCAGCAAAGGCCTTTCGGTTAGGAGGGGAGGACCGACCGTACTCCTGGCTTAGTTCGTGCTGAGCTCATAGGAAGTGGAAACAATGAGAAAGGAAAAAGTCAGGGTGTCAGTTCTACAGATCCCTAGAGGCTAGGAAAAGGGAAGGTCTGTTTTGGACCTATGCTGAGGGCTGAGTCATTTTCATACATTAAGTGTTGAATTCCCTGGGTTAATGTGCCAAATAGGCCAGCAGTAAATTCATCTTCCTTCATAGCA